TTCTGTTGATTCTGTTTGATTTGAGATATTACACCCCACAGTAAGAAAATGTGTCGAATTAATTTCTTTGTCATGTACAAGTGACAGAAAAAGTCCACATGATAAATATTATTTACTTCTTTATTATTGACTTCTGCTCATTTAAAAGCAAGTTACTCTATTAGTGTTGAACTTTAAGGGTTTAAGTGCTATTAAATTTTTCTGGATTTACTCTGTGGCTGACTCTTCTTTAACCAAACCATTACAATTTTACTTTTGAAAACTTGACTGAGATGTTGGTGAGAAATCCTTGGAAAACTTCCAAGCAACTGGATCACTAGGCAGGCAAAATAAATGGCTAAGCCTGAACCTGGAAGCCAAAACTCCTTCTCTGTAGTTACAACCCTGTCTGGACAAGTAATTTCATCCATTAAATTCAGGGATTTTCCAATCTTAAGAATTTTTTTAAACTTACGAGACTGATCATGATCAGGCTGTGGGAGTGGATGGGGCTTTTGGAGGGAAAAAACACAAAACCCTAAAACCCTTACAGTGAAGATCAGGATAACACAGAAGTATTGCCTTCTACTCAGTAATGTGTAAAACTTAAGTCATCCATTTTTTGATGACCGTAGTGTTTCCCTAGAGTGCAAAGTTTATGTTATAGCCTTTGGAATACAAGCTGTGGTAAGATTCCAAGAGACCCATATTGGCAGAATTTCTCTCTTTGGGCCAGAAGTGCACTCATCCAGATTGGGAACTAGAATTATTCTTCTGCCTTGGAGGATTAGAGAGTGCATTGTGCAACTTTCAGTATACTAACTCTATATTTTAAAGTTCAGAGCAATATTGATTTGGCATCTAAATTTAAATTTTGTCCTAGTGTAAGAATGCATATCTCTTTGTGACCTTATTTCTGGTTTTTCATACCGTAGATAAAACACGTTTGCTAAAAGAAAATAATTTAAATACTTAGAACTTCGAAGTGATAAGTCAGTAACATTTTTTGATAAAACAAATCCATTATTAACAGTCCAAACAGAGGGGTTATCTTTAATCTCTTATGTGCATACAATCTATATTTATAGAAGTAATTCTAATGTCATGTAAGAAAATGTTAATGAAAAATGGAGAGGAAGAAATTGAGGTAAAGAATCCATCTGTCTTTTCTGCTGTCTTTCATCTATAAAATAAACCCTAGGATTCACATACATTTTATTAAAGGTCCTCCCTGAGCCTCCTTTTCTCCACGCTAAACAGCCCCAGCTCCTTCAGCTGCTCCTCATAAGATTTGGACTCCAGAGCCTACACCTGCTCTGTTGCCCTTCTTGGGACACTCCAGCACCTCTCTTTCTTTCTTTCAGTGAGAGCTGAAGTGGAAGCCAAAAGGAGAACTCGATGCTTGTTTTAGGAGTGGAATCATCAAGAGTAAGGTAGAGGATCAGAGTTAGATATGAACATTTCCTAGAAAGAAAGGCTAGGAAAATTTTCTTCAGACATTCTGCCCTGGACAGAAGTGGTAACGGTTATGGTATAGGCAGGCCTCCATTTAATCTACTTTGTTCAGTTTTATTTCCATTTTTTTGTGAATTGCCAGTTACTTTTTCAGATCTGACACCTTTGGCAAACATTCTTCCTCTGTGCACTCTTAAAGATATATTGTGCATAATTTTTTCTCCTCAGATTTCCAAAGTACAGTACGGGAGAATTCATTTTCAAAGCTCACTTCCAACAATATTTTTCAAAATGGCTGGCACAGTTTTGATTTATGATTTCCATTGTAACACCTATAGTAAAACAATCTGCCCCTGTTTAAAAACATTCAATTCTTTCAACTTTTACTTTGGCTTTCAGCAAATTATGTAAACTGCAGCAGTTCCTCTACCTGCTGCCTACACCAGATGTATTTACATTAAGATTTTAATTCAGATCAGGAGTGGACTTTTGAAGCAAATCTTCTGTCTGCAACCCACTTATTAAGCTTTGGTTTGCAAGATGGAGTTGTCACACAGTGTGTGGCATGGGTTCATCTTAACTGGTATTAAACAGGAATTGTGTTGCAGGCAAGTACCTTACACCCTTCAGCAGCCAATGGGCATTCAGCCCATGGGACCGGCCAGAGCTAGACTGAGATAAAAAGCCTCTGAAAAAACATCTGGTCTGGACATCTGGTCCTCAACCTCAACTGTTTCCCTCTATATTGCTACTCATATTGTTCAGCAGTATTTGCTAATATACGCACCCAATACCTGTTCCAGCATTTGCAGAATTCATGCATAAACATGTATTTTGCTGCTCAAATGTAATTTGGGTCATCGTGGCCAGACTCTAGTTCTCCATTCCTTCTCAGACTTCATTCCTTAGGGGATTCCCTTTGTTCCTGCCCCCAGTCAGACCCTGCCATTGATTTCTTGTACATTTTATTCCCTGGTTTTTATCAATGCTGCAACTACACACTGTTTTCTGGGATGAGCAAAGATTGCAAATTTTATCACAAGATGCATGTTAGGACTTTATTACACGCTGAGCCACAAGTAATGACTACCAAGTTGAAGAACTTAAGTTCTACACACAAAACCACAAAATACAAAATTGTGGAAGTTGGAAGGAGATTATAGTTTCTCTAGTTAAAATTTGTTATTATTGAACATAATTGTAGACAGTAGAGAATTTAAAGACAAGATGAAAAAATGCAATAATGTCTTTCATCAAAAGAAGCATGGAAGAAATTTCCCAAGAACACCATAGTGGGAAAAAGAAAAGAGTCATGTTTTTCGTCAGTTCTAATGTCAGTGATGGGAAGAGCAGAATAACAGAAATGCATGCTGGAAAAAAGAATACAGTGTTCTGAAGGAGAGACTGCAAGTGGGCTATGGGATTAGGTATGTCAGTGGAAAGAGAATGGAGATTTCTACTGCCTTGGGGCAACTGCAGGAGTCTGGGGAAGTGTTTGGCTTTGGCAAAAGGAGCAAAAGAAATAGAGCATGGAGTAGGGAGTGCAGCTTAACTCCAAGGGATGACCATAGGCAGCCAGCTCAACCCAAACTGGCAGAAACATGGCAGAGAGAGTTTTAAAGAGTTTCCTGCAGCTTGGAAAATCACTGAGCTGTCTGAAATCAGACCTGGAAACAGGAGCCTGTTTGCAACAATGCACAGGGCAAGCTGAGAGTTGTTATTTCTGTCCTTTCTGACTCTGTTTGGAGGATTTTCGTTTAAACTTTGTTTAAAAGTTAGCTAATATAATTCATATATTTTTAAAAAATTCTTTCTTGATGTGAAAAGCTTTCAATATTTGTTGGAAAATTCATATAGAAGATCTAAGCAGAGTAATATCCAAGTATTGGTTGACTCGAGCTCAGAATTTCATAAGGGACACTTTTGAAAGAGATTAAATATTAGTCACTCTTTTCTTGGGAAAGTGATTACATTACAAATCAGGATATTGCATTATTTTACCAGGTGATAAATTATAAGTGATAACTAAAGTCCAGGACAAGTCTGACTTGAGGAGGCGCTGAAAGCTTACCAGTGTGCCATTTCCAATGGAACCAGTGCTTGCTTGGTACAGGGCTAAAGTCCCCACCTGTAGGATGCTGACATTTGTAAGCCTGTGGCTTGAACTCTTTTTAGCTTGTTTGACTGTTGTGCCTGTCAGTTTCTTCTGTTGCTATTTGCAGGCAGTAAATGTGTTTGTATACCATCTGCAGTAATTCTGATGCAGCGAGGTGATACTGGTAACTCACTTGACTTGTGTTTGTTCAATAATTTAGTTCAGGTTTGTTTCTAGCTGGCTATCCAGGTGAGCATCTTGTATTACTGCCTATTGTCATGGCTACAGTACTGACTGTATATTTTCTTCCCTCTATGAGTTTTCTGAGTGCAATATGAGAGCTGTCCTTGCCTGGAGTACAAGATAACAAATCTTCACTGAACAGACTTGGATGTGGCACACTGGCCTGTAAATTAGCATTGGTTTAGTTAAACATATCTAGTAGAATTCAAATATAGGCACTACATACACTAATATTGATTCTTAACTACTAGTAAGTGGGAAGTTAAATGAAGTAATTCAATTTTCTTACATCTGTAAGATTTGTTTATTCTTACATTTTAATTAGCATTTTGAAGTGTTGCCAGAATTCCATGTCAGGAAAAAATATCTATATGTTTTCAAACACATTAACATACACAAAATATTGTTCCATTTATATTAGTATGTTATATAAACAAAAGATGTCAGAGCTGCTGCTACTGCATCATACTGATTTGTGGAGTACTTGCACATTTCTTGAAAATAATCAAGGCTTTGGTGAAGGGCATGCTGTCTGTGTCCCTGTTTTGTGTCTGGACTGGCCCCAGTGCAATGGCACGCAGCCTCTGTGCCCTGGAGAAAGCCCTTGCTGCAGCACAGGAGCTCCTCTGTGCTGGGCAGCTGCACAGGGAGACAGATGGCTGGAGTGGAAGTGCCCAGTTGGGCCATGCAGCCAGACAGAGAATTACTCATAATTTTTCCTTTTCCAGGGTAAAATCAGTTTACCTTTTCTCCTCTGGGTGAGAAATTCTTAAAACATCTTACTGCTTCTTTATGTTTAAAAATTTTACTGAATAAATGACATCACTGGGCAAAAGGAACATGAACATTGGTATGATTAAAAGTTGTTTGAATAGGATAGTTTTCCAGCAATTCCTATGGGGTTTTTGTATGCTGATTCTGTTCATCTGGAAGCTTTTATTTGTTTTATGTATATTGTTAATGAGGTTTTTGTTGTTGTTTTATGCTTTCCTTAGAGATTCATAAGAATGTATGTGCTGATGTCTAGAGTGCTCAGAGTGTGACTTAACTGCTGAAGGTAGGAATCAGTGGTAGCAGTAGTGCTAAATATTGCTACAGACAAAGTCTAAAAGAAGGGCAGGTACTCTGGTCTCAAATTGAATGCTGTGTTTTAACATTACCACAATAAAAAATGTATGGATAGCAGTTTGGATTTAAATATATTTACCCCACATGTTTTGATTTCTAGGAACTTTGAACCAAAAGAACTGGGGCAAGAAATATTCTGCCTGTAATGGTGCCAAACAATCACCTATTAATATAGATGAAGACCTTACCCAAGTTAATGTGAATCTGAAGAAACTTAAATTCCATGGCTGGGAAAAGGAAACTTTGGAAGATACTTTCATCCGCAACACTGGCAAAACAGGTAAAAAAAGTCAGATTTCATGTTTGGAGTTAAGAGGTGTAAAAAGTGATATAGGATGAACAACCAACCAAGGACTTTTAATGGATCCTTTTCATTTCACTTAGCTGGTGCACTCTGAATTTATCTATTAAATAAATAAACGAAACAACTGTGATGACAGTAGCTAAATGAAACAGAAATCATGCAAACAAAAATTATGTGCATGGACAGATACAACCAATACAATCACATCATTGGCACATCATTAAATCTAAACAGTAAGTTGGCATTTGCTGTGAAATTATGGTAATTATTACTATATATCTAGAGTCTGTAATGGGTAGACAAAAGTGATTTTTTGAAAGTTCGAATAAATTACATACTCATCTGAAAGTACTTCATGGATGAGTTGAAGTTACAAAAAACTCAGGTTGAGATTCATCTCACCCACACATAGACACATATAATATAGAACCTTTCATCTGAATTACTCACATAGACGCCCCCTAACAGTCAAAGAAAATAAATAGGTGCTTTTGTGTTCTGATTTGTCTTATCAATCTTAGAATTACATTTTAGAAAGAAGTACAAGTGCCCATTTTTCCCAGCCATGAAAAAAGCTTACAGTGTCATCAAAATTGTCAGACATATCTTTTTACAACCACTTATAAATCCAGGAAAGCAGTAACTAAAAGCTGCTTATTAGAAGTACCGTTCTTGGTTTTGGGCATTAGTGTGGAGGAAGGTAACTCTTAACAACTCACTTTGACCTTCTACCAGTTCCAGTGGCACTCCCAGATCAGCCTTTTTGGTTTAGTTCAGTTGAGTTCAGTTCACTTCAGCATCATTGTTCCTAATTTCTGTTCTTTCTGTCATGTACTTCCTACATACCACTACACAAATCCCTTACTTCCCTCCTGCCCTACTAGCTGAGATAAATATGGCTTTGTATTTTCAAGATGCCCCTGAGAAAATGTTCTTTAAAGTCCTTAAAAGTGAACTGAGTTTCTCATTTAGAGCAATCCGGATATTATACAAGGAACTGCTAAGTTTCTTTAAATGTTCTTCAAGGTTTTGGGGAAAGGAATGTAGTGGAAATGAACTCCATTGGTGCTGTTTTATCAAGAAGTCAAGCAGTTTACAGCCGCTGGAGATGGGAAAGCCAAAATGTGGGGCTTCAGTCTATCCCATCCTGCTTATCCTCTCCAGAAGACAAATGCAGTTTAAGTCCAGCTGAAGATCTGTCATTGCTTTTTCCCATGGGAGACAGTTCCACAGCTAAGGAGTCTTATGTCAAGACAATCCTCCTAGGAACTGGCTAAAATATTGCTTTGTCATGTTTTCTTCATGTCATCTTCATGATTTGTGTATAGAATTGTGGTAAAAATTAGGGGCAGGTGTGTATTTTCCTTTTTGTTAGAAACACAGGTTAGAAACACAGACCCTTGCAGGAAAGTATGTACTTCAGTAATTTATTTTCTTAGACAGTCACTTGGTGGCTAGACCAGCTTTCTGAGCTTTTTAGTGTAGTTCTGTGCCTAGTTTCAGATAACAGGAAATCAAGTGCACTTCATTAAATTACTATTTATGAATTGCAGCACGAAATGAAACATATTATCCATGCTAATAGTGAATTACCACACTTGTTACTTAGTTTAAGTAACAAATTTCCTGTCGAACTGCTTATGAAACACAGAGAAATAAACATATCATATTTAACTTCTAGCACTGAAATATGAGAGTTATAGATGCTTTGGCTGGCTTTTATATTGACACTCCTTTTTTTGCCCTCTTTCTCAATTTTTTTAGTGGAAATTAACCTGACAAGTGATTATTATGTGAGTGGAGGTGGGTTAGACACCATATTCAAAGCAAGCAAGATCATTTTTCACTGGGGAAAATGCAATGCGTCATCAGATGGATCAGAACATAGTCTAGAAGGACAAAAATTTCCTCTTGAGGTAAAGTATAGAATTGATTTTGATAATTTCAACCATTTGACATTTCTGTGCATTTCTAATCTACAAAATTCCTTTGTTTATCTCTTAAGTCCATTTGCAAATATAGACTTTAATCCAAATTAAGAATAAATGATGCATTTTAGAAGGGCAGTATAATGTGTTAGTGGCATGTTGAGAATGTCTAAACTGCATTTTTTCCCATCTTCTAAGATGATATTAGATCTCAGTTCTGCTAATCTGACAAAGGTCCCACTAAATGTTCAGCTCCTATGAATTTGGCCCATCATATTCCACATCAGTTCATTGTTTAAATTATAATGGACTCCTCAAAGTCAGGGCTTTGCTGAGAGCCCATGGGAGATGCTGGGCCTTACAGATACAAAGCATGACCCACGTTGCTGGGCTGGAAAGAGCTGGTAGTGGTGTGCCAAGAGCCATGTGAGGAGGTCCTGGGTACAGCCACATTGATAGGTAGCCAGGCCAGTGTCCCCTTGGTTTGGCAGAATGGGTTGCAGCAGCATGGGAATGGGGTGGATGAGAGAAGCAGCTCTTCCTGGGATGCTCAAAGGCCAAACTCTCTTCCCTCAACATGGCATTGTGTCATTTTCCAGTTAAAAAGAGGCAGTTGTGGCAGGCAACTGTGCTATTCCTCGTTCAAAGCATTTTAAACTTCTATGTGAAAGCAAAGCAATAGTGCCAGGGCTGGTCTATATATGGGGAAGAATCATAAGCCAGGAGCAGTACCTGGACAGTGTAATTTCTTTTACTTCACTAACCACTTAAAAATTCCCAATCACACTCCATCTGTCCTGACAAGACATCACAGAGAATACTCTCTTCCATCATCATCTCATAGAAGCTAGTAGGAGCAGGTCACTCCCTTGTACATGTTGGTCACCCAGCAATGGAGGAGATTTCCCAGCGGAATCTGGAGAAAGAGAGAAAGGGGTGCAACAAAACCAATGCTCATGACAGCAGTCAGATGTGGGCTCAAAGTGCCTGGTAATCTTATATTCCAGTGCTTTTCTACACTTACTGCAAGGCAGATGCAGCAGGGACATCTTGACATATCATTCATGTTTTATCACTGATGTAAAGATTCATTTCACCAAGTACTCTAGGTCAGCTGTCCAGTAAGCTTACTTCATGGAAAAAATTGTGCTCCTTGAAAAGGTTATTCCTGCATCCTTAATAGTTTTCCAGGAGAGGTTGTTTTTACACAGCTAATTGTGGATTAATTCCATTCTGCATTCTCAGATAACACAAACGAGATAGGTAACAAATCCCTACACTTGTTTAAAATTTTTTGTTCTGATTTTTTTTTCCTCAAAATGGGAATATCAATAATTGTATTGTTTAATCTTTACAAACTTTTTACATATAACATGTGAATATATTTTTTATTGCAGATGCAAATCTACTGCTATGATGCAGATGAATTTACAGATTTTGAAGAGGCAGTTAAAGGAAGTGGAAAGTTAAGAGCTTTATCAATTTTGTTTGAGGTAAACAAAATATATCTTTGTGTCATTTAATAAGCCTTGAAACACAACAGCTGTTCAAACTGAATTTAACTGGCTCCAATGTGTGATCATTGAGTTTAAAAACTGCATGTATCTTTCCAATTTAATCTTGCAGAAAAGCAAATGGGCAAAATAATCGTTTGGCTTTAAATCATCTATAATTTTAGTGGTAAACTGTAACTTCCAATTTTTTTGCATGAAGCCTGTACTGTTAACGTATACAATTTCTTTTTAACAGATTGGACTAGAAGATAATCCAGATTATAATCCAATCATTAATGGAGTAGATAGTGTTAGTCGTTTTGGTAAGTTTGCCTTATGTTTTATTGATTACTCATTAACTAAATTCCACTTCAGTGTGATTATGAAACCTTTTAAGACATTGAGGAGCATGGTTCTCTATTGCTCAGTCATGTCTATTTTGTTAGAAATTACAGAAGTCATCTGGATAGACGAGAACCGGACAATCACCAACCACAGGAAATCTAACATAAGCAAGTGCCAGATTCTGCTCCTGAGGAAGTGTAATCCTGGTTATATATACAAACCAGGACTGACAATCTGAAGAGGATCCCTTAGGAAAAAGTTTCCAACTCAGTTTCATTGTGTCTTTGCAGAAGAATAAATATGAATGAGCACTGTCTTGAACAGGGATATATTATTACATGTCCATGGCTTTAAGGAAACCTTGTCTCAGTTTTACTTTATTTAATGGTGCTTGAATGTAAAAAGCTGTTTTAAAAGCCTTCAAAAGTGTTACACTAAGATCAAGATTTTTTTTCCTCTTGAAAACAAACACTATTCAACAAATTTTAAAGGGAACACCTTTCATAAATTAGAAAGAAATAGAAGATGGAGATATAAAGTAGTTAAGATTCATTACTTTTGTGTGTCATCTTCTGTGAAACAAAAAGGAGAACTAGTTATACATCAAGACAGATGCTGTCCTACAGCCTTGGAAGGAGTTGTAAAACTATTAGCAGCAAGATTCAAGATACAGCCACTACATGGCACTTCAACGATGCTTAGAATAAAATTTTCCTGAATAAAATGCAGATGAGCTCAGGAAATTCAGGTCATGACTAGATCAAGTTGTTTCTTCTGAAAAGCACACAGTCTCTCCTTGTCTGTGATATACATGAATTGTCCTTGTCAGCCATATTTGTATTGTGCTTATTTGAATCACAGTTGCTGAGTTCTCAAGCTCTGCAGAGGAGCACTCCAGTTCCTTCTAGACAAACTTCCTGGTTTTCATCATTCTTTGTAGGTGTTTGATTTTGAGAATCTAAGCTGTCAGTCTCATTAAAGGTTATTCTAAAATCCAAAGTTGCAGAGTGTATGGCAGGATTCTTGTTATGAATGAGAAGTTTCATGTCCCCAACCATTTATATAAAATGGACTTCATTGTTGCTGAGGGAAGAATATGTTAATTAGACACATAGCAGATAGCAATGATAGCTTCTGTCTGAAGGCTGATTAGCATTTTGGCAGGAGAAACGTAAGGATGTGCTTTTCTCGACACTGCTAAATGTTCCCTCTTCACAATACATGAATGAGAGAGAGGGAACGAATCAGCTCTTAAAACTTAACTCAGTAGAGAAGTCACTGCAGAGCAGAAAAGCATCAAGCCCTTGTAGTCAACTGTTAATGCAATTTGCTGCTCCCACCGAATTTGTAAGGAACTATGAAGACAAAGACAGATCAGAAATATTCACAGAGCTGAAGAAGTAACCTACCTGTAAAAGCATGAGTTAATTCACAGTCTGAAAATTTATTAGATATTCGGAAGTAAATACTTACCAATTAGGGAGGAACTTGAAATAAGTAACTTTAGATTGAAATAAGTTGTATAAGGATCTACACTATTGCAAGGTGTGAAAAGCAGAATTATTTTGGATGCACCAGACAGTAAAGCAGATAATTGTCACAGTCTGAAAAGTCTGCCTTGCTAAAGTTGTTGCCATTTATATCAAATTTCTGTTGCTGGACCCTGCTGCCATACCAGCAGACACTTGGCTTTCTGTGGATGGACTTCCAGCAATCCCTCATGCTTTCTCCCAACTGACAAGGTACCCACCAAACTGCTGGACTGAAAGATGTGATATTATTTTCACAGAACATATTCTCCTGGAGGGGGTCTTTGCATTGTTTCCTGATTTGTCTAAAGCTGTCACAGTTTTTCACTATATTATCACCATTTAAAAAAGAATCCTGATCCACAGAAACTCTGCTTCTGCAATCATGAGTAATATTAACCCTCGGGTCTAACATGGTGACAGTTCCCCAGGCAGTGATTTTCTGCAGCAGTCTGGATGCTGCAAAAAACTCAACAATTAAATTTGAGGAGAGTTTGAAGCCATGTCATGAGACCTAGAACAAAGATATAACAAGCTTTTTTTCTTTGAAATTCAAGAATAAGACGAAGGTTTGGCATCTTGCATCTAAGTGAGAAAATTCTTGTGAACCAATATGCTAAAATTACTCTATTTGTTACTGAAGTAACTTACTACACCTTCCCCAAGTAAATGAAGTTGGGTTTGAGCTGTACTCTTTCAAAATAAATTGAATACTTCATTATTTATTTGTCTGCTAGTCTCTCTGGAGATGTAATTTTAAAAAGCCTCTAAATAAGCATGTTCCTATGATGGTAGTTCTTTTGGAGAGTGTGATTTGCATTTATTAATTGCTTCTATAGTATTTTAACTATCTCTATTAGTTAAATTTAAAAAAAAACATTAAAACTCTATTTTTCTTTTTTTTTTTTTTCAGGAAAACAGGCCGCCTTAGAACCATTTATTTTGCTAAATCTCTTGCCAAATGCAACAGACAAATATTACACTTATAATGGGTCTCTATCAGCTCCTCCATGCTCTGAAACAGTTGAATGGATTGTGTTTAAAGATACCATAAGTATTTCTGAAAACCAGGTAATTTGTTTCATGTAGTAAAGCCAAACAACTATACATAATACCAAAGAAAAAGCAATTGCCATGTATATGGTAGAAGCTCATGGCATTCACTGCCAGCCCAACAACAAAGCTTTTCTTTTATCTAGCTAGAAGTTTTTCATGCAGCCATTAAATTAGAAAGCATCTATATTAATTGTGTTATCTTTTACCTTTTTTATAATTTAACACTAGAATCGGAGTAATTTGTCTTAAAATAGGGTAAGAACATATTCCAAACTGTCTGGTCTTGGAGCTCCGATAAAGAAGAGTACTAAATATTTTTTGGATGTTCCCCCAGCCACATGGTGATGCTGAGCAGAGCATAGCTCCAACAGCAAAGTGGTTGAACAATATTTGTGGAGTTAGATATACTGATAGTACAGAAGAACAGAAGTTCAGTTCCATGCAGGATAACTCAACTGTGAGGCTTTATCCAACATCTTTTCCCTAGAGTTTTTGTCTATTAGCAGAATCTGGTCATTTTTTTATGACTTCTAACTTTTTTTCCTCTCATCTTCTAGTTAGCTGTATTCTGTGAAGTGCTTACAATGCAGCAGTCTGGTTATGTTATGCTGATGGACTACCTGCAAAACAACTTCAGAGAACAGCAATATAAGTTCTTCGGGCAAGTCTTTTCCTCTTACACTGGACAAGAAGAAATTCATGAAGCAGGTACTTACTGAGTAGTCAATCCTTTCTTCACAAGTTAAAAGGCAATTTTCAGTAAAAGATTCATCCAAGTATGAAGTTACTCATTTTAAATTGTGTAGAAAGTAGCACACTGTGTTATTAGTCATAAATCTATCACTTCAGAGAAAAAAACAGCAATCATAAAACATGTCAAATTAAATGGAGTGGAAAATTAAATGCTTGTCTTGACCAAGCATTCAGTGAAGATCATGTCAGTTCAAGCTTTCTTACACTGCCCTTTTAATGCGTTTGAGACTTCAACAAAGCTACCTTTTCAGAGGCTGCGAGAGTATTTTTTTTTACAAACCCATTTGGTTCTTTATCATATAGAGTGGATGCTTTTTCAACAGAGACTGAAGTGAAGTCACCACATTAATTTCATGTAGTTTGCTCAGAAAGTGATAGATGGAGAGAATTCCAGAAGCCAGATGCTGTTCTCAGTCAAAACCTAAAATTTCAGGGAAGTTTGTGAAGGTTATGTGACCAAAATAGTACATTATGTAATGGGAATCAAGATTTGGCACTAAATATAGAAGCCAATGATTCCTATACTAACAAGCATAAAAGAATATATAAGAAACATCTAAACTGGAAGCACTATGTTGTTACTTGGATGGGAATACCTATAGATTCTTTGACTCAATTTCACTGAACTATGTTTAATTAGACACAAACAGATGACATAAACAGAAGCTATATGTGTTTTCCAGATTAGAAATGTGGTCATATATGTACTTTTAATATTTATGTCATTGCACATATATATCGACCCATAGATGCTACTATAGGATTTGTTTAACATAGAGCATTAGAGAATTTATATTTTTACCTCCATTTAAAGATAAATTTTAAAACCCAAGGAATCATTAAACTTAAAGGTTCAGATATAAGAGCTGTAACATGAATATCAAAGTTTCTAAGAGTCAATAGGCCTAGTCATGTTTAATATTGCATAGTAGTCAACAGAAAAAACTAATCCTTTTAGAGGATGTATGAGAAATGCCAAGACTGATTTTGACTTATTAGATAACTGAAAAATTATTTTGTGTTGTGAAACCTAGAATCCAAATTTTCTCCTGTTGCGTTCAGTGCAGACTCTCATTAGGCAGTAGGATTAAATGCTGGATTTATTGCTGTAATTAGGAAATGACATTTCTAAAGTAGAACTAAGTTTCCTTAGAAAAGCTAGAAGAATCTTTCTATTCCATTACAAAGTAATTTCAGGAATTCTCAAAGTAATTTCAGGAATTTTCAAAATATTTTCAGGAATTTTCTCACAGTGCCATCCCCAACATTTTTGGTATACAAGCATGGTCCTACTAAGGGCATGGGCTTCATTCCCCAAGCCTGCCTAGTGATACATGTAATTTCCCTATGTGATATGTATGTAGCAATTTAAGAAGATTAAAATAGCTAATCCTTACAGCCCTACTTGAGGATTCCCCTAAGAAAAGTGTTTTGAAATTGTTCTGCCTAATCTCCACCAACTTCAACTAGCATGCAAATCCATTTATAATAAAAATCTTTTTTTTATTCCTGTTAACTTGAAAAACATTGTGGTGGCTGCTGGGCACATTGGGTGACTTTCCATCTGCTCCACCCTTCTGGTAAGGCCCTGGGAATAAGGGCTGAAATCTAACTCTTGTTTCTCTTCTTGGATTTAGTAAGGTATAAAAAAGAGTGGGTTCTTAAAAATCAAGACGGACAATACACATTGATAAAAAGTATTAGACTATTTTCCCATGAAAGATACAACTACATAAAGTTCAGTGGCTGTTTCAGTTAAATTCTCTAGTGAGGCACGGGGTCAGGACTCGTGCGTTTACCCTTTCATGTTCCTCAGGCCACATGGCTTCATTGTGAATTCCCGGATTCTCGGATTGCCAGATGCATGCGTGGGACTCCTTCATTGGCAGTGTGTGGGGTGCAGGTGCCCAGGCACTGGCAGTGGTGGGTACAGGGGGGCCCTCTCTGAGGAGAGCCTGTGGCTGCCCCGAGTCAGACACACACAGTTCCAGCTGTCCCAGCCCACCCATCCATCTCAGGGCACTGAGAGCCATGGTGAGGCACCCCTGGGAAAACAAAGCTGTGCAGCAGTGAGGAGAGAGGGAAACGGCTCTGTCACATCCAGGTGAGAGAAGGAGGAAGGGGAGAGCGTGCTCCAGTAGCAGAGCAGAGATTCCCCTGCAGCCCATGGCAAAGATAATGGTGAGGCAGCCTGTCCTGTGGCAGACTATGGAGACTACATGCAGGAGCAGGCTCCTGGCTCTGGCTTGTGGAGAGGAGCCCATGCAGGAGCAGATTATCTGTCAGGTCTCTGACCCTAGAGAGGACCCACAGTGTAGCAATCTGTTCCCAAAAGACTGTACAGAGGCTGGAAAAATTCACAAAAGACTATGTCCTGTGGCTGGGACCCCACAGGGGAGCAGAGGAACAGCATGAGGAAGGAGCAGCAAAGTGTTACAAGCTGACCACAGTTCCCATTCCATGTTCCCCTGTGCCACTGGGACCGGGAAGGTGGAAGAATCAGGAGTGAAGTTGAGCCTGGGAAGAAGGAAAGCGTGGGTAGTTTCGGTTTTGTTCCTCGCTATTGTACTCTCTTTTTATTAGTGGTGGATTTCCCCAAGTCAAATCTCTTTTGCCCATGATGGTGGCTGGCGAGCAATCTTTGCCTTTACCTTGACCCATCAGCTTTTTCATCATGCTTTCTTCCTCTGCCCTGCTGAGGAGGGGGAGTGGACAAGTGCCTGGGTGGGCACCTGGTGGCCAGCCAAGGTCAACCCAGCACACATCTGCTATGCTGCTCCACCTCTCCTCCATTACAGAGACAATGTAGATGTGGAATATAAAAAATTGCTTTTTGCCACACACTGTCAGGGATCTACAAAGCCCTGAAATATCTGAATGCAAATGGAGTGATTTCATGACTTCAACAATTGAAAAGCTGAATTAAAAAGCTGAATTCGATTTAACTAAAAGTAGAAGAAAGCAACAAATGTGGGGGAGAAAAAGCCAAATTTGGGCAGCTTATAAAGGTCTTCTGGTCAAAAACATAGCCCTGGCAGTTTTTGGCAATGATTTGGCTGATGTACCCTAGTGGTTCTCCGTGATGCAATTAAGTTTAGATGAAAATTTCCCAAGTTATGTGGGACTTAAGTTCAACTAAGTTTCCTAAATTCAACTTTAAAATAAAATAGGTAGCATTTTTTCTACAGAAGAATAAGCAAAGATAGATGCATTACCATGCCACCATGTCATATGCAAAACCAGAATCTAAGTATTCACCTGGAGGAAGCAGAGACTTGGATTCAAGTCTAGCATGGGTTTGAGTAGGCCTCTGACTTCCAGTGAAATTTTTGCTATTTTGTATTTTTCTGTTTGTGACTTGTAATCCAGTTTAATATATGTGGCTTCAGACTAGTAACAGACTCAAGAACTCCCTTTCTTGCAGTGTCTTTGCTCAGATTTTCTAAAAGTCAGTATCACATCAGAAGTACTTAATTAGGTAAGTTATCATATGGTCTCCTTTTTTTTTCTAGTCTCTGGAGAAGGAAAATGGGAAAAGGCAGTAAAGTACCTCTGTGTTACTGACTGGTAGGAAAGAAAAGGGATGGGCAGGATGATTTATGAAGTGACATCAGAAGAAGAGTAAGAGAAAACATTTTGGGAAGAAATGGAGGTGAAATAATATGTAGATTATTGTCACGTAGTAATATTGTCAGTCATTGCTGAGATGAACATCAAAAGGAAGAGAACAAAAGGGAAGACTTTTTCTTGGGAAAAAATAGAAGAACCATCTGGAAAAGGAAAGAAGAAAACAAAGAAATAATCCTGAAAGCACCAACCTTGTACCTTTAAAAGTTTTATAATACTGCTCTGAGTCTGAATACAGGCAGATTTCAGAACCAAATTCACTCATAAGCAAAAAAGATGAAGAGAGGATAAAGGAATGTGGAGAAGAATTTGGAATACAGAGAAGCTTGGTGTTTACGTTATAAAAAAGCATTTTGACAAGTATTTTAAACACCTTTGAAGAGAATTAGCTGAGGAGTCTTTAGATTCATTGAAAAAGAATGAAATCTGTTTAAATCATCTGTCTTAATGCTCAGAATTGACAAGGGGGTGATCTTTGCTGGTCTAATGATTTCTCCTTGTAATCTGGTGGAAATAGCAAGAGGAGAGGGAGGAATGATAAATTTTAGGAATGGAAAGGAATGGAATGGAATGGAATGGAATGGAGTGGAGTGGAGTGGAGTGGAGTGGAGTGGAGTGGAGTGGAGTGGAGTGGAATGCAATGCAATGCAATGCAATGCAATGCAATGCAATGGTATGGAAAGGAATGGAATGGACACAACATGAGACATTTTTTTTTAATTTGCTCTTCCTTTGCATCAATTAAAATAATTAAGTGTAATTAATAAAATGGTGTATCAGTTATATAGCACGGTAGATTCAAAACCTGGCAACAGAATTCACCTAAATTACACAGACTAACGCTGCCTCTACTATTAGCTTACACGCACAAACGCAAAAATTAAAAAAGCCTCGCTGCTTATTTCATGTATTGACTAGCTCAAGCGGAAGCTGCTCAGAGCTGCTCACCTTCCCTGGGGAACTGGAGAAATTATTTTGACACATATTTTGACGGGGCTTGAGTGCCCCCTTGTGTTCAAGCGGCAAAATGCAAAGCTGAAGGACCTTTCAAAATGCAGCATTGTCCCCCAAGGCGTTGGGGCATCTTGATGTTTGCTTCTTTTTAGAAGGATCCACTTGTTTTCTTCTTTAGATGAATAGGGTTTTTTGCTTGATTTTTCTAGATACTCATATATTGCTCTAGGCGCATTATGAGAGGTAAAAAATGCTTCCTCATTTATTCCAAATGGGGAATGACTGTGTAATTGCTTGTGCAAAAGTCAAGCTGAAAATACAGTAACAAGCTTTAAAATATAATAACACTAAATGACTACTGCTAATGTAATACTAAACTTCTTCTTATTTGCCTTTTCTCTCTTCTTTAAGTACTATAAAAAGATTCAAACTGCCTTGAGAGGAAATTCAGGTGATAGGTTTAATCATTAAAAACAATCTACTCTAGATTAGTCTATTATAGCTAGTGCAAAAGTGTGCAGCTCTTTTAGTGCTACTTTGATAGAGCTATTAAGACAGAATGGTTGAGATTATTTTGATTCCCAGGACAGATATAAGAATCTTTATGTTTTATAATTTATATTTTATTTTTTGGGAACTGGAAACTACTATTTCACAAAATTTGATATAAGAGGCAAAGAGAGGAGACTCATTCCTCAACTTCATTTGCTTTTGGAAATCTAGTGTTAAAATATTTGTTCTGTTTATAATGGTATGGCATTACAAATATTTTAGTAGAAAGCTAAAACTGAGGCACACAAAAAGACTTTCATTAGTTTTCTCAGGAGATATCTCAATATTTTAGTGGAGTTACTTGTACCATTTTAAAAATAACATATTATTTTCACTTTTCTTTCTTCCAGTTTGCAGTTCAGAACCTGAAAATGTTCAATCTGATCCAAAGAATTATACTAGTCTTCTTGTTACATGGGAAAGGCCTCGCATTGTATACGACACCACAATTGAGAGATTTGCTGTCTTTTATCAACAGCTGGATGGAGAAGACCAGACTAAGCACGAGTTTCTGACAGATGGGTATCAGGACTTGGTAACTGTAAACTCTTCAAGTTTCATAAAAAGGGATGATGGTGTAACAACTCACTGTTAATTGTTGTGACAGATTAAAATGTAGCTGGGAGCTGATTGAAGAGAAATTTTCTCATATTTGGCTGTAAAGCCACAAAAACAATTTAAAACAAAAGAAAACGCTTCTCTTGTCTAGAACAGGGAAAAATTCTACAGATTGCTGCTTTGATTTCATATACTTGCCATGACCATGTCAATCACAGAGCTCCTTAGCCATAACCCCATTGCAATTAATAATAATTGGTATTTCATTGCTCATAGATGTGAAAGGATGACCTACACAAGCAACTAATGAGATTCAATTCAGTTATACTGCTAGAAATACCAAGTTGCTGATTACATCTTCATGGTATTTTACTAATGAGATCTTTTTCTCTAACTCTCTTCAAAGACTCATCAGACATAATGTTACCTAAACTTGTGTTCAATGCTAAATGGTTATTTGGTTTGGTATCCTCCATGTAAAACATCGCAAGTTTTTTTTTTTTTTAATTTCACTGAAAACTATTTGTGACAATAAAATATAAAAAGCACACGTTATAATAGTAGAAGAAAGGAGCTTTATGTTCCATAAGAAAAATGTGTTACAGAAAAATTAACATTAACTTGATATTTATTTGCAAGTAAATGATTAAATGTGTTTTTTCGTTTAGGGGGCTATTCTAAATAATCTGCTGCCCAATACAAGTTATGTTCTTCAGATAGTTGCTGTTTGCTCTAATGGTCTGTATGGGAAATACAGTGACCAAGTTATTGTCGATATGCCTTTAGAGGACTCAGGTAAGTGGTCTTTTGAGTTTAGTGATCCCTTTTAGCTGAAAAAATCTGTATTTGAAGAAGTAGTTTGTTTGCAAAGCAGTTAAAATGTGTCACTTTGAAATTATGCCAAAATGAAATTTCAAAATCGCTGCAGTTAACCTTCAGCATGTCCCTTGCTAATGATATCTTACACTGCATAATTCCTTGTAAGCATTACCCATAAAAAACTGCATGTTAATATTTTTAATTCTAAGAATATTCTACTACCAATCAAGCACCTACTTGATTTCAAATCTCACAAGTGTATCTTTTAGAAATGTAGGGAAATAAAACCATGTTTGGTATTATTTCTCTATGGCTCGAGCATCCTCTCAAAATTAATCCACACAGCCAGATTATTAAGGAATCAAGCAATACAACCCCAATATATGATTTACAAGCCTGATTAATGATTTTGAAATTTGATTTCTTATACTTGGAGTTTGATTTCAAAAGGCTTGTGATGATGGAGTTCCCTTGCTTCTTAAGGCTGCCTCGCAAAAAAAATCAAAAGGCTAACAAACAAGTCTTAATGATTTCACAGCCAGATTTGCTTCTTTTGCCTGCTGGTGAATATGAAATAATTTGAAATTATAGCATGAAGCTTGATCTTGTCCTTAATAATTCCTTAAATTCGATGTAAGTTTTAGCATCAGATTCAGTTCTTATGAAAGTGAGTGAGAGCTGTGTTTTTAATTAAGAACACTGTAATTAATCATAGAAAAAAAGTCAAATGCTTTTTTATTATATTAAGAGCTATTTTTTTATCTAAGAGCCTGGATTTTTTAGTTTGTTTATGTCTTCTGTAAATTCAGTTTTATGCTTCTGTATGTCTGTGGAAAATGTTAGTGAAAAATGTTGTGGTACACTTGGGAAAACTGGCCAGTTTTTCATGTCAAGGGAGCCACATGCCTTTACAGTGAGAGAGAATGTGATTCTCAGAAATTTCTACCACATGAATTCTGGACTAATAAGGGTAATAGGCTTGTAATAATGTGAGTTTGTCTGTAGGAGGAGGAGCATCAGCATCAGGTACAGTACATACACATTTTTAACAAAGATTTAACTTGTCTTTCAAACACAATATATTAAGAATAATGCATTTTGGGGTCTTAGGTTAATACCTACCAGAATTTTCCTATTTCTCTTTAGTTTTCTAAAAAGTCCACAACAAGGTTGTGACATTCTGCCTAACATTTCACTTCACTTCTTCACTTCTTCACTTCTTCTGTCTACCTTTTATCCATTTCTTAGATAGTATATACTTCCACTTACTTTCCAGAATTTGCTGGGTTTGTGTTTGAAGAGTTTTCTCAGATGAGAGTTTATCTTCATACCCTACATCCATTTCTACACGGAATGACAAATAAGCAGCATAGTGTTATCATCATTTAGCAACGGCTCAACATATCAAGTCAGTACAGTGCTGCCATCACAGATGTAAAACCTCTAGATACATATATTGCAAAACAAAGTCCAGTATAGCTGATATCCAGAGGATAAACTTCCCTCCTCCTGCTACTGCTGTATCCCTGCTGTAAGGATGAGTTGCATACCTCCTCCTGTGTTCCATGAGTCCCTGTGGAAGGAGACAGAGAAGGCTGCAGAGGCAGGGAGAGGGACAAGAGCCCTGGGGTTGGGCAAGCACTGTCAGTGCACCTGTGGCATGAGCAGATGCTGCTGGGGAACAGGCTCAGCAAGAGGATGATGAGGCATGGGCAGCCTGTGCTGCCCAGCACAGAATCCCTGCTGCTCTTCTACCGAAGTCATGCAAAACACAGGTTTTGCATTCATACTGGTAGAAGGAAGAGTGAGAGAAATACATGCTGGAAAATTGACTTCACCTTCCAGTATAAGCAGAAATTTCTCTGACATTTGTATGCTCAGACAAGAGAATTTGGTACAATAAATGTTATATTTCAGACTGTGTTATATTTGTTATAATAAATGTTATGTATCAGACTTAATGTTTGATACTCTCAAGCCTTTCTACACAGACAAATCATTAATTTCTACTTTGATATTTTAAATTTTAAACGATATGAATAAAAAGAGAGTGAAGCTTTTAAATAAAAATTAAATACTGAAATTAATATTTGCCTATTAAAAAAAACAAACAAAAGTTTCATTGGCATGCTTCCTTATCTGATATGGACACAAAGTTATTAAATTTAATTTGGTTATTTTATTTAGGCACTTCCACAGTGGTACCTCTGAAAGTGTTGAATAAAGAAAATCCAGGGAAAATTTCCTCTCATGTAATTAGTATGATTTCTAAGAGTGCACATTGCTCTATAAATAAGTTGTTTACATGCTATGTCAATTCTGGATACAATTTTAAAATATGAAAAAACTTCTATTAATTTCTAACATTCATGTTTATTTGCATAATTACTTTTACTAATTATTTACACCTGAATTAACTGATGCAAATATTTCAAATATTTTCATATTTAATTATAATATACCTAATATTAGACAACAGACATATGAGAATGTAAATATCTAATAAGAAAGATTTCTTCAGAGCACCTTGCTGACTACAATTATAACATCAAATTGGTTTTGTGATCTGCTTTATAGATCTTGAGGCAAAAGGGGATTTCTTGGAGCTCCTGCTTGGGAATTTATGAAAGAAAAGTTATCTTCACCGTGAAGACATGAAATAATGTTGACACACATAAAGCATAAATTAAATCTTTAATTTTCAAGAATTACTTCGAGTAATCCAGTTTAATTAAGATGAAATTCACTACAGTCTCCTACAGATCAGTTAGTCTTCCTGTTAAGACCTAAAGCAATGCATGAGTCATGCATAGCCATTAGATGGGCCCTTTTCCAGAAGGAATTCTATCCTTGGAGTGGCCACTTCTAATTCGATCTGGTATTCAAAAAGCTCAAGACAATTGTTTTAGACTTCCATTTTTGAGATACTTGCAAGAGAGTGTTTCTCATGCCTTGTCCCCACTCATTCTGGTGCCTATCATATGGTTGGTGAGGGCTCTGCAGGCTCTGGTGATCCACAGATCCAAGGCTCTTGTTCTCAGCAATGCTTTGTAAAAGATGAAGGACCTCTTTGGGGCCACAGTCTCTGCTTCAGTTTGTGGAAGCCTCAGGAGCTGTAATGTAATGACATTGGGCAAGCCACCATAGCAGAAACCTCTGCTCTTTCAGTTTTTCCTGAACTCTTCAGAATTGCAGCCCTTCACCTTGTAATACACTGTGTGTGCAAGTTAAAATTATTTTCCAGTTAGTCTCCACTTAATAAAAGCCAACATATGCACTACTTGATGTAGCTACACAATTTCCATTAAAAACTTAGGGAATCGTGTACAGAGTATTTTAATCAGCTTTGATAAAATCCAACCTTTACTTGCAAGTTTTTAATTTTTCACTAAAATTGGATTGAATAACGATGTAAATGTGTGCTTTGAGTCTCTAGATAACATCTGTACAGAACTGAAGGTTGTGCAGTAGTTGATTGTGTAGCTAATACTGGTGGTACTTACATGCTTTTGCTGACATAGGGAAGGAAAAATAAGAATGTAAGTCCCCACTCCTATTCCTTTGTGTAGACTTCAGTTGGTGTTTGTCAAAAAAAACCCAACATACTGGGATATAGCTCTCAAATGCTGTCCCCTGCCTGGCAGCTCATGCTGTCAGCAATGCTTTGTGAGGGACTAACTATGCAAATTCTTTGTAACTAGTCTTTGTGAGTTTTGTCCTAAAAAGCACTAAGCATATATTAAATGTCTGATTCAGGGGATGTTTTTTTCTAATTTTGTAGTGATAAAAGTAGAAATCTGAAAACTAATTTAATCAAAAGAAACAGGCTTTACTTTTGTTCTTGCAATGCCATTTATTACATAAGTCAGTAGAGAAATGAAAAGAGTTTATGTTCTGTGCATTATTCTATGATTATAAATCACATTGTTTAAAGAGGTTTTTTTAATATTTCCATTGAAAAAATGTAGGGAAATAGTTACCTGTTCTGTATTTCTTCTATTGTTTCTGCCTCTGTCATTAAAACGGACTATGAAATTTCCTCTACAGAACTCTAATTATTTAATTATTTTATTTTAAAATGTGTACTATAGAATAATCAATATGTGGTTCCAGAAAAAATAAACAAACTTGTTCATCAACCTATATCAATGGGTTGTTTTTTGGAGGGTGTGGCTCTTCACCTTGGATGGGGGATTTTATTATATTTCTGTAATCTCCTATCAAATCAAAACCTCAGCAGCAGGATTTACAGAACTTCTGTAAGTGTTTGTCTCTAATACTTTTGACAAGTAAGTTTTCTATAACCATCTAAATTTAAATATTCTTTATAAAGTTCGTGGAGATTTTTTTTTGTTTGTTTTGTTGGGGTTTTTTTGTTTTTGTTAATAAACAAGTTTATCTATATATATATAATATATAAACTCTAGCACAATCAGTACAGTTTGTTTTTCTGACTGAGTCTGATTAAAGCTCAATTGAAGAATAATGACAACAAAAAGAATGGATAGAATTCCTCTGTACTAAAGAAAAGTTTAAGAGAAGTCTGTTGAATACCTAGTACATGGTATGGGTCTATTATGGGAAGGCATTCAGACTCATGTCAATACTTGATTTATATCATTGAGAAGCCAGGCAATATCATTATCTCGTCCACCCCTTCCTCCCCTCCACTCCCCTCCCCACCCTGCCCCAGAGCCTCCTAGGCCTCAGGAGTCAGAGGTAAGATAATTTTTTTATCTATCTAGCTAAAGAAAGGTCAATTCCATACTTGGTAATTTATAGGTGTTTGTTAGTAAAGGACAATTTGTGAAGATTTTGTGCAGAATTGCTTAGTCAAAATTTGTTTGCATACTATAACCTACAAATAATACTGTATGAGCTTATTAGTTTGATAAACTTCATCTAATGTATGTTGCATATAGCACACCTCAATTTGTTTTGAAAGGCACATATGGGAAGTCCAAATAGAATACAGATTAAGTCATAGATCCCCATCTGACTTTGCAGAAATGAGAAATATAGAGATGGCACCTTTATCCTAATGTAATGAACAAACTACATTTGGGAGCTGTGGACGAAATGTAGACTGTGGAGCTATGTGTGATGGTATTGTTAGAATTGCTCTCCAGGCTAAGGGATTTGGCATTTTCACCTAGAGCAAATCAGCCCTCAGAATATGTATTAGCACTTGAGTGCTATAACATGGCTTAGGAGAAACTCTTAGAAAGGCTCAGGTTGGATATGGGCCTTTCTGTGGACCAAAGGAGCAATAAGGTGCATTAGTGCTCTGGAAGGAGTTTTAGATTTCCTCACTGTGCCAGTTCCTACCAGAGAGGTGGATGTTTCTTTCAACCTGCTTTGAAGCCTCTCTTTCTGACCACCATCAGAAGTATAACATTGGATTTGGCCAAAAAGAGAGAAAGAAAGCAAGAGACTATCTCTAAATTTGGAGAGATGGATTTTCAGCTAGGTTGTAGGAATTAATTTCTTCAACCTGTTTCAACTGGTTTTTATTTTTGAAAATAGGGAATGCCTCAAAAGCCTCTGGAGTAGTTCTTCACAGAGTTTGCAGTACCTGTTTGTTAGGGACTTTTTCTGGGATGGGATTCAACTGACTTCATGTCTTTATATTAAATCGAGTAGGGTGGGAGTTTGAAAAAGGCTCTAAGCACTGGGGAGGGTGGGTCTCTTTGGTCTGCCTTGCTGGGAGCATGCAGCCTGCTGCATACTGACTATGATGGCATTGCTGCTGCTCTGGTACCTAAGTCCAAGCCTGGGTGCACAAATAAGGAATTTTCTATATGAAAATTACAGAACAGATCATTTTACAAGAATATCTTCAGAGCTTCCAGATTTAATGTAGAGAAATAATTGATACCCAGACTTACTCTTTTTCTCTCTTCTGTATTTCTGCATTAAACTGTTTCTCATTGAAAACATTCTTGTAAACTTGGCTTTCCCCAGCCAACATGCGGTTCCTCCAAAAGTGCAAATCCAATGGTATCAAAATAGAGCCAGATAAAATTGTTATGGCTGAATGAATGTGTCCTGTCTAGATGAGTGAGCATTGCTACCCGTAGTCCACAATCCAGGGGGTTGGCCACTTCTCCAAACACAATCCTACCAAAAATCTTAGAGATGGTCTCAATAACCATATTAATTAATCAGTTGAGTCCTTGCAGAATCCAGAATTCTGAATTTAAATCAGTCTACTTAAAATTGTGGATGATACAGTATGTATTTTTGTTTTATAGAGGCTGACCTCATTCCTGAACTGAGTGAAGCTGAAGAATATGAGGTATAGCATTAATTTGTTTTTTAAGAGAGTATTTAAAATAAATACATTTCAACTAGATTGAAATTATATTCTGTGAAAATTTACAAAACCAATTGAGTGTATTATCTGCATTTATGTATAAATATATATATGTACCTGCATATATAGCCTTTGAGCTATATTTCTCCCTAGATAACTGGAAATACCTCAGTATTTCTCTGGGGCTGGAAATACATGGTGTAGTAAAGGATATCACAGAATATTCCTAAATATTTTTAAGATGAGGCATCATTTTACAATCACTCCTCTGTGAAGTCTGACAGAATTGTTCATTTAACAGAATCAAAGCTGCCATCTAGTGTTAAGCTTTTTAGTTAAACAGAAGTTTGCTTTGTCCTTGCTTTGTGGTGGTCTTATGTAGTAAATGAAAGTAAGAGAGGACAATAGTTGTGCTGAAGAGTGAGATTCAAGCGTGTCTGCTATCAGTGTGCTATTGGTTTAACCATTACTCAAAAATTCTTGGAGGGTCATTTGCTTCTTGAACTCAAGTTAAACTTCAAAGTAGAGCTCTGTTTTACAAAATTTTTTATGATCTTACGATAACCTTTGGAGGCTTCATATTCAGTAACTAGGTTTCTGGTGTACTTGATATTATCAAGTAATACCAAGTAATCTCTCGGAATTTTTAATTTCTAGTTTCAATCTATGGCTGCAATATTCTCACTGCATGACAAGTCCTTTTAGTTAAATAGACAGCCTATCTATTTACCCTCCCTTGCATTTGTGGACACTGAATAACCAGTAATACAGTCATTTTTCTGTTCTTGTAAGCTATGTATGTAGATCATTATATTGCATCTGTTAGGTGCCAGTGAACATCAACTGATTTTTACTTGAACCAAGAAAGTTTAAAAGTGCATACATTGCCTCACATAAAGCAGATCTTTAGAAAAAAGAGCTTGGCCAGTCCAGCCCAGGTTTGAAGACAATCATTTTGGTGCTGCTGTCCCTACATTTTAGGTATTTAGCCCTTAGAATGAAATCCACACCTGACAGTCATGTCTGAGGTACCTTATGTTGTGTGAATGCATGAGGGGTTCCTGGTTCAAAGAGGGACTGCAATGTGAAGCCAGCTCTAGCCTAGTGGGTAAAGCCCTGCTCTTGTGAGACTGGGTAAAAGCTCACAATTCCCGTTTGCTGAGTGCCTCAGTCAAAAATGCATTCAGCAGCTCTTTATCTTGGGCACGTTCTTTCAAAGGCTGTTGATTTTTTACATTACATTGTCCCTGCTGTGCCCTGTTCAGTGGGGGAATGGGAGATCTACTCAACCTAAACTATAGTGGAAACTGAGGAGTTGTTGTTAGATTGATAACTGTGCCTATCTCCTGTCTACTGGGTGTTTTCTCTCAGCATTATGCTTTTGAATAAAAACCAGTGGCATTTCCACCACATCACCAAGCCAGATCTTTCAATAACAAACAAACAAAAACCCAAAAACCAAACAAACAAAAAAACCAAACCAAAACAAAAAACCCCAAAACAAAACCAACCCTCCCCCCACTACTATTTTGCAAGAGGCTCTGTGCTGCTCTGTCTCTTAGGGCTATGTGTGTCTGTCAAAATCCCTTCAGAAACTGAAGGTGTACCTCAATCTAGATTGCAGAGTCGGGCTGGGACAGGTTTGATTCTGGTGCTGCTCTAGATGGGGGCACAGCACAGAACTGCGGTGACTGCTGTGTCTAAATCAAAACAAAAATACTTGCTGAGTGAGTTAGGTGCTTTGATGTTATGTTTTTTGATTTGGTGCAGGGAAAACTGGAGAAGGAATGAAAAGATTTGACCTTAGATCCTCAAGCACTGCCTAAGTCCTGATTGCATTCAGGCTTTTATTGTTTTTTTTCTTTTGGATCTGTCCTTAAAACACAAAACTAACCCATATTTTGCACAAAGTATTTTTATTCATCATCATTCATATTCAGAAACAAAGGGTCATAACAGGACTAGGGGATAGGACTCAAAACACTTGTGAAAATCTGACAGTCATGCTGAGGATTGTGAAATCTTCTTTTCCGGAAAACTCTGACCATTCAGAAGAATTGAGGTCATAAATATATTTTACAAATTCTGTTATTATTAAAGTTTAATTACCATCAGAATATTAGTGCAAACCTCTAAGGCATTCTGATAGCAAAACCATTTTTTCATTGCTGTGTATACAATATATGCTATATATTGCATATACAATTGCATTTTATTAGGAAAGAGTTAGAGTTTTTTTAATAAAGTAAATAAATACTGTGAGTGATTTTTGCCTCTCAAACACAATTTAAGTATGCAATATTGAAGAAGTTGTTGGGACAAAGCATTTTTCTGTTTTTATTGCAAAAAAGTAATATTTTTCAAGATAAAAGAGGACACCTGTTCTTGCAGTTAATACTTTCAGTTTAAGACTAACAGTCTTCTCAAGTGTTGTTTTGCTTTACCCCTCTTGATTTATTGATCCAGGAATATGTATTATTATAGTTTTAGTTTCCATTTATGTTCAGAGTCTCTAAACATTTTTAATTGCCTTCGGCTATGATATTTTTTCAAAGGATGAAGTTGATGAAAAGGAAATAGAGGTGGATGAAGAAACTGCAGTGGTTCCTAGCACTGACAGTACAATGAACCAAGTGAGGAGAGATTTTCAGGTGATTACATCCAGCTACAGTCAAGAAAAAATGGGAACAAAACCCAGTGAAGCCAAAACAAATAGATACTTAACAAGAGAAGAATTGCATGGTAAGGATAATGTTTTCAAAGCAGTTTATTATGTTACTTCTCCATCTATTGATGAAATTTCTGAAGAGGAAGATCCTTTTTTGGAATCCCAAACAATTACTGGAATTCCTCCTCAACTCATTGACTCCACCAGAGGCGGAGAAGAAGAGTTTATATATCTTTCTTCAGGCACTGAGCCAACAAGAACAACCACCACTGGTCACAGTGACAAAGATGTCTTATTGTCTTCTTCTAAACCTCATCAGGAATCTGATGACTTTTGGAGTTCAGTTCCTACTACTTCTTCATCACAGCTGGTTACAGAGGAGACCTCTCAAGAAGATACCCTTCCTTCAGGAAGTCCAGATATAAGTGTGCATGATGTTCTTAACCAAGGCTCCATTAAATATGTTTCAGAAGTCGTAGCACTGTCAAGCTCCGTTGAGCCTCCAAAGCATACTTCCACTGATGGAAATTTATGGTTTCATAACACTACAGATCAAACAACTCAATCTGTTGATACATCGCCTAGCGGGCCATTGTCTCAGAGCAGCTACACTGATGCTTATATGGAGGGATTACAGCCAACCACAGTACCCTATGCAAGCAGCCCAGTGGTTCCACAAGACACTTCAGATGCGGATTTAGAATTGCCACATTATTCTACCTTTGCTTTCCCCTCTGCTGAATTATCACCTCACTCTATCTCTTCAAGCTCTGGAGAATATGGTTCTGCTTCTGCTGCCAGTGAGGTACTCTCTCAGACAACTCAACCAGTCTATAATGGTGAGATACCTCTTCAACCTTCCTACAGTAGTGAAGTGTTTCCTCTAGTCACCCCTTTATTGTTTGACTCTCAGATGCTCGACACTACCCCTGCTACATCAGATAGTGATGTGACCTTGCATGCTACACCTGTATTTCCCAGTGTTGATGTGTCATTTGAACCCACCCTGTCTTCCTATGATGATGTACCTTTGCTTACATTTTCCTCTGCTTCCTCCAGTAGTAAAATGTTTCACCGTTTGTATACAGTTTCTCAAATGTTTCCACAAAGTGCTACTCCAGCTGTCGCAAGCGATAAGGTGTCCCTGCATGCTTCTTTGACGTTGGCAGAGGGTGATTCATTAATACAGCCAAGCCTTGCTCAATTTGCTGATGTGGTGCCACATCAGACCACTCATGCTGCTTCGGAGACACTGATACTTGGTCATAATAGAGCTCACATATTTTCTCAAGTTGAACCATCCGGCAGTGATTTAAATATGCATGTACTATCTACAATGTCTGAACTTCCTTATGCTTTGTCTGGTAATGTGGGCTCCCTCCAAAGCTTTACTGTTTCCTATGACTCTACAGAATTTGTGCATGATTCTATTGATATATTTCATCGAGGTCCTTTATTTAGCAGCTATAATAATGTACTGGTGCATAAACCTTCTTCTGTAATATCACAAACTGATGCTTTGCTGCAGCCTACACGCTCTCTATCTAGTGACACGGATTGGTCTGAAGCATACTCTGGTAGTGAGTCCCTTTTGCCTGATACAGATACTCTGACAGTACTTAATGGTTCTTCCTCTGATTTTGTTAATGAGATTCCATATGAATCATCTGGGTTTAGTGATGTTAATATGCTTCAAAAAGGTGATGTTATAAATGCAGATGAGAGAGAAGTGAAAATTTCCTCCTCTTTAAGTGAAATGGCTTCCAGTGCTGAAAGTAAAGTGATACATGAACTTTCTACATCTGTTTCTAATAATGTTGCAATTGGGCAGAATATGTCTCTGCAAGAAAGTCCACTTCCTGTTTCTAGCACAAAGGGAATCCTTCCAGTCTCTCTTGCTTTTCCCACTGCTAAGATATTTGATCATGATATTAGTAAACTTACAGAAAAGCTCCTTTCTGTTCAGCCTTTGCATGTTACAACTCCAGCCTTTGATGACACTTTGCTTAAACCTATGCTTAGTGCAAGCTCAGATCAAGCTCACTCTGTCCCTGATTATAGCAAGATGTTATCCTCGACTCAGCTGTACTTCTATGAGACCTCAGCTACATTAAATAATGAAGCATTACTGCAATCCTCCTTCCAATTTTCTGGCGATGGCACTCTGCTTAACACAGCTGCCTCTGTGCCTAGTGATCCGATATTGGCTGAAAGCTCAAGGGTTCAAAAAGATAGTTCTGCATTTGACCAAATATTGCATCAAATGGCCCCAGGTTCTGCTACAACTGAAAGCAAGCTGCATTCTACCTCTGCACCTTCTGTTGCTGATAAGATGTCAAACGCTTTTAGTAAGCCCACAGCGTCACTTCAAGGTTTATCTTTTTCTTATGCAAGTGAGAAATACGTTTCATCCAGTTTATTTAACAGTGAAGATGTTCAGAAGGTTATGCCTTCATTGTACAGTAGCGATGTTTCATTCCAGCTGACCAGTTTAGAAAATACAAATGCCTTTCCGTCCCAGGCAGCGAATGCTGTAACAACTCCCTTTCTAACAGGTGACACATCATCACATGTAGCTACTCCTACAGAGAGCCATATCTCTTCAAGTGTTTTTGAAAGAAGTGAGGCTGACAGTGTCTCTTCAAGTTCCACACTTGTTCATATGCCTGCAGTTGTTTCTGATTCTGATGTGTCCATTCATCATACTCTTCCTTTACCAAATACGCTTATTTCAGTTACAGCTGTTCCTTCCAAAAGTGAGATCCCTGTAACTTTGACTAGGTTACTGGTTCCTTCTAGAGAATCCTCTGGTTTGTCTCCTAGTATCGTGTCCAGTACTGATTTATGGTCTTCTGTAGTTGAGGATGACTACGATGAATATGATGATGGCTTCCCTGTAAGTAACTGCATCTCATGCACTTCCCATAGAGAAGATCAGGATATGGTAGTAGAGGATGAAAATACAAAGGTTAATGTTAACAAGGATCAGAGTAACCTAATTATAAGTTCACATTCTGAGAAACCTGAAGAAGAGAAGTTTTCTACTGCTGCGTCTAACAGTCAGATAAACCATGCCACGGACAGACATAATTATACAGCCATACCAACTTTGTCAGCAAATGTGATTTCTGAGAAGCACAACAACCTGAAAATTTTGGAGAACCACATTCAGACTTCTAGTGTCCAGTTGCAAAACACATCAGATTCTAAGTCTTGGGCTGTTTTGACAAGTGATGAAGAAAGTGGTTCTGGCCAAGGTACCTCAGATAGCCTTAATGATAATGAAACTTCAACAGATTTCAGTTTTCCTGACCATAATGAGAGAGACACTGAAGGGGCAGTTGAAGCAGGTAACTCAGACTTAACTCCTGGATCATCACAGTCATCAGCCTCATCTGTTACTAGTGATCACTCATCAGTATTCAACATCTCTGAGGCAGGTTAGTTATGGATAAGTCTAATGAATACCATGGGAAGCTATGAGGGGATACATTTGTGCCATGGAGAATGAGAAGGTTTATCTACAAATAATAAAGGGAGAGCATAACAGTTCCAATGAGTGTGATTAGGAAGCATTGGGGAACCGGGGTTCATACCGAGCTGGCTATCTTGTGAATGCTACTTCTGGCTACTTAAAACTGCACCTGAAATATTCTTCAGTAAGATGATTGATGCTCTGCTTTTGGATAGATGCATACTGTCAGCAGAATTTGAGTTGTGCAAAAATTGAAACCGGAATTGTTTCTGTGCTAATTGTTGCTTTTAGTTTTAAAGGTTTGAGAGGGACTTAGGTTAAGTTCTCTGTACAAAGACAAGTGCTGCCCTTATGGAAATACCACCAGATGAAACCATGCCTCTGCCAGAGGAAACATACCTCTGATATTCTCTTTTAAACTTACACCAGCACATTTTTTTGTGGTTTTCTGAGAGGTTGAACAGGAAGGTGCTTGTTTGATTCTGAACTCATAAAAGCATTCGTTTTTATTTTGTGTATGCCACTTTCAGATGTCAGTGAGANAGGTTTTGTGCCAGATTTGTGTATTCCCAAAGTAGAGTCAGATTCTCGTGTAGCTGTTTGTATTTAATGCTCTTTTTTTATTTATTCCTCTTAAATTCAGCGACAGTATTTGCAGCCCATGATTCCAAGGATAAAGTCAGAAGTCAAAACTCATAACACATTTCCTTTGTATTTAAAAATTCACCGTGGAAAATCTGAAGTATTCAGACACATGATTTTCATTCCTTCTTATGTTAGAGAATTGAAAATCAAAGAATCAAGCCAAAAATAGTCGATCTTTCAGAAAAAAAAAAACAAAACAAACAAACAAACAAAAAAAACACCAACAAGCAAGGTTGAATTAGTATTTTAGAAAATAAAGTGAATTTCTGTTATGTACTTGCAGCATCTGTAGAGGGCAGTATCCTTCAACTAAACCCATTAAGGAATGGGATTCACAAAGCATGGGAAGGTTTCAGCCAGTTCTACAAATAAATAACATAAAAACCGTTGAAATTCATAAGTTTGTATTCCTTATGAGCAACAGAATGATAATATGAAAAGATGTTAAATTAGCACTCGATATGGTTGGGGCTAGGAGAATGTGAAAAAAAGAAAATGAAAATTAAGAGAATAAAACACATTGAAATTACTGAGAGTCCTAACAAGGTAGGTGTTACAATATTAAATCAATAAGTCAATTAGTTCTCTGATAAGTAGTTACCACTTTGTGTAAAATGCATAACGTTCTTTCAAAAATAAGCAAAAATAGCGTTAATATTTCAAAACCTATGTTATTGGTAAGAGTGAGTGTTGCCATAAAATACTAGAGTTTACATAATGAGTGTAATTTGAATTTTTACCTATAATAACTTGAAAAGGATTATACACTGCTGGAGGAAGAGGAGTACAACAGGCTTAGTTTGTCTTCTAGGTATTATTGAAAAACACTCCACAGTATCATTTCATGTGCATTTCTTTTTTCCCAACACATGATGCCAAATGCTGGCTTTTAATAAACTGAACATTCAATTTCATCACATCTAACATGGTCTCCTGTAAATAAAAGGCATATTTGCTTAATTAAATTATAATGAAATGAAACAAACAAAAATTAATCTCTCACCTGAGAACTTACTTATACGTTGCAGTGGATTTTGCAGAAATTGGTGAAATGTCTTCTTGTTGTGACCATTTCAGAAAAAAATTGTCACTTAAACTTTTCCCAGTCTTGTAGTCGATACATAATTATGCATGGTCTGAACTAGGATTTTAACCATAAGACCTCTATGGCTACCTAAACCTTTCAACTTCTGTTGAAAAACTAAGACAAATTAATAGAAAGAAATATATGAAGGATCCAAACACATCAGTTATTTGAAATCAAAGAAATCTGCTGTAGCTGAGACTGACTTTTCAGCTGCCATCATTGGAGTGATAGCCAAGTAGGCAAGAAACCTCCTGATACAGGAGAAGCCTGCACTTCCTTCCCCATTGGAGGAGCCCTAATAGGAAATGGTCATTCAATAGAATATGAAGTTTGAAGGAACCCTGTCATCACACAGATAGGATTGGATTTTATGCTGTGAATTAGTCCAGAGCTGGATAAGCAAGTCTGACTGTTTCAAAGGGATTGTGTTTTCTCATGCATACACATAGTTTTTCTCTGAAATCAATAGGAAGTACTCAACAGACACTTGGAGATTTTTCAGAAGCAACTTTGTGCCTTCGATTACTTTGCCCATTGAACTGCAGAATTTAAAGAGAAGGGGTTGATATGGGTGTTAAACAGTATTTTGAATTAAAACTAAGAAGACATCTGCAAAATTAGAGCCTAGACTTTTTTGCACATAAAATCCCAAAAGCCTCTGAACTCAAGAAAATGGAAGCAAATAGAGCTGCCTGGAAATCTGTACTGTGTGAAGCCATTTGTCTTTTGACATCCTATTTAGAGCATGTAATTTGCTGTCTTCTTTTTTTTTTTCCAGATTAAACTCCATTCTTTCTTCCCTTTGTGTAAAAGCTTTTCATTCGTGTAGAACTGGTCTCTTGAAATCCCAGTGAAGTGCAGATGGTTTCCGTACAGCAAAATTCTGCTCTTACACAGAAAATTCATTGAATTAGGACTGTTCGCAAAAGCAGAAAACATTCTAGGGGTTTAATTCCAAAAAGTGCAGAAGTGCTTATTTCTACAGTTTAACTCAAATAATGCTCACATTAAACTGCACAGATTGAAAAAAGTCAGTTATTTTACATCAAAGTCACAACTTTAAATATTTACTTCTTGAGGTATGAGCAAAACTAAAAATAAAGTATTGGTGTTGTTCACCATTGTGTTTCCTTTTTTAATAAAATTATAAAATATATTGTTTTTATCTTCATACAGATTCGTATGCCCGAATATTTCTGTCATCCAACATTATATGGCTCACAGAAATATGAAACCAAAGCAATGTCTAAATAATAATTTGATCACCTGTAAAGATGGAGGCAGGAAATTTAATTGTGGCTCCAGTATAGTTGAGAGAGGCAATTGGATTCAAAGGAAGCAGGGTGTATCTATAAGGCAATTTACAGAATGGGCAGTGAATAAAAATACAGAAAGCTAAACTGTGATACAGCGAGCACATAAAGACTATTGCAAGATAATTTTCATGTTAACCTATTAGACAGAGAAGTGATTTGTGTTATATGACTGACAGATTAATATCAACTCCAATGCACATTCCAGTATTATGTATTCAGATTTCTTAACTCATTTGGCTTTCAGCTAATAAAACAGATTAAAAAAAAAAAAACTTTCTTCTGAATTTTAACAACAGTCTGCTATTCTTACAAAGAAGTCTCCACTGCTGGAAGGCTGAGTCACATGAGCTTCAACACTTTGCTTTACCCTCTATCTGCTTATCTTCTGTAAGCTGGTTTGCAAATGTGTAAACTTTCCGCAGTACATAGTAAAAAAATAGAGGTAAGTGATACTAAGTAGGCTCATTATAAGACACATTCACCTGTGTTGTGCATTTCTTTAAACATGGACTGTTTCAATTTTCTCTGACTGCAGAGGCAAGTAATATTAGCCATGAGTCTCGTATTGGTCTAGCTGAGAGTCTGGAATCAGAGAAGAAGACAGTTATACCACTTGTGGTCGTATCAGCCCTGACTTTTATCTGTCTAGTGATTCTTGTGGGTATTCTCATTTACTGGAGGTAAGTTGTTCTTTCGTTGATCTATTTTTCAGTTCTAAAGAGCTGTGATTTGAAAAATGTGATTGGCATTATTAAGCTGGTTTAGAGAAGGGTGACTGGATCTTGTCTCTTATCTTGTCTTCATATTGCTCACTGTCATGAAATGACAAAATAAGGTGGTTTTTGTCCAAAATACTCAACCACAGTTTTTGGGGGTTTTTTGCAGAGGGTTTAACCACTGCAAATAGTTTATTCACATATTGATAGACCTTAGTAAACAATAACATATGATTGATGTCTAGAGAGCAAGTGACTTAACAGATCATTGGGAAAAGAGGGAGAAGAAAAATAAATGTGGCATGGGGCTGTTTACTATCTTTTCAGTCCTTTATCCCTTAAAAAAGGTAGTTATCATTTTAGAATGAGAATCTATGGTCCTCAACAGGACTATATAAATAATCAATATGGTACTGTAGGAGTGTGCTGTGGCTGACCCTGTGGGGAAGACAGAAAGGGGATAGTTTAATGATACCATAATAGTATAACTGTTTGAAGATCACTTACTGAGTAGCTCTTAGGATGTTCTGTGATTAAAAGTCATTCTGCTTTATGATTCTGACAAACTAAAATTAGTCCCCAGTCTTTCAAGTGGATGACTATGGAGGCTTTTCGTGTGCACATGTGCTCAGTTTCCTCATGGATGCATTTCTCTGTGATTTGATAAATTAATAAGTCAGTAAAAACAAAAATAGGATCAAGAGAATTGATGGTTATTAGGAGTCATTGTAACAAAATCAGTAAGAGCAAAAAAACTGTATCCACACTGTGAAATAAAACAGACCAGCTAGCATGGCAGAGATCTCTTCCATACAGCTGTAATGACTTCCCTCAGAGAGGATAAAAAGAGTGGCTGCATTCATATTGCTTACTGGGGATGGCCTCTGCCCTGTGCTACCCCCAAACTGTGTCAAGCATTGTGTGAACTATGCCTGAACTAAAAATGTACCAGGAACCTTGTCAGCCACATGGCAGTGTGTGGCAATGCTCAAGACTTTGGCACTCTTCCCTTGTTTCTAGTTAAAGTCAGTCTTCCTAGGGACATGTCTGCTTAAGCTCTCAAAACCCTTGCACAGCCTAAGACTTGATCAAGTGTGCAGGTTGTCAGGGGGGAAATGCTGTGGTGGGCCAGAAGGGGGAAATAAGTTGCAAAAACTTTTACTTCGATTGCCAGGAACCTGATCCTGCTTCTGCTGTGCTAACATATAAACTAGCAGCCAGAAACAGGACCTTGCTCTTAGAGGGACTGTACAAAGTAGTGGGAAGACAGGCCTAAACATATTCTTTCAGATGCCTCCAGAGCTTGTTTCTTCTTCCTTCATCCCAAATAATCCTGCTTATTCTAAAATGAAAAAAAAATATTGGTGGACAACCAATAACTTTGGCCCTTTCCAAACTACTGACTACTGTAATCTCCAGGCTGTGATGTCAGGATTGTGCTTACTGACTTTTCTTCTAGTCTCCTGATACTGGTTTTCTGTCAGCCTATCAGGGTGTGTCCCACCCTGGGGACAGAACTCATTCCATCCCTGAACAGACTAGGCTGGAGAAATAGAGCTCAAGCATCCTTTTTTCCAGGCAAGTGTGCTAGTGAGTCAGACAACCTTTGCCATGATTAAAGTCACTAGATCAATTAACATTGAGAAAGATTTCTTTTGCTTTTCAAAGTAGTAGTTAATTACTATAATAATTGCAAAACTGATTTCTTAGTTTATGCTTAGTTGGATAACTCTATTCTCCATCCCAGGATTTCCAGCTAACCACTTGCATACTGAGAATCTTTTCCTGTTATTCATGTTATGCAACATGATTGTTCATATTCAACTTCCAAATGGTTTCATCCCTGATACTGAACAGTATTTGAAATCTCTTCTATTTGCCAAAGAAGGCCGTGAATTTAAAGACCCAGATTGTACAATGCAGTTCTAGTAATCCTACACGTTACAAGCTTGTTTTTGTCGAATAACATTGTGTTCATTTTGTATTCTTACTCTGGGAATGAACAATTTTGTAAAACACATCTTTGAAAATAAAACAAAAATCCTGTTAGCAATAACATCTTCTTGCCTTGAATCTAATCTTTTCTGTATTTCTTGTGTACTACAAAATCAAATATGGAGCTCTTTTATTGTTAATCCTCAAAATTATTTTGGCATTATGATAACACCAGTAACTATTTCTTATTTCAGGGGAATGCAACAAAAAGACTATGCATCATAGATAGGACTTTACAGCCTCTTTCAAAGTTGCCAAAACATTCACCTCTTTTTAAAGATAGGAAAAAAAATCGGAATATTAACTTCATTGCTATGCAGATTTCATTAAGCTGGAAAATATTAGTATAAACTCTGTAAGATTTTTTCTAATAGTTAGATTTTGTTTGTTTTGAAATAATTGCTCTTAGATGTTAATTTTTCTTTTTATAATGCATCTTTTTTTCACCTAATTTGGGCCAATTATTTTCCCTTACTAAAGTTCATAAAAACATTTAGGTTTATAAGAAGTTATTCTATATTTCTTTTGCAATGGTAGTTCAGAATAACTATTGGTCTCTCTCAGCTGGTCACTTGAGTAAATAGTGCTTTGGGTTGCTTCCACTATTAGCTCCTTATTTGAATATGCAAAAGGTATGGTATTGGTTTAAAACCAAATAACTACCAAGAGCAACAAGTTCCAGTTTCTCAAGGTTAAAGAAAGGCAAAAAAAATATTTATTTCTTCAATTTAATGACTTGTATCAGAAAAATAATTCTGTACCATCTGTTGTTTGGGTTTTGATTTGGGTTTTTTTTTTTAAATGAAATTGTTAATCAGCACTTGAGGAAATTCTCCAATCTCTTCACTATCTCATTAGGCACAATTTCAATCTTTTCTTGATAGATATATATTTCTCTGACAGGGATTAAAACTTCTAATGGCAATACTGGTTAAAGATTGAATAATTACCAGTAGGAAAATACACAATTTTTAAATACTCTGGTTTTATGTATCTTTCATAATTCAAGTAATTTTCAAGCAATGTCATCTTCCTTTCAGTTCTTCAGTATGATTAAGATTACAGTGGAATAAACAAAGGGATCCTTTGCCCTGTTTAGTGGTCTTGCTGTCCAGATAGACTTTTTTTAATAGCTTCAGAGAGAATTTCCTGTCCTAATCTGGAGTCCATCCATTTTTTTCAGTATCTGTCTACTTTCTGAGTTCTTGTAGCAGAGATACAGCAGGAATACCTGAATATACTTGATCTCTTCTTTTCTTGATGGCTTCATTATTACCATTCTGCTTAACGATTCATGTTTGTGCAGATCAACTTTTATATACATTTTAAGAGCTTGGAGAATAGTAACGTGGTAACAGTTATCAGTGGGAGCTGTACCATTCAAAATTCTTTTTCAACAAACATATGTGAGTTGTAGTAAAAGACATGTGGCATGAACCACAAACTCCTAATGCAGTTCCAGGTCCATTTGCATCTGTAGATATACTATCAGCTGCCTATCATGCAGCCTGTTAGACATTTTGTGATAGCAACACTTCAGAAATTACCAACCTGATGGCAGACAACACCCTGAGTAGTTATTTGAATTTTAATTTTCTTCTACCACCCTATATAATTTGAAACATATCTGTCAGAGGACATTAATTTTCTTAGCCATGATTTGAACTAATGCACATGCATTAGTTAAACTTGCACATGCAGAAACACTTAAACTGGATTTAAATATACAGAGGCTACGTTCATCTCTCCGTAAAGGAAAATCTTCTCAACAGTGTGCCATGACATAAAGAAAAGTCTTAATAAAATCTGACAATTAAAATTCCAGTTGACAAACAGATAAAAATTAATTGCAGCTATTTAAAAACTGAATAATTGGCGTCCATTGGGGATCCACTTATAGCTCCTTTGGTTTCACCAGATCTTTAAATTATCTGAACATTTAAAAAAATCTAGCAAGTGTTTGAGAATACCTACTGGCAGATAGTCCTGTGAGCTCAAAAGACACTGAAGTTTTCATGTAAAGAAGCAATAATGCCTCTAAGACCATTCTGCATGCACAACAGAAGCACGAACACATCCTCTGATTTGCAGAGCTCTGCTCCCTTCCTGAGTGCCTGGAGCAGGAACACTGCACACACGCACAGCCCCGTGCACACAGAGTGCCGTGCTCCTTGCCTGCCTCCACGACAATCCCAGCCAAGCTCTGAGCACTCCCCCACGACAGAAGTCAGCAGACATTCTCAGCCAAGGTCCAGGGGCTCAAATGCTAGAAAATCTATGTCCCCCGTAGTCAGAGGCTTAGTCTTGTAGTCTCAAGTAGTTCCCGTTGAAGTATTCATTCAGAACTAGTATCCCTCCTGTCAGACTAAAGTGCTGCTGCTGCTGTACAGATACAGACACTGTAATTAATTCAATGCTTTAGCACTGCACCATATATAAAGTGTGTGTTCGAACAAGTGCAGTGTCTAAATTACAAATTACAGTTTTAGGTTGGAGACCTAAGTGCTGTGATGAAAGGTGTAAATTAAATAATCAGGTTATTGAGCGATGGAACCTTTGTCTAGAAGTTTTAAATAGTCAACACTTTTTTCGTTAACAAGTGATAATTAACGAGATGTGAGTATTAACATTAGGTTTAGCCATGAAGGCTTTCAGTGCTGCTGCAGAAGCAGATGGAGTGCCTATTTATGAGTCTTATTACAGGTTAAGTCAACTGCTATGAATTTGTCTCCCATATGTGTTAAGGGTGTAATTTATTTTCAGCTACAATTAACTTTTTAAAGATTAAAAATACCTTGGCTCAGTGAGGGATAATGAGTGTATGGCATAATATGAGGACATTTTAATGCAGCTTTAGATGTGAAAGTCATTACGCTAATTCTTTGTAACTCAATCTTTTCACAAGCAAATAGGTGACAATGTTATATAAACCTTACATATGATGGTTATTCACAAGCAGTAGACGTTTGGGGGAAGGATACTTTTTGGGTTTGGAGCTTTAGCATCAGACTGCTTGGCATGTTTGGTTGCTTCAGTTTTTAATAAACACAATACACCATTTGCTCTGCCCAGCAGACAGGGCCAGACTTTCCAAAGTGTTTAATGAATTGAAGACTTGGAGACTTGCCTGCATCTCACAGATATTTCACACACAGTTGTGATACTAACTCTTGAGTTTTATGCTAACATTGAGACAGCCTCTCACAGCAGCCATTAACTCTGATGCTAGAAACTCCAAAATTTAGAAGGGGGTTCCCAGGTACCTCCTGACTGTGTGCTTGGTCTGCATCCAAAATTCCCACTTCTAAGTAAAACCACATACATAACAGATAGTATTGCTCCAAATATCTCATGCAAAGCCAAGGTTTCTCTGTGAACATCACAAATACATTTTTAGAGAATTCCAGCTGGACTTCAGATTTAATTGTCATGTGAATTACCAGAACTATTTTGCATGCCTCAGTTTTCCCTTTTAGGTAGCTGTCTGCTTTTTATTGTAGTTTAAGAGAATCTGTATTGTACACTGATAGAAAATTCCCAACACATTCCAAGAATATGGGCATGTTTCCCAGAGGCTTAATTCAAATAAGCTTACCAAAGTCTTTATTATCTATATTAATGGTTCTGGAAAGAATGGCAACAGACAAGTATTCCCTATGTATTTCTCAAAGAAGCTTCAAAATTTATTTCTGTTTATAGCAATTATATGAGGGTTTTTATGATGCAATGACCCAAGAATGGTACAGAATTTAAAATAACATTGATTACACGAAGTAACAAACAATCATACAACAGTGGCAGCTAACAGCTTTGACGAAGCAGAATCTTGTAAATATAAAACGAGATTAGTATTTTCATGATGCATGTATTTCTTTTTAAATTTAATAATTAGTGAATAATATTTCAGAGAGATTAAGTGACCCAAAGTTAAGATTGCAATTAGCATGTCTAATCATATGGAGATTTTTTTAATTAAAGAGGCTTTGCAATGCTTACAGCAGCAGTTGGTTATTCATTCCTGAATAGCTTGGATTCTTAGCAGATGCTATTCCTATTATCTTCACATCTGGATTACAGCACACATACAAATAACATTGTGGGTCATAGTTAAGGTTGGTTCCATTTGTATTTGTACTTGAATGTTTGTGCAACAAAGCTGGCATCTCCTGGAGTTAGAAATTGCACTGTTTCTGTCTGTCAGCTTTGGGAAGTCCTCCTTGGTTAAGGTGTCCCTCAGTGTTGTGATTACATTATTAAAATTTGTTTAGCCCCAGTCCCAGTAGTTCTAGAGCCACTGTTTTAGCTGTTACATGGCATGTTGTCTTTTATTGCATTTCCATGTCTGCAGTAGCATCTTTCAATGAATTAGCAGAACTGATCTCGTACACTGCTCCATCTTCAGGCTAGCACCATCACATGAAAGGGAACAGTAATTATTTAAGCGAATTTGGATGAGTAAGGAAGACAGTGGCGTTTTTTGTACGTGGAGTTGTGCAGCATCTACAGTAGCTCCTGATGCAGTTTCTCTTTCAGCTGTCATTATGTCTGATGTGTACTCTATCTTCTGCCTCTGGTATAAGTAAAGATGCATGAACTATGTATTATGCTGAGGTAATGTAGTATCTTCACGTTATGTGCATAATTTGGTGTTGTGCTGGGGGAATATTTATATTGTAGCAGTAGTATTTGACACTCCATGAAAACTGGTTTCCATAACAATGATTTTTCTTTCTTACTCAATAATGCCAGAATTCCAAATCCTCTCAGATAATGTTTTGGTGGGGTTTTGTTGGTTTCTTTTTCCTTCCCTTTTTTTTTTTTTTCAATATTTTTGTATTTTTATTCCTCTCTAGGAAATGTTTCCAGACCGCTCATTTTTATTTAGAAGATAATACATCCCCTAGAGTGATTTCTGCTCCCCCAGCTCCAGTCTTCCCAGTCTCAGGTATTTCTGGCAACTGTTGTGTGGATTGGTGTTAACTGTTGGAAGATGCTACTTTATATATGTCAATATGAATTCTTCATATACTATAACATCTGTAAAACAGAGATTTGCAACTTCTTGTACAAATCTGTGTAAACAGGTACACTTGATATGGGCAGACTTGTGTTATTAATAGTCTCTTCTGTAGGTAATGCAAAAGAGAAATATATTCAGCTTACAGAGTTGGCTCAAGGTTAGTCTGTGCTTTGTAAGTCATTTTAAGTGTAGCCTCATTAGAGTGGCTGCTCATGTAGCCATCTGAGCTACACTAAAATCTGAGCTCTAGGGGACTACACCAGCAACTTACTCTGTTGTATTTCTGCCTTTAATTGGATTTGTCACCTGTGTATAGAACATGTCCTATTCTTTTTAGCAGCAGGATGAGGATATGCCTCATATGTCTGCATTTCACTTGTAATTACAGCATGTTCTTGTACTTACATATTTTACTAGCAGAGTTACTACGGTAAAGTTAACTGAACCTCTCATGAAAATAATACAGAAGTTCAGAATATTATTAGCATCTTCTGATTCTATATCCACGATATTTCTTTGGAGACACTGTTTCCTTTCTTTCCTCAAAGTGTATCAGAGGAGTGTGTGCCACCTTTCAGCTTTTTCAGTGTAGAGTGAAAAAGATTAATTTCATTCATCTATTTAAACTAAAAATAGATTAATTCCAAAGCAGATCCTAATCCACATTCTCACCTATGAGACAAGGTTGTCTTGTTCCACAAGTAATGTTTTTGCAAATTGTGTATTATACAAGGAGATGGATTTGCGTGGAATGACTAAAGGAAGAAAATCAGCCTTTTTGTGAATAACTATTAAACACATTTAATTAAATAAATCCCAAACATTGGGCTTCCATTGTAACTGAATTGTAGACATCTTCAAATGCATCTTGAATGGATTGCCGCTGTTAATAGATGCATAATCTTTTACTAAATGGTTAAAAATCAGATCTATGGCTTGATTTCAGAAAGCATGAATATATAAGAATGACAAGCGGCAATCATTATAGAAAATCTCTGCTTTAACTCTCCATCATTAACTATATTGCACCACAACTGTATAATTTTCTTACAATTTTTCCTAACCAGGTCACCTCAGGGGGAAAGTGTTTTCCTGTGTCATTATTTCACTTACAGTTATTCTGATGCCTAAAATTCTTGTTTGAAGATAGAGGTTTGCCTTCTGAAATTATAAATATTAATTATTAATTTAAATCTTAATTATTAATTAATTATATTAATTATATTAATTATTCTGAAGTGATAAATATTAAAGAGAAATTTTTTTCTAAGTGACTGAAGATACACAAAATATTTTAAGGAAAAAGCTGAAAGCATTGAGGAAATAGTTTTATTTTGCATGCAACGGATGTCAAGTGAAGAGTTAATGTGTTTTCTCTTGCACAAGTGTTTTGGCAATGTAATTTTACAATTGTATCTAATTACAATATAATACTAGAAAAGAGTGTAAGGCAGGAAGAGTGTTTTGCAGCTGCTAAGTTTAATTCTTATGGCTGTGACCAAAAGCACACTCCACAGATCTCATTATGTATTAAGTTTTCCTTCCATAGAATTATATAAAGTTCTCTTTCCTTTCATTGGCAGAGATAGGAGATCTGCAGTTATTCACAGAAAATGCCATGGCTCTTCACAGCGCAATTCAAAGACGAATTCAAATAGTAATGAATTACAGGGTAGGATTCAGATCCACTATCAAACTCTTTTTAAGTAGTTTGAAGTGATTCTGTCATCCAGATATAAAATACATTCCTAGGTTCAGAAGTGGTTGAACAGGGGGATTTCCACAGCCAAGGAAACAAAATCCAAAATCTATTTCTACATTATTGTAATCACTCTGGGTCATTTACCTTCTCTTCTGGTTTTTGTGTTTTCATATCATTAGGATAAACACTTCATGCTAGGTTTCATCTCCAAAGTGTGAAGATTGTGTTACACATTTGTTCAGCTTTTCTTAGGCTTTACTGGATAAATTCACTTTTTGTATTCAGATCCAGTCATATAAGTGGAAGACCAGATGGATCTTAGTACAAACCAACAAATTCTTGGTAACTGAAAGCTAAAATTATTAGGTGGGCTAAATACTGAACATCTGTTGATGTGAATAATAGGTCCTCATTCAATGTTTCTGACGTTTCATTCACAAATGAAATGGCGATGAAATTACAGATTGTGAAATAAACATATTTTAAACCATGAAATGCTTTAAAAAACCCCAACAAAATTATTCTTCATAACCAAAATTAAGTGAAATAATGTCATCCTTTAGCAGATAATTAGAAAAGAGATGACTTTGTTTACACAGCGTATTTGCCGTAAAGAGAAGATTAAAAGTCCCAAAGGTTTTTGATGTGGTTCCTGATGCATATTTTACACAAGTAGGTTTTTTGTATTGTTTGTCTAAAGTAAAATGGAGATGTTACATTAATCACATTTATTCTTCAAGAGTGTAGATTTTTTCTTTGTGGGTAGCCAAAAAGTCTTAAACATAAATCTTTAATTTAAACCTTGAAGTATGAAGCCTGATGTGGAAATCTGTGGTCAGTACTGCCATGATCAGACATAAGATTATTATCAATAGGTTATCATAGAATCACAAGGAGAGCTGGGAGAAAATTTTGTATAGAAGGTAGTCACTAATGCAGTAAAAGACAAAAATTAATTCCTGTTTCTTTTGGACACCAATGCAAACACGCAGCTGTCAGTTAATGTGAAAATACTGGCACAATGCTGCTTTAATTTAGTAGGCTTGGGACTATGTGGCTCATCCATATACTGGATCCAAGTTCCAGTGCAACACTAATCAGCGTGGAGCACCCAGACAACTCTGCCTAATCACTCCTACTGTATCAGTATTATTCAGAGCTCTGCTCTCTCCTTTTGAACATCTTGTAGGAAAGAGCTAAAATCCTCCTGTATCTCCTTGACTTCACTGGGAATTTTGTGCTTTCTTCTACTTACAGACAAGCTCAGTATCTTGCAGAATCAGCACCTTCATTTGGGGGGCTTACAGACAGAGCAAGACCTAGGAAGGCATTTTCATTATCTTCTTTCCAAATAACTTAGAAATGTACAAGTGTTAGGTAATTATTTTAGAAATGTTAATGGCGTCAAAGAATGTTGTATTTTTTGGGGAGTTGCATATCCAAAGTTCATGCCAAGAATTTTATTTCAGGGTGTTATATGGATTGCCTACATATGAACTTCATTATATGTTACTGGCTTTTCATGCTACATAAATATATTTTTTGTCTTTTCCCACCCCTAAGATGATGTTGGAGCAATTCCAATAAAGCATTTTCCCAAACATGTTGCAGATTTACATGCAAGTAATGGTTTTTCTGAAGAATTTGAGGTATGGCTCTATGATGTCATATTTTTATTAGCACGTACCAATAATGTTAAGTTTAGATGCCTGCAAACAAAAATTGGGGCATTAGATTTTGACTTGAGCACCAATTTCATGAATGCATGCAAATGTGAGTGCTTTGAGCCCAGTATAGAGTTTATGCATAAGGCCTAGCAAGATTCCCAATAGCTAACAATGGGACTGGTTATTATTGTGATAAAATGCTGAATAACTGTGTGAATAAACTGTGCAAAGGTAGTGCAATGTATGGGTTTGTCAGATACAGTAATAGATTTAAAGCTTGTCAAATACTAATGACAATTGAATTTTGCAGAAACTACCCACATTTGCTTGTTCCATTTACAGAGAAAATAAAATTGAAGTAATAATGAGTACACGTGGCAAGACTTCTGATTAACAGGGGAGCTAATGTAGTCTTCATATGTGGTAGTAAAAGTTTTACAGTTCCTTTCCTAAAATATGTGGTCTATAAGAGGTATTTCAAAATGTTGAAATGTATGCTCTAATCATATAATGTTACTATCATCATAGGTAACTAATGATCTTCATTGTTTTTCACACTCATGTATTGCAATCAATTAAATAAGAATATGTTCTAATTTAATTCACATAAACATTAAAACCCCAAATACTGTAATTAAAGCTGTGCCATTAGCAATTTTTACAAGAGATTTCTAATAAAATCAGTCTATTGGGGTGGAAACAAGTATTTTAACAGATCTATATTAATTTAAAATACAATTGTAGTATCCCTGTTGCAAAAACAATAATGAAAGTAAAAATTCAGAGTTTTGCATCTTTAGGTTTTGTTTTTGTTTCCCCGGCCAGTATTGTGATCTAGTGGATCAAAAATTCCACATCCTTCATATAACTTTATTCATCAGCATTTCTTCTTCAGTTCATTTAACATTCAGAATATCCATTTACCTGTGGGATCAAGTTTGTAAATACTTGTGAATGTCCAGTACATATTCATATATATTACACGTGTATATGCACCGATGGAACTGGACTCCAGCTTGATTAGCTATTAAATAAGAGCAGATGCTGAAAAGACTGCATGTAAATACAATGGATACAAAGTTCTTTTACCATTAGTGAGTACAGCAATACAGAAATCAGATTGTTCATTCTAAATTGATATTTTCCTACAATTTCAGTTTTCCTAAATTGGAGCAATGATCTAAAGACCAAGTATAGTGCATGTCACTGAACTACAGCAGTAGCATCTGAAATATTTCATGCTGGTCTTAAATATTACTTAACAAAAAAAATCAGTGTCCTCATCATTTCTTGGAGATCTTTTTTTGCTTTATGGACTACCCTGGAAACAGTGTTAAGTTCTTTTCTCTACTGATAGAGAAATTAGAAGCATGGGAAAAACTGAAAAATACTAATTGTCTTTGCATAATTAGCATATATTTGAAGAGTACAAGGGTGGTTCGGATTTTTGGGGGGGAAGGGCAGCAAGTTTTTTTAATATTACTACAAAAGAATTCATTTAAAATCTAATTTTTAAACTGACAACCACTTTTCATATATAAGTAGATTAAGGTGATTGACATTAAAATTAATTATAAAGGGTGTTGGGAAACATTAGTACTTTTAGTGATGGCAATGTATTTGCTATTTAAAATTGTGGAACTTATAAATGCTTGAGTTTCCTGCCAGCTAAAATAATCAATAAAATGAATTAATTTTGAGAGTCTTACAGGCTTTGTGCCTGTCTTGTCAAGTCTGTCTCTCTCTTTATAGAATTGTGAAACCGCTGTGAAACCGCTGGCAGCCTGAGTGAGGGCTGTAACTCTATGTTTCCCCAGAGTGCTGTGAGAACTGCACACAGTCCTGCTTCAGTGGAGGTTTTGCAGCTGAATGTAAAGAGAGCAAAAGCATTCCCCAGAGAAACTAATGCATTTATAAGAACATAAAAAAATTCCAGTGAACTGTTAAATATATAGATAATCTGGCTAAAGTCTGTGATGTTGCTCATATGTACAAGCTTTCATTGGCCTAATATCTAACATTAAAGATCAAGATAGGAAAAGAAATGCCAGCATTTTAACTGGGAAAATTACCTCGTTTCCTTTAGGAGTTATGTCAAAATATTCAGTTTTGTTATTATGGATATATTGCATGACCATAACTGTTTTCCATATAGTGATCGTAATTTATATAAACACTTATCCATTTGTTCTGTGCTGTGGAATTTGATTTTTTTTTACTTTTTTTGCATTCATTCCCTCATTAGACACTGAAAGAGTTTTATCAGGTAAGGAATTATTTCACTGCATTATTTTTTAGCAATGAAGTAGTTGTAAAATATCATAGATAATTGGGTATAAGGTTGTGGTTCTTTTCATGCTTGCTTACTATATTTAAAGACATTTTATGTATCTTAATAATTACTAAAGTGTGACTTTTTTTTTTTCAGGAAATCCAGAGCTGTACTGTAGATCTAGGTATTACATCAGACACCTCTAATCACCCTGAGAACAAGAATAAGAATCGATACATAAACATTGTGGCTTGTAAGTAAAGGCATCACTTGTTTTGGGTGAGAAAAAATTATAAACAAGTATAGATTTATATATTGTTAGCAGGAGCAAAAATATTTCTACATTGAAACCTCCAGTTACTGTTCAGTAAAGTGCTCCTTGGAGAGGAGTTAGCATCAGATTTCACATTTCTTCAAGTTAATCCTCTGATATTCTACTGCTTTGGTGAGCGTGTGTTAGCAACATATATTTGTGTCTTCTGCAATGACCCAAAGGGAGTTGGGAGATTTCATTATAATGCCATTAGAAAGCCAAAGAAGCTTTGATTGTCAAAATTAATCCATCTTTGATTTAGAATAATGATGATTTATTGTCTCTATGAGCTTCAAAATCCTTGGATATATTTACTTTCATATATAAACATAAGTGTTCTGGTTTTATGTTGTATTATGCCTGGCAACAACGTAATACAGCAGCTTCATTAGCCAGTACACTTGTTTTCCCGTTGCATCACTCCTCCAGATTTTTCTTCTCTGAAACACATCTATTCAGTTTTATTCATCTCTATTAAGCTTTTGCCTCTGTGTTTTCGATCATTTGGTGGCTCAATACTTTTTTTTAAACTCTCTATAGCGTGTCAACTTTGTTCTGATTACAAGAAAGCTCTAAATTAAACACATCTTCAGCATTCAGTGTCACTAAAGCTTAAAAAAAAAGCTGGCAGAGTCAGCTGTCTGGCAGAAGACAATGTAAACCAGCAACAAAAAATGCCAATCCCCCTCGCTAAAGATGTCTCTAAAGGGACAAAAACTCAGGGATTTTCCTCTGCCACTGTGTTTGTACCTGATCATACAAAAGGTGTTAGCCCAGGGGTTTTATTAAAGAGCAGTGCAGAGGCAGCTTAGAGCAGCTAAAGTAGCAAGAATTGTCCTCTATAAGTGACTCAAGTGTAGTTCTTACAATCAGTGCAGGCTACAGAACACTTCAGCTCACCCTGATGCAGTCACTGCTGACTCTTCAGATGACCAGCATTTTCAAAGTCCCATTGCTTTCCAGAGTCCACTCTTCTAACTTGGAATTAAAGTTCCTCAACACTGGTGCCTACTGTCATTTTGAGACATCCCATTGAGCAGACTTGGCTGTCAGGAAACAGACCTACGGAAGACACCTTTAATATCAGCAGCTAGAGGCCTCAGGGGAAGTATGTCACAGTGGCTAAAATGACCCCAGGTGCTGCTGTTCAGGCCACTAGATTCTGAATCCCTTCCAACTTTGGATTCATTTCTTTATTATTCTGCCAATTCGAATTTTTAATCTAATTCATACCTAAAAGAATATTTGCATTTGTTACTGCATTTGCCTTATATATTGTAAAAATACGTTTCATTATTTTTATGAGAAAGGATAGAATTCTTACCAAAAATTGCTTATTTTCTCTCTTGTTTTACTGCAGATGATCATACTAGGGTTAAGTTAGCACAGCTTGCTGAAAAGGATGGAAAACTGACTGATTACATTAATGCCAACTACGTCGATGTAAGTGCCTTTTTCAATCCATTAGCCTATGGTTCTGTCAGCCTTTTCTGTAAAAAAATTATGTATGGAGATGAATAGATTTAATTCAAAAAAAGTATCACAATATTACAGATTCTGTTAAAAAACTTTTTTGGTCTAAGTTAGGCCTACAAAGTTAAAGCAAAGGTAAAATGCCAATTCTTTCTTGAATCCATCTTGATATTGTAGCAGCTGCAGTTAAATGAGGGGCATTTTTAAAGAAAGAAATGTCCTGTCACATCTGAGTCATTTTAGAAGTATATCTCGTCTGAATGGTTAATTCTCCCATCTGAGATAATCTCATGAGAGAAAGATGCCATTTGGCTCAGAGCCTCACCAAGATACCATTACCAGTTTTCATAACATAATTACTTACATGTGAATGATCATGATTCATTTTTTAAACCACATTTGCAACACATGTATGTGTCTCACAATTACTATTGTGTCAATGTTCTGCCTAAATACTGGCATTTGAACATACATATCCTATTTGTTGGAATGATAAACAGGCAACAGTTGTATTCATATGTCATCTGATACCACGAGGTTTCTGCAATTTTGATAGTTAAAAATTCAAAAGCACTTAAAAGCTTTTCAGAGATTTTAAAAATAAATACATAAAATGTCATGTACACCTCCAAATTCCTTTTGCTCATGAACAGAGATTTGACAAGTGTCATTTCTTATATATCAATTTAGGGTTACAACAAGCCAAAAGCCTACATTGCAGCTCAAGGGCCACTAAAATCAACAGCAGAAGATTTCTGGAGAATGATATGGGAACATAACGTGGAAGTTATTGTGATGATAACTAATCTCATTGAGAAAGGAAGGGTATGAGTATCATTGTTGTCCATTTTTTTATTTCTCTGATGTTGGTAGATCTACCTATAGTAAACTCCTGTCTTTCCTTTTTAAAATCTGGTTTAGTCAATTATTGAGCAAAAAGCAATAGTTTTTTGTAGTTACTTGTACCTGGATTGGCTACAGAAGCATCCTGTTGAGGATTTGTAGCATAAAACTAAAGAAAATATTAAATAAATCTTGAAAATACCATATTCTAACCACAAAAAAAAATCTTATACTGAAAAAACGACTTCTTATATATAATATGAGTGAACAGACTGTGGGTCACATGCCACATTCTGCTACCAATCTGCTTATGGCTTTGCTTGCCATCATGCACTTTGTCAGGGTTGCCTTGGACCCCAGAAAGGAGAACATAGTTCAAGTGAACTTCTCTGGATATTCACTGTCTGCTCCCTGTTAGCATTCCATGGTACGGTTCCTTTCTTACTACATGACTAGACACACATCTGTGCAGTGAGACAAAATGAGGTCAAATCTCATCACAGGGTGTGTGTTTTTCTGATTATGTGATGGGATTATACCTGTACCCTGGGGTCACATGAGGACACATTGCATCACACTTGCCACACTGGCAGCAATGCCTAAAATGAATCTACATCCTATCATACAACCTATAAAGCATCTCTCAGATGATACAGACAACATTTGCAGATGAGGGCTGCACTGGGAATACCACTTCACTTGTAATACCATGCTATAAACAGGCACTCTTCTAATACTCTTGTAGAAGGCTATATGACCACCCAACTAAAAGGCTGGATGTATCACAGCTCTCTCCTGTATATTTGAGCCATACACAGGCTCACTCTTACCCTCACTACCAGATACAAATGTACTCTGCCCATATTAAAAACTAATCAGAAGCCACATACAACTCTACTGACTTGTATATATTCCTATTTTCCTGTAGATCATGTTATTTTCTTTAGTTTGTAGAGTGTCTATGGAATAGAAAATTCCACAATATTAGGCCCTTTTAACTCTGATAGTGTGATTTAAACCCCTTTTTTGAGTTTTCCAGGTAAAGAGTATTTGTGCACTGCTAATGAGCATTTTTTTGCACAGCACAAAATAATTGTCATCTCTTCTCCTGCACAGAATATCATGTCTGTTATAAACTGGGTATATTGACAGTTCCGATACAGTTTTGTGCTTTAATCTGCTCTAAATTTGAACATTTCAGCTTACTAGCTTGACATTTTAAGGGGTTTTCTGTCCATTTATAGAGACATTTTCTAACAAAGAAAATTTCTTTCTAACAGAGAAAATGTGACCAGTACTGGCCTGACGAAGGTAGTGAAGAATATGGGAACTTCTTGGTTACTCAGAAGAGCGTTCATGTACTTGCCTATTACACTGTGAGGAATTTTACTCTTAGAAACACCAAGATCAAAAAGGTTTGTGGCATCCTAAAAACACAAGTAGGCAAAAGCAAGTGTTAAAAGATGCTCAGAATAATTTTAAGGCAGTTGACAACTCTTTTCTTCTATATATGTAAAGCCTAATCCTATAGATCTCATCCAGCCAAGATGCTTCTCAACTTCAGTTAATTTGACCAGATGAACAAACTCAGAAAACTGTAGGACCATCAGGGAAAGAACAGTGATCACATTGGAGAGCTGATGTGAGCTTTGCCTTCATGGATAGCAGGACGATACCTTTTCAGAAAGAGAGCAACTTGAAAAAAATGTGGTATGAGTTAAGTTATCCACCTCAGCTCTCCATTTTCCTTTTTAAAGACAGGTGAATGCACACTTTGTTTTATTGTAACCAGAACCAGCATGATCTCAGCTCAGCAGGGTGATGTTAGTTCCTTTGAGGAGAATTCTGAAAACTTAATTTATTCCAGCCATAGAAATGTTTGAGACATCTAGCCTCTCGCCCTTCCTACATAAATAATACATAACGTTCAGCATTTACAATCAATTAATTGATTCTGCCTATTTTAGGAACCAATCTTTGAATGAGATGACCTGCTTTCAGAAGGCATCCCTGCCTCTGAATGGCCATGGAGGAAGGGAGCCTAGAAACGCAGCCTACACAAGGCTACTTACCTTGTAGATCACTAAAGCAGGGCAAGATGAATCCTACTCTTTCTGTTCACTCAACAGAGGAGCAGAGTGGCAGGGAAGAGCTGGTGACTCTTGAGAGCAGCTGCAACTTATTACCCTCCAGTGCCCTTAATGTTTCTCTGTGGCTTTCTGAGACAGTGTCAGGTCATTTTTCCACTCAGTGGGCAAGCTGGTGAGACGGAAGCACTGGTCCTTCCCCTTCTCTTTGAAGGCTGGAATATTCAGAGACAGATGGCATGTTTTGAACTAAATAGGGATAGTACTGGAGATGTGGGCTGCTTACATGTGGATTTTCTTTTTTGTTGCAGGGCTCCCAGAAAGGGAGGTCTAGTGGACGTGTAGTGACTCAGTACCATTATACCCAGTGGCCTGACATGGGTGTTCCAGAATACACACTGCCTGTTCTCACCTTCGTGCGGAAGGCATCACATGCGAAGCACCACGCTGTTGGGCCTGTTGTGGTTCATTGCAGGTGTGGTTTTTAGTGCTGTAAGGTTCACTCCACTTTTGTTTTGCAGAAAATAATAATGTTTCAGTGGTGGGTTAAGCAAAATTTTACTCTTGCATTTAACGATTCCTGATGGAGTAAGATTAACTTCTTAGCTGATATTCTTATCTGATATTTCTCTTCTTCATAAGCCCAACTAATCAATTGCGCCACTTCTGCAAATCTGGCACTATGTTATTTTTATTTTTTTTGCTAAACTGCTTCCACTTTTATCTTTTTATTCACATTTCTGTACTGCTATCTTGAATGGTATGAACTTATCAGATACATGTGTGGGCACAATTGTTTCATTTCTGCAAATATATTGTTAGGATGCTTTTGGATCACGCTTTCTTTGGTGCACGGATACTCTGTAATCCTAAGAGGAGCTCTATGCACAAGAGAAGACTCACTCTCTTCCTGGCTGAACTACAACTCTGCTGTTCTTAACATTCTCTGGGTTCTAGCAATCATTTGCAATGCAGGAGAGTTCTGGGGAGTGGTTGAGGATGGTTGAGGTCTGCATGTGCCGCAGTGTGCAGGCAGGTGTTCTGTCAGTGCTCACTAAAACTGGCAGCTCAGGGAAAATTGGTTAAAAAGGGCTTGTAGAGCCTGGAATGACTTCACAATGCCCATGAAGGACCAGGTTATTGTAAAATATATAAGCAGGTTCTGGTTTTCCACTGTAGTACCTCACCTTTGATGGAACATTTGGAAAGAGAACCTCCTCATGAATTCTGTCCTTCTGGAGCTGACTCTGAGAAAGCCAACAGGTAAAGTCACCTCACAAATGCTGCAAATGAAGATATTTTATTTGTGGGATGATCTAATCTGACATCTGTTTTTAGCTCGGAAAATGAAAATTCCATATTGTCCAGTTGTTCTGCTACTATTTACATCTTGCCTGTTCTTGAGAAATTCAAAATGTCAAGTCTGAGATTGCTGAGATATCAGCAATACATTAGGAGTCAATTAAATTGAGTTTTTGAAAAGTGAACAGTGGTAAGTTGTGTGGCTTCAGTCAGACTTCTTTGGGTTATAGGTATGACTCACCTCTGGCAGTTTCGTATGGTTTTTAGCTAGCCTGACCACATGCACTATGGAATTTCAAAGGAATCATCTCGTGCCTGAAATATAAATTTTATTTATATTTACAGGCTATATGGAAGACAAATGAAGAGATTAATGGAACTTATTTTAGCTATTTTTATTTGGCACTTTTCATGTTTTGTCTTTCATAACAAGTACAGATGGTGTCTGGTAATCTTCGTACTTCTTTGTGTCTAATAGGTATTAAAAACCTGGACCTTTGAGTTTCATATCATACTTATTTAGACAGTTTATTACAGCATTCTGAGCTCACTCTACCTGGGCTCTGTGCCCCCTCTGTGGCAGAAATGAGATGACTGAATTAGCATGTATGTACTGAGCTGGATCTGCCCATAGGGGACCATGCAGACCCAGCACAGTGCTGCTCTCAAGTTACGTGTACAGTATACATGATGTTCCTTCATATATTAGAGGGGAAATGCAATGTCTGATTAGATAGCAAAAACTGAACTCTTGACGTTGTACTTCCTACCCAGATATTTTATAAAAGGAAAATATTTTCTCTAATTTTATGATACAGATGGGTTTATACTACATTAATCAGAGTTCATAACAGGAATGAGTTGATTAACGCTGTCTTCTCCATTTTCTATTTTAAAAAAGGTTTTCAAAAATTGCTTGCCATATTAATTTTGTCTAAAGAGCACTAAGCTTTTTTCTTTTACAGATATATTCTGAACAGTTCTGCCATTTCCTGGGGTTTATTTTTGAAATCTCCTGTACTGTAGTGGGTTGCATAATGCAACTTTTGCTTTAAAGTGGGGTTTTAACATAGAAGAATTTGAACACATTAACTGTGCCCACCTTTTCTAGATATACTTGGCAAAGTATCCTAGGGAATATCAGAAGAATGAAAATTGCAGACTTGCAGGAAATCCCTTAGTTCTATTTCAGCCAATAGTTTAAGAATCATTTGAGAAAATTATCTTTTCTTGCACAAAGAAAAATATTATTATCAGCCTTGAACCTTTAGCAAAGTGTATCATACAATAAATTCATTTGTAGAGGGAAATCTTCCGTATGCAGCAGTTTGTTAAAAAAGCTATGTGTATGGTGCAGTTCTTTCCATTAGTGTTTTACTTCAGGCTCAAGACTACTACTTTTTTTTTTTGTTTTATAGTGCTGGTGTTGGAAGGACAGGCACATACATAGTGTTAGACAGCATGCTGCAGCAAATTCAACATGAAGGGACAGTGAACATATTTGGATTCTTAAAACACATACGTACCCAAAGGAACTACTTGGTGCAGACTGAGGTAAGAATAAAATATAAATATCATGAGACTATTACAAACTTTCTGTTTGCGGGAGGAGAGATAATGCAATCCTCTTTTTGGCACCACCAGACAGACAGAAACCAGTTGCCAGACTGGATTTTCCCTTTTGCTTCCCTTGGTTTTATAGAGACATCCTTCTAGGCATGCTTAGAGAAGCGCATTAGAAATTACCTTTCCTTGGGCTGTTGTCCGTTTATTAAGGAGAACTCAGAAGGAAGCCTGTATAAATCATGCTTCCCACAGCAGTGCTTTCTTGGCAGGACTTTGTGTTTTTGTCATGGAGCTTTTTGAGGAAGCATCATTGTCAGGCATTCAGATCTTCAATGAATCTCATCAGTTTATATTAGGCAATAAAATATGTGAAAAAAGCTGTTTCAGACAGAAAATTATATATAGATGCTTTAAACTGAAGATTATATATAGAATATTGAAAGACCAAGAGAAAAAAATAAGGGCAACAGCAGGGCATTTGAAAGCCTATTTCAGGTTTCAAGAACAGGGAGTTAGATTCCCCTGTGCCTTTCAAGAGAAAGAAAATGTTAATCAACAGTTAGGGTGCTTATTCCAAAGGATGTGAAAGAGAAAATAGAGTATAGCAGTAGGAACTACGGGTAGGACTGGCTTGAAAAGTTGGCTCAAGGCTGTGCTTGCATTTTTGCCTCTATTCTGTTAACATGAGAGATCATAGGTAATGAGGATTTGGTATTATATCATACATATATATGTGTGTGTATGTATTGCAAGTGTAATTGTCAATTGTGCCTGTAATGTGTGTACCGTCATTGCAGAGGGACAGCCTTCACTGCAGAGGATCACATTTGAGAAAAACTCTGTGAAAAAATACTGACCACATCAGAAGTGGTAGCTTAACCAGAGGTGTCCAGGGGAATCTGAAAATCATGAGAGCTCAGATGTTTGGTTGTGTTTTCCTAGGAGCAATATATCTTCATTCATGATGCACTGGTTGAAGCAATACTCAGCAAAGAAACAGAAGTCCTTGAGACTCACATTCATGCCTATGTTAATGCTCTCTTGATACCTGGACCAACAGGAAAGACCAGACTGGAGAAACAGTTCAAGGTGAGCTCTCTGAGATAGCAGTGTGAAAATCTTTACGTTTGTAAACCTGAATGACTTAAAAGTAGGTATATCAACTCAACTTTCATCAGCTTTCTCTACCTAAAATTTAACTGCTGAGTCTAAATTAAGATTAAATTTGTCAAATGAATGCAGTCAGTTGGGACAGAAACAAGGAATCCACCCAAAAGATCCAGAAAAAGAGATCATGAGAAATAGGACAGTAAGTAGATTTTGGAAAATTTAACTACATGTCTTTGCAGGAAGATCTCAAACGTAAAACTGCAGTCTGGAAAGATACCATTGTGGCGGATATGTCATGAGCTATATTGATCAATCAGTGTACTCCTCTCAGGGTACAGCACTGGCTAGATGACAGACTTCACCTTCAAAGATATGATTATTAATCTAGGGTTCAAGAATAATTTGAACTGCTAAGAAAAGTGAAGAAAAAATATTCTGGTGACTTACTGAGTAGTTTAGACAGATAACTAGATAGCTAAAATTAAGAGAGACAGCATACCTGCAATATATGGAGCCTTCTGTTCAATGCAGCTTATGTAGGATTGGCTTTTCTACAATTACCTGACCTTTTTTAACTTCATTGTTTCAGTTACTGAGCCAGTCTAACACACAGCAGTGTGATTATTCAACTGCACTCAAACAATGTAACAGAGAAAAGAACCGAACCTCATCTATCATTCCTGGTAAGCTTGTCCAAATCCTCAACAAGAAATGAAGACACCTGCATTAGTTTGGAGCGATGTTCTGTAGCGTATATATAGAGAAGAAGTGAATTAAGAATTACACATAGAAAAGCAAAATAGATGGCTGGATAGCACTTTATTCCAATTGATGTAGCCCAGTATTATCATTACTGTGAGATGTGAGATAATTACTATAATTTTATATGAGTAATTGCAACATACTTGTGAATTCATAACTTTTTTTACAGTGGAAAGATCTAGAGTGGGTATCTCATCACTATCTGGTGAAGGCACGGACTACATCAATGCTTCCTATATTATGGTAAGTTGGTTAATAGATTGGTGAAAAACAATGAACAGCTGTTTTCAGAGCTGCCATTTGGCTGATTTAGGGTGGCACAATCCTGATTTTGAAAGCTCCTTTCTTCTGCTATTCACTCTGCCTGAAAGAGTTACTTCCCCCAGGAAGTACTATTACCATTATCACTGGTTTTAAGTTTGGTTAAGTGCATTGCATTTTAACCATCTGTAGAAACAGAAATTACATCATAGTTTTGAAAACTGGTAAAGCTAAATGTTTATGGAAAGATCTTTTGAGATGAACTAGATGTCTAAATGTGTTAACTAAAAAGTTAGTTTTTAATGGCAGTATTGTGGTTTGTCTTCCTACCTCTTCATCTCACAGTGCTTTTGCAACTGGCATAGCCTAAGATACTGTAGTTCATCAGCTTTCCATTATCTTTTTGCTCTCTGGGTTTTCTTCAACACTTCCCCCCTTCAGTAACTGAGAGGGAAGAGTAAATACTTCCTGGACATTCAGGAAAGAGATGGCAAAGCTCTGTGCAGTGGTATGTGTACATGATCTTTTAGGTGCATTACTGCATAGGAACTCTCTTTCATGGTAAGATATTAATCTATCTGTACAAATTAAGAAACTGCCTGGGATTTTTGCAGATCTTTCAGGTATTCTTTTATTTGGTCAGGTAGTCATCTCCTCTGGAATTATGGATCATTTACTTTTATTCTGGGTTGGCTGTTTGAGTCTCCTCTGATCGCTTTTGTCTTTTTTTTAAATCAATTTTTTTAAAGTCTCAAAAATTGTTTCAATGTAATTGAATTTATTCTTTTCATATGGAAAATATTTCAGTGGAAGTTTTATATTTTTCTAATATTTACAGGAAGCCAAAAAAGGAACAAGTATGCAATGTATTTTCTAGGTTCTCGCTCTGTCCACTAGAAGTCTCCTTTAAGTGTTAATGCTTGGGCAGCAATTCTGAATCTGTCAATTGTATTTTTTTTGCAGGGTTATTATCAAAGTAATGAATTCATTATTACTCAGCATCCCTTACTACATACTATAAAGGATTTCTGGAGAATGATATGGGATCATAATGCCCAGTTAATAGTCATGCTTCCTGATAGCCAGAATATGGTGAGTTCCGTGGCCGATTGTTATGATTGTTATGTATGAATTTTATTAATATTACCAATTTGAAATATGAAGGATATGAGAAAATATCTTGAATTCTGCAAAAAAACAGTTAAAAATTAATAATATTAAGCTGAATGTAAAATGCCCAATTAATTTATCAGAAATCTAGAAATCCTTGTCTGGGCAGATTGTGGCTGGAATGAAAACATACTGAATCAGTTCTGTACAATTTATACAAGGAAGCAAACAGCAGAAGTAACCATTATGCAAGGTTAGTTTTTGCTACATGACTTCTTATTTGTAATCTGGCTTCTTAGCCATTCTAAGATAAGGGCAGAAGTGTGAGGTTGCTTCTCTCATGACAGCATCTGGTGGGACCTTGGCAGGGCCAGGACCACCAGTGGCCGAACATTCCTCACATATAAAAGAAACCTGTGGGGAGTACAAGTGGCCAGGAGCACTATCAGCATGGTGGGCACACAGGGCATGGGGCAGCAGTTCCTGCAGGAGGTTGTGCAGGAAGGGCACTGAAGCCCTGCCAGCTTGACCAGGCACCAGTGGTATCCACCCAGCACACAGCTATGGCCTCTCTGAGCTCTGCATCCACCACATCTGCAGTCCACCCCACTGTCCCTGAAACACACATAGCTGGCAGACAGGACACATGACAGGGAGGATTCCCTATCCATCTGACCATTTTGGTTATTCCAACTATTATGGGATTTTCTTTAAAAAAAAGTCTCTTCATTTCTATTGACAGAAAGGATGCTCCCATTAACTTTTTCCTGCACTTCCAGATAATCCCAAGACCACACATACATTAGAACACACCAGCTAAATCTAACTTATGACCAAGGGCTATGCACTGCACAGCACAGCCTGAAGGCCGGGCTAGATGTGTGGCATGATTCTGCACTACAGGTTCATAGCTATGTAGGTCCAGAGAGTATCTTCTGGTCAGGATCACTACAGAGGTGTTTGGAAACCATCACTTTGCCATTGTAATCCCACTCCAAATTTATTTTTTCAATTTAGATGACTGGATTGATTATATATGTGACACATTATTATGTTGGATTTTGTATTTTAAGAGCTTAATGTTACTTATTTTATGACCCAGTTTTTGTTTTTATTTTCTGGAGGCTGAAGATGAATTTGTGTACTGGCCAAACAAAGATGAGCCTATAAACTGTGAGAGTTTCAAAGTCACTATGATTGCTGAAGACCACAAGTGTCTGTCTAATGAAGAGAAGCTCATAATACAAGACTTCATTTTAGAAGCTACACAGGTAACACTGTCATAAACATATAACTCAGGACTTAATTTTTTAAAGGTAATGCCCACATTTTGTTACATTTTTGATGGTAAATGACCGATAACAGTCCATGCCCTTGAAACATCCATGGAGGGAGTAACGTCTATAGGGTAATATGATCACATGGGGAATAGGGTAGTCCAGCCTCCACAGCAGTGGGGTTCTGCATCTGGAGGCTGGAGCTGGAAAAGGTGAAGGAAAAGAATAAAGAAAGTCAATCTTTTACAAAATAGATTTATGGGTTTGTTTGTTTGTTTGTTTGTTTGTTTGTTTGTTTGTTTGTTTTTAATTATTTAGGATGACTATGTACTTGAAGTGAGGCATTTTCAGTGTCCAAAATGGCCAAATCCTGATAGTCCCATTAGTAAAACTTTTGAACTGATCAGCATCATCAAAGAGGAAGCTTCCAACCATGATGGGCCCATGATAGTACATGATGAGTAAGAACTGTACTTTTCTGTTTGCTTTAATGTTTTTCTGTAAAACCATCCTTTCATTGGGCAAACCTGCTGAAATAAGGCACAAAGTCTGCACTTAACAGTAATGGTGATGTTTCTGTTCCAGCTGCATCAACAAGAGAAACATTTTTATTTTATCATACTTCATTTCAGTTTTATCATTTTGATACTCTAGATGGTTTTCAGGTGGGTCACTAGAAGGGAAGTCAGATAAGACTTCATTGCCTTTTACTGAAAGAATTAACAGTCTAAATGAGGCACCATACCCTTCTCCAGCTGTTCAATAATGAGAAAAAGTAACAAAATGTTCAAAGGACAGAAGGACCCAAAGCCTTCAGCATTTGGTTAGTAGAGGATTGTACAGAAATAACTCTATGAAGGTGCTGTGAAAGTTATTTTAAGCCAGTGCTGGGCAGAACTGTTTCAGATATTGTAAACAGCACATGACAGAAATTAATCTTACCAGTTTTCCCCAGAATTTGTATTTTCTCCAGCTATAAACCTGACCCAGTTTCTACAGTTTTGAGGGGTTTTTTTGTTGTTTTTATTGTTTTGTTTTACTTTACAAAGGCATGGAGGGGTGACAGCAGGCACTTTCTGTGCATTAACGACTCTGATGCATCAACTGGAAAATGAGAATTCAGTGGATGTTTACCATGTAGCAAAGATGATAAATCTGATGAGGCCTGGAATCTTTACAGACATTGTAAGTAATAAGTAAAATGTGCACTTTTTTCCCTATGTGTGACATTATTAGCATGCTTAGATCTTAGGGCAACATCACTGAACTATTTGCATCTTAGTTTCTGCATGAATTAATCAAAACTCTTCCAGTCTTCCAGAGGTGTTGTAGAAAAAGAAATCTTCCTGAAAAGAATTCAGATGATGAAAAAAAAAGAAAAAAGCCAACAGACAAACAGTAACTCTAATTCTATCCCCAAATTTGCAATTGATTTTAACAAGGATCAGATTCAGCATATAGTAATTCTTTTAAAATACAGTTTTCTCCCCTACCTTTACTGCGTTCCCGAATGTTACCCTTTACGTTGTGATCAGGGGGAGCCATTAGTGAGAAAATAATAAAGCTGCTAAGTAACACAGTAAATACTGGAGACTGTCACATCAGCCGTTAATTAATTTTGAGCAACAGTGTCACAAGATAACTATTTCTGCCAACACCCTGAGTGTATCCTCTTTTCTTCTCCAGGAACAGTACCAGTTTCTGTACAAAGCTATTCTCAGCCTTGTCAGCACAAGACAAGAAGAAAACCCTTCAGCATCCATGGACAGTAATGGCTCAGCTTTACCTGATGGAAATGCAGCTGAAAGTTTAGAATCCTTAGTTTAATTAGCACATCAAATCAAATGTGCACATCACTGCATCACACCAATCACACCTGGAGTTTACCATTTTCAGTTTTATACTTTGGGTGGGGAGAATCTGTCCAATCAGTATATGTATAATCAGACCCCAACCATTGCTCAAACCAAGTCATTTCTGTTATATACGACTTTACTGTGGAACTTTTATCATTAACAATGTGTGCCTTTTCTTGAAAGATTTCTTGTAATACATTGTTACATCTGGACTAACTTGATTGACTTTTAAAGTGTTTCTAATAATCGAATTGTGGTATGTTTTTTTCAGTATTACTTTTTTTGATTTATCTGGCTTTACTTTTAACTTAAAATTACCATATTTATAGATTTTAGGGAATCCTCAATTACAAACGTCATGGGTTTAGTATTTGGTTTATTTGCTGTATTTATAACAATTTAAATTTGGTAGAAATGCAACTTTTAATATAGTAGGCTGTAAATAAAATACCGTTCTACATAACATTCAACATTTTAAGACTTCAGTTAGACATTTAGAATAGTAATCTGATAGTTACTGTAAATACTGCTACTTCTGTAGTGATCCATGGACCAAATTTATATTTATAATTGTAGATTTTTATATTTTACTACAGAGTCAGTTTTCTAGTTCTGTGTAATTGCCTTGTTAAAATGATGTAGTCAGTATGTTTTTACTTTAACGAAGTCTTCTGATATATAATTGTGCATCTTAAGCAATCTACCTTCATATAACTGCATGTGATTTTAACTTTTTGTGGGAACTAGAAATCTTTTGTTTTGAAATGAAAACTTTTTATGAGACTAACACTGTACTTGGCATTGTTAAATTGTTTTTACCCTGGTATTGCAAAAATAAATATAAATATTCCAATCTCTGCTTAGCAGTCTTCCATATAAACAGTCTGCAGTGTCATGCAGAAGAGCTTTTACCTGCAAGAGCAAGGACTTAAGGCTGATCTGCAGACAGTTGCTCTTCCTAGGGAATCCACGAGTTCAGGAGACATTTATAGAAAACTATGTTTTTAAATCTGTGTTCCTACCCATACCTCTAGTGTCCCACATCTCCCAGTCTGGTTGCCTGCGTGTTAATGGGCTGTCCCAGGTGTCCCAATCGCCTTGGCTGAACCTCTCCCAAGACATCTCTGTGCAGGCTTGGCTGCGGGTCATTCATTCAGCACCTGAGCTCTTTGCTGCCTCTTTTGGCAAGGCAACAGCCAAACTTTGGGAAGCAATAAAAGCAAGCAGGCTCTCCAAGCACAAAAGCAAAATGTTTCAAATTGGCCTCAATCATTTTCTGTAACTTTCAGAACTGGTGAGAAACGATACTGATTGTACTGAAGGTTGCAACACCGAGGAGCTGGAGGAGCCTGAAGAAGAGTAAAATCTTTGTTTAAAACTAGCATGGGCAGCAAGACCAACTATTTTCTCACTTTATATAGGATATACAGTTGCTATGTAGAAATATTGAGAGCAGAAATACTGTTCTGGAGTAGAATGCACAGAAAATAATGGACCCTATCTGAGATGTAAATTAAGCAGGGGAAAGGACAGGCCTGATACGAGCTTGGAGATTTTACTTGACTGATTCCTAGAGTAGGCATGTGTAAGGAAGCTCATTGTGTCAGCAGACAGATCTAGACCCCCTCAGCAGAGTGTGATTGAGGATTGGTGGGAGCTGCAACAAAGCCAAAATAAATTTTGATTTAGATGAATCTAAACAGCAGAAACTTTAAAGAATCCTCATACTATTGGTACATGAAATGAGCGTGAAGGTCCTAGACAAGGAGACAGACCAGCACAGAATGTCAAAATAGCTAGCAGTGAGGGAGATATTTTCATGCTCTTACCCTCTTTTATTACAAGAAAAAAGATCATATAAACAAAACAATGTATCACCAAATCATAGGAATTGTGTAAGGTTGGAAGGGACCACTGAAGGTCACTGAGACCATGTAACATAGGGGGGTTTACAAAACTGTGTTAAAGTATTAGTATGCTTGAATTCTCTTTGACCTTTGACCACTCCTCTTTATAGCCACAGCGATGCAGTCCGAGAGGTTTTAGAGTGGTTGAATCCATTTGACTCAGGACTCTGAAGGTTTCCCTTTCCCCATTCACCAGAGCTGCATGCAGGATGATTCCCCTGTCAGCCCAATGGCCCTGTGCAGGTCAGCCAGGGAACGTGCAATGCACATGTTCCACAGAGAGACACGTGCTTACACACACACACAGGATGGTAGAAATAGGATTCATAATATAGAGAACAGGACTAGGAATAAAGAAGGAGGCAGGACAGAAGGCCATTGTCAGACACAAGGTGTGAATGGGTGAAGGTACTGGCCAGCAGCCAGCACATACACATGCAAGCACCTTTTACCCCTTTTCTCTCCTGGTTCCTGTGCTTATTATGTCCTTGTTCCCCTTAGTGCCTCTGTTTCTCCAACCTTGTCTATATCTTTGAAGGTAAAAAAAGTTGTTACCTTAGCTTTGCTACCCTGTACCCAAATGTGCAACCTCAGATGCTGCCGTTTAGGTCATCTCGCCACAATGGTGTTATGAAGTTCCCTGGTATTTCTTACCTCACAAGCTTTTCTTTCCAAAAGGTATACACCAGAGCTTGGCCTTCCCTCATATAACTTCCCCTGAACTGCCTGTGTAGCACCACCAGACTTTATGGTACACTTCCTAACTCCTGTCAGCTGCTCATTCTTGCTCTCTCCAGCAAGTTTCTCAGGATCTGTACAGGCAGCTCAGCCTTGGGCCAGGGGTGCCTGCCACGTGCCTGCAGATACAAGTATTCATCTCTTTAGTTCAAAGCTATAATAAGTTCATTAAATAATTCAGAGGGAATCTACTTTTCTGGGCTAAAAAATCTTTATTCAGGTTTTTTGTTGTTGTTTTTATTTTGGGGGGTTTTTTGGTTTTTTTTAATCCTGTGGTCCTTGACATGGTTGCCTATTTGGTAATGCTGAAGTTCAGGAAGAACAGGACTAAGACAGGACTCCTAAGTGCAAGCAAACATGCAATGTATCCCAAGTGGATAAATGCTTTCGAGGAATAGGATCTAGAAGTATTTTAAATTGCAGAGTCTGGGGATTGACAGGAGTTAAAAATGTACAGGTGCATTGCACCAAATGATGCATGTTTTTGTAAGAATTACATACACAAATTTTTCACAGTGTTCAGGCAAAAATGGGTGCATACAATGGTTGTGCTTTGAGAAAGGGATTATCTTCTTTTTCAGGTGGCCTGAGGGTTCCTTACTACTTCCTCTAAAGCACTCAGATTTGCTGACAGAATCCATTTGCACATCTAGGCTAACAAGGACAGCAATATTATGTACTTCCCTCTTCTTATTCAATAATTATAGAAAAAATTTTGATATCCTAATCTCTAGAGGTGTACATACCAGAAAGGTTAACTGTGATTTTATGGCCAATTGCAAACCATATTCCATAACCTTATTAGCAGATTCTATATTTATGCAGTTCACCACATTAGCATATTGTGCTATTTCTTCAGCCTTGTCTGGAAAACTGGCTTGTTGCTTCACATATCAAATAGCAAGCATGAAGTTACCTTCTGCTTACGTATTTACAGTTTCATATAGTTGTATATACAAAGTTATTTTTAGGCCAATTAATTCTATTATGTTTTTTCAAGCATCTATGGACCAAAAGCAAAAAAAGGAGTCCTCCTTTCTAAAATCCCATCTTGATATAACTGTTCCTTTCAACCTAAATGTTTTGCAGACATTTTAAAATTGTAATCCAAGGAATCAGCTGTCATTCAAAGTTTCTTCCAGAGATGTTAGTAATCACATTCATCATCTTAGCAGGCTGACAAGTTATTTAAAACGTAAGTGCTTAAGATAATCTCTTTACTCACACATATTGGTTCTGATCTAGAAAAAAAATAAGAATAATAAAAAAAATCTTCTATAATCTTCAACTGTGGTGGATTATAGATTTTAATAAATGCGTGTCAGTTCCTCCTCAGACAAAGGCCATATTTTAATTAATTTTTTTTTATAATCCAAGCTTGAGACTCAAGAGACATATAGCCTGCCTTTTCAAACTGGGTCAAGTGTGGAGAAGATGTTATGTATCTCTGGCAAAAAGTAAGATATTAATAAACAACATCAGGTTAAGCTTTTTTCTTTACAAAGCTGTAAGTCACGTGTGACAGGGAAAATTTGATTATTGCTCCTCCTAAGAAATCATAACAGAGTTGAGAGTTTAAAAAGAAAAAACAGGTAATTTACTATTACCAACTCTTTAGTGATTGTGATGTGGAGATTTAATACCTATGGAAAAGCTTGACAAGAAACAGCAATAAGTGGTGAACAGAAATCATATAAACTCATCACTATCAGTAAAACAACAAATCAGCTAAAGACTTAAAAAAATTATTGGACTTCAAAAATCAGTTGACAAACCTTGTTAGCAAAGTTTTATCACAGTGCTTTATCTGGCTTTACAGTTCTTTGCTGTCCTAGGATAACATGAGTAACTTCAGACAGATTGAAATTCCCTGTGGTAAATGCTTACTTCAAGATGAGTTTAGCAAAGTTAAACTCCTTTCTTGCTCATTTTTAAGTATAAATAAAGCATAGCTGAGGAGGAGAGGGGGGTTGGGGGTTAAAAACAGAAACAAAGGCCACTGCTACCCTAGGTCTGTGGTATCATAGGTTACAGTCTTAGTTTTCACTACTTCCCTGCAGCAAGGCCGGTGTCTGACCATCCACTTCTCACAGGCTTGTGCATTGATGGATTAGGGTTTCAAAGGGACAAGAAGGAATAGATGTGCCTCTCACAATATTTGACCATATCATGTCCAACTCCCCTCCATTTCAAATTGCATTCTTCCCCTTCAAAGCCAAAACAAGTGAGGAGAAAAAAAACTCTTATGGAATGGAATTCTTATGGCTTATGGATTTAATTTCTTTGTTTCCGGAAAGCCACAACCTGTACACACCAGTTTAGTAAGAATATACTTGAGATGATGTGATTTGCCTTGATAAATTCTGCTAGACACCCACAGCTAAATTTCTTATTTCTCCCTGTCACCTTCTTAGTTTTCCAGCCTAATCACAACCATTAGAGTCCATTTTTTTCCCTCCCATAAACAGCTATTTTGCTATGAGCTCACACGCTTTTCCGGCAATGTCACTTTTGTACTCCAGTCCCTCCAAGGGATATAATTCCCACCTGTAGGAGTATCTGGGGCTGAGAGGGTGCAAAACACAGAGGTAAAGAAGCCAGTCTGAGTGTAATGGAGCTCAAGCATCTTCATCTCAGAAAGAAACAGTGTTTTACATGTCATGAAGATCTGGCAATAGCATAAATTCCAAAATTAAAAAATGAGAGACACACAGTGAAAAAATCTTTTCCTTGAAACCTGATCTTTTCCTAAGAGCCTTTTAGCACAGGCAGTGATAGCAGAAGCCATGTGTTCAGCTGAGCAAGGTCCTCAAGCTGAGACAGGCTGTGAGACACCAAGGTTCCATGCCTTCCTGGGGCACAGAGAGATTGCACACATCTACTGTTCTGTAGCTTACCACTTCAGTAGTTATCCTTGTGCCCAAGAATAAAACACGCTGAAAAAAAAGTCTCTTGAGATTATAGATGAAAATTATCTAGATACAGATATACATATATTTATATATATGTATATATAGATGGGCATGTTTAAACAATCCTCACTCCTGTGAGTCTAGCAAGAAGTATGCAAAGGTATTTCATGCACATAGAGAAGTCCATGTGTAGGCATCCTTTCAATATAACCATCTATATGAAAAGCAAAATCACATACAGGTACATATTATTAGACTGTAAAGATTACATGACAACAAAGCAGAGGATTTCAGATTTATTTTTCAAGCAATCTCATGTATAAGATACAATTATCTTTCCAGTAATATGCAAAGAGAACTGAGAAGTATAATCTCCATACAAAAAGATAAGCAATAAATTCATTTAAGTTTAAACATAGGAAAAAAATGCAGCATTGCCCTGGGAATTTGAAATATATTCCAATATAAAATGTTTCAAAAATATTAGCAGTGTTTCTTGATGAAAACACTGCAGTGCTCATTCTTTAGTGCTCCAAAAATATTAGATACTTGTAAAAAGTCTGATTTTCATCCCATACTGCATTTCCAAGGAGAAAAGCAAGTACAGTGCATACATATATACAGAGGAATAACTCCGTGGCTGAGTATTTGTGGGCTAAGGGAGGGAATAGAGAATTCTCAAATAAAATCCTGGTCCTACCAAGCACTGGACTGGAACGGACCAGAAGATAAAAGTATAACTTTAACTCTTAGTTGTAGGCCATTAATCTACCTGGAGAAGGAGGAGGCAGCAGAGAGCAGAACATTCATTGCAGGCTCCATCTTTACCCCAGCTGCATCTACCAACCAGACAACAGACTAACTGCCTCAAAGGTAAGTGGGAAGCAAAGCAATTTTGTAGAGACAGAGCATAATGTGATATATGCATGGAACTGTAACTGAATCCAAACTTGATATTACATTACAAAAGCACTGGTTCAGTATAAAAAGTATTCTCTTTCACAGCAACACTTTGCCCTTCATTCTGCCTTCGGTTCCTTTCACCTAACTCTAGCAATTGCTGCTTCCTCGCATCTGCACAAAGAAAATCCAAATCCTGAGTAGCAAAACCTGGAGATCAAAACTTTAATTTTTGTTATGGCTGCTTTTCCTACCATGCAAAACAACATCTGGAATTCCAGACTCTCAGAACTGTGATTACAGCACTGTTTCTCAGGAAGGAAAAGGCTGTGCATTTATCAGCAAAGTGCATTTGTGAGCAAAGCTGAAAGCAGACAGCTTCCTGCATCGGTATTCAGCTTTAAAAAAGGTAAGCTCTAAGCAAGTGCACAGGTACCAGTGCAAAAACAACCTGCTTACAGCATTACACCTCACAGACCTGACTGGTGAAGTCTAAGCCATGCTTAGACTCACAAGGTGGTGCAGAAATCCCTAAGCAAAAGCCAGAGAAGCAGCCCTGAAATGAAAGGAGGTAATTGGTGCTATTTTACAGAGAAGCTGCACTTGGGCTAAAGTTCAGTTCTGGACTGATGTGGCTAAACTGCAGCTAGAGCAGGGCTGACACACCTGACAGCACAGCATTCAGCAGCAAATGAGCTGGTACACTGACAAACTCCATCAGTCTAAAGTGGCAGTGTAATGAGTAGTAGGCATAGGTTCCCAAATGAACGCTTCAAAACTGTGATAGCAGAAGGACAGAAGCTAATTCAAAAAGTGGCAATTTAAACCTCTTAACCTAGTGCATTCCAAAGCTGCATATACTATACAGTGTGTTCCCTTTGTAACAGTACTTAACCTGGATGAGGCACGCAGTGTAAGGGGGAAGAGCAAACACATCATTTGGAGCATCTTCTAAGCGCAGTAACTGTGTTGTATTTCAGATTGCCCTTCCTAGCTGCAGAACTAAATGTTAATGTGCTCTCTCCACAGCACAAGGCAACACGTAACAGCAGATATTTCAATATATTGCAACCAGCTTCCACTCTGTAACAAGAAAGGGTATGGAGGAAGCTTGCTTTAAATTTCATCCCTCCTCCAATTAATTTAAATTTACATTCATTATAAAGTGATCAAAAATATTAAGATCTAGGTTTCAAATATTTAAGAACTGAACATTTTCAAAATTCAACAGGATCTTATTTGCTAGTAGTGCAGAATTTCTAAACTATTTTTTGCATATTTTTATTGTGAAAACATTCATGAATACTGCGAAAGTGAAAGGGACAACCAGACTTAAAATTTAAATATCATGTTCATCTCCATTTTTCTGAAAAACTATTATTACCACATGAACAATCAAACTTCATCAATGGAGTTCATTACCTAGATTTTTTTCCACCAGAAAATAACCCACTAATAGATTTTTCTTTCAGCTTAAATTTGTCACAATAATTACCCTATACAATTAACAGATAAACTCTAGTAACCAAAAAAAAAAACTTTTCTGAGATATTTTAGAAAATATATAAGGAAAGATCTAATTGATGCTGAAACATGATGAAAGCTTAACAATTTTAAGAGGAAAATACCACAATCTGTGAGTATCTACAGTTTCCATATCAAGCCTGGTGGCAGGTTTTATGGAAGACAATATTTGCACATGAAATGGCAGGTGCTGCCTTTAGCTGGTCCAAACTGAGATTCTAAAACGGGAGGTGGGGGAACCAAAAAAAAGCCAAAACCTGATTAAATCCACTGCTTTCAATTACTGTTTGATAATGCTGCGAGTACTGTACATAATGCCTTCTGCCCGAACACGTTCAAGTATTGGCCCGTAAACATTCTTTGTCAAAGGTATGACCATGCCTTTGGCAGTTATTTCACCTGAAATAAAGGCATTAAAACAATAGTGTTAGTGCTCTACTGGGTTTATTTGAAAAGGCTTTGCTAGCTGCACAGTGGGGTTTTTGTGGGCAAGGTGGGGGTTGCTGTGCTGCACACAGCCAGATCGAGGTGCAGGGAACTGCTGAGTCATTCAGACCTGTGGCATAATCAATTACAATTTATCAAGCTAAAAGTTCTCTACACTAGTGTAACATTTAATATTAAATGATTTTAAAATCTTTTGGATTAAGCAGTAAATTAAGAGCTGTCACTGAACAGCCAAACACGCAAATTAAAAATTCCTGTAAAGAAGATATGAAGAATCTGACAAATTTTTAAAAATACACATAAATATACTTTAAAAAGACTATATATTTACTTTCTACAGGCAGGAAGATAACAGATGATTGAAATACTGTTACTGAAGTTGGAATAGCCACTTACCATCTAGAACCATTTTAGCAGCAATAGCTGTGGGGTATCCTACTGTTTTAGCCATTGCAGAATGTCCTTTGTTATCCCCATAGACAACCAGATCAATAAATTTGTCTTCCAAATGGCCAGAAGGATGCCTGAGACCTATTTCACTTCTCATAACAATCATATCTCTCTCTCCAGTGCCTAAGAGAAAAGCACACAAAATATTCATTACTTGTATTTCAGTCACATGAAGATGAGGTTCCTGAAGAACCAGGCACTACACATACACAGCATGTATATCAGGGAAGCAACTGAAGGAAAGGACTATTAAGAACAGAATACTAAGATCAAACTAAAAGCGTAACATGGAAAGAAAAGGATAAATTGGGGAAGTAGGGAACATCACAGTACATTGAAAAACCTATCATGAAGGTTTATTAATGAAGGTGAGCAAACTAATCAAATTAAGGCTTATAAAAGATATATTGCCTTGTTCCATTCAAATCCATGAAAAGGAATTTCTCACATACCAAAGGGCAGCTTCATCTCCATGTGCTTTGCAAGAGCCCCTACAATGGAATCTGCCGCTGGAACCAGTTCATCTCCCAATAAACCTAACCTGGCAGAAAAAATGAGGAAGTCTTACATCATTGTCTGTCAGCATTTCCATCTCCGTTTTTTAATTTCCAGTTGTTCAGCATGCCAGTTTAACAGTCTCAGCATGAACCAAAATGGCTAGAATTGCAAACATTTCTTTTTTTATTTTTAAAGTTTCAAAATCACTGGAACATTTTACCATTCCACTGCTTCCAGCTGACTTTTGTCCTTCTCCAGTTTGCTAAATACAGCTTCTTTAAGAACATGGTGCTCAGCAGGTGACTTAATTCCAACCAGTTTGCACATGAGCTCTTTCTGTTTGAAAACAAAAAACGTTCATGAAGGCCTGACCATATCTGTTCCCACTCCATCTCATCAAGGTTTTGAGAACTACTCGACTGAGATCAGTAAAAATCTAGGACTACTGAGAAGACAGCTGGGAAAATGAGAAAGTTTGAGAATTTTAATCACAGCAGGTGAAAATGGGGCTTATCTTTCCCTAAAAGACTTTGTACCCCACCCCTCAGCTGCTTCCCCCTACATTTTCAGTCTTATCCCTTCCTCTGGCAGCAAAGAAAGAACATAGCAACCTACATAAACAAGGAACACTAGGAGAATATTAGAATGAAAGAGAAGCCACCTGGAGACTGACAGAGAGAAAACTTAGAAATGGGATATTTTTCAGTTGGTCTAGAAATGGAGAATGTCCTTTTCAAAAGGAAGGAAACAGACCAATAGGATGAACAAGGCTCTGGCAATCCTGTTAGTATTACCAAAGAGATTTCTCATGATACTTGTGCATATCTGAAGGCCATTTTGTGCCACCTAGATGCTAATCACTACTTGCTTCATTCACAGCAAAGTGGATAATAAAAAGAACTATGAGCAAGATATGAAATAAGCAAGAACTGCAGAGTCATGTTAATCCTTGTCTTCTACTTCCCCAGCAAAGCAGGTAAAGTACCAAGACGTAAAAACATCACTAAAAAAAAATATTTGCAGTGAGAACAATGGGTTTATAGCTATTTTTACAGATTACATAACACTGTATACTTATTCATTGGCTAGAAGAACTGGAAATTCCAGTGTCTTTACAAAGAAAATTTGAAAACATCAACTCTAAAATTGAAAGTAGACAAAAATAATCTCAAAATAATAATAAAAAAAACGTAATTCTCATCTGGCCACCCAAAAACTCCTAGAGTTTGTTCATCTTCCCAATACTATATGTTAGTCAGATACAAGCAAGACTGTGGCCTCTTCACCTTCTGCTTTCTTGGTTCTGAGAACACTCAAGACATTCAGCTCTCTTCACCCCATACTGAAATATGAAATACCATGTTTGTCCACAGAGACAATGAAAATATTGACTGTCAAATGTAAAAGCAGCACATCAGAGTCATGTCTTGGCTTGGAGATAAAGATGAGGTAAGGCACCCAAAATAAGACAGAAAAAGCAGTATAACAGAAGACCAATAAAAATGCTTGTACAGAATTTCAATAGAAAAAAATGATAATATACTCCTTTATGCATGATCTCCTATTTCTTGATGCTCTAAAAAATACTTTTACTGAAGATCACAAGCCAGTAACAATATGAACTCTGAAAACTCAAGAGCACTGAGGACTAGACTGTAACTAATGAAAAACCTAAGACAATTCACAGAAATATGGCGATGACTTTGTCTAGCTCAGGCCTGAAAGCCTCCAATGTCAGACATTCCAGAATCTATCAGGGAACCTGTTCCAGCACCTTATTTCATTCCTGCTGAAGAAAGTCTTCCTAATTTCCAGGAAAAAAAAATCAAAGATCAGGATGCAATACAAGATTCTCATTGCTAAGTACACCCAAGTCTAGCAATAAGAAAACCATCAATAAAACAGAGGAAAGAAGGCAGAGTAAGCAGAGTAACTCACCCAGGTTAGAGGTGGCGCAGTTGAGCTTAGCAAAGGATAAGGATCTGGGTTAATTAACCCTAGTTTTACAAAGCCCCCCATAGCTCTGGAGTATCCCTGAAACAAAAGAATAATACCATTAAATATATTAATTGCTTGAAACTGAGGTATTTCTCCTTGGTTTAAATGCAGTGATAGACATAATCCTGGCAGTTAAGTATTACTCTCTTGGGAAGTCGGCCACAACAACCTGATGCCAGTGAGGTTACTGCCTGTTGGGGATTGATTCTTTCCCTTTTCTTTCTGTGGAATTTTTTCCCATTGTTATGCTAAGTGTTTGTGGCTACACCCTAGCTAGTAACAGTTTCTCTCGAAGGGGGTGGGGAGAGGGGGAACACCGCAAAGGGAGGTGGGGGCAGCCGCCTGTGCTCTCATTCTCTCGCTCGCTCCTGGAGTCAGAAGAAGACAGCCAGTGCTGCTACCGAGCACCCTTCCCGCAATCCCAACGCCGGGAGCCACGTTCCCTGCTGTCAGACATCGCCCTGCTGCCTTCCCGCTTCACCCTACTACCTCCGGACTCTCTGCCGAGCACCACGACCGACACCGTGAGGGGGGAGCGGCTCCTCCATCCCTCTCAGCCCTGGGCCCTGCCGCCATCACCCAGCGCCTTCAGCTGCGCGGGCCCTGCCCTGCCCACAGCACCGGGAACTGAGCGCAGGGAGAGAGGGCCTGTGGCCAAAAGGGACTGGAACTGAGCTACACTGTTCTGTTTTGTTGTCAATTTTTATAGCTGTTGTTGTTTTCTGCCTTGTTAGATATCAGTGAAGAACTGTTATTCCTATCCCCGTATCTTTTGCCTGAGAGACCCTGATTCCAAAACTGTAGTAACTGGAAGGGAGTTGCATTCTCTATCTCAGGGAAGGGGCTCTTGCCTTTTCTTAGCAAATACCTGTCTTTCAAACCAAGACACTACCACAGAGCAATGTCTTCTCCAGCCCCTCTCTACCCCTTCCCCACTTTTCAATATCTTTTTTAATGGCTTATTCTGTCATGAATGCTTCTATGGCAAGTACCATTGGTTGCTGAGATCACAGGGCTCAGCTGGCCAGCACTAGTCGAAATCCCAGGCCGTCACTGTGGGGTTGTATCAGCCAGCTGGCCCACAAAGAAACTACTGAATACATAGAGCACAACACATAACTCAGCTCACCCAGTTTCACACCACTGGGATTGTGGGAACCTCACATAGGCTGCTTTTAAAGGTAAGAATCCTGTGTGCTTATTTCTCATCTTCAGGAATATCAGACAGACAAAGCAGTAGAATGGTTTAAAAGGAACTGCAAAGATGGTATTAGGCTGCACAATAAAAGAAGTCTTAACTGATTTCTGCTTTTTTTTGTATCCCATTAACATTCCCACACAGCTGCTTGATAGTGAGGGCACTTACATGCAAGTGACTAGAAACATTAAAAAAGTAGAATGGAGGAAAGAAGACTAATTAAATTAGGAGTCACTTCCACGAGCACTAGGTTAACAGTTTAGATGGCCTTGTAGTGAGATCCTTCTGTGTGACACCTCTTTTTAAACTGACTCCATTAGCTGTGTAAACTTATCTACAAGGCACTTTCAGGAGATGATTGCCTCCTCAGTGAACAGATCGGCTTCTGCTCTGCATGCTTTGCAGCATGTGCAAAGGGCCAACACTAACTTCTGTCCTGCTCAGCACTCTGTGCTGGCATGTCAGTACCATGCAGCATTCTTGCAGCACACTGACAACCACTTGACCTGTCACCCTGACATTTTTGCAGTTCCTTGTGCATGCACATACAAAAGAAGAAAGTTTTACCAGGCACCAAATGGTAGAATAGATATTGTCATATTAGGATTCTATTACAAGATAGATGCCCCCCACATATTTTTACATTCTGAAAAGAATGAGAGTTTCTTGCAATTTATAACCCTTTTCCCCCATATTGGCCTTCCATCTTCTTCCATGCCTTTATCTAAGCAAGCCTCCCTCCCAGAAATACAGAAAAAAACCTACTGAATTGCAACAGAGGAATTAAGACAAAAAGGACATACACCTTCCTCAGGCTATGGACAAATAACAATAACTTAAACCCTGGCATAAGCCTTAACAGACATAATACAGCATCCATAAAAGCTTTTTCAAAACTTCAATATGGTTTTAGGTTTACTTGTTCTTAATGTATATTGACAGAAAAAAAAATTTTAAAAACTCTGAAATAAAAAAATATTTTGTTTTGATTCTGCTTTGGACATCTAACAAATGAAAGGAAAAGACTCATCAGTTAGAAAAAAAACACATTTATCTCTTAACATTTTACTTAGCTGACCAAAATTATAAAGCTTCTCAAATTTAATATTTCTGGTTACTTAATGAAAAACTTTCTCAGACTGATGGAAAATCATAATTTTCTGTAGTATTTTTACATCGTGTTTTTCTTGAGAATATAAGAAAACAGAATTATTTAATTTTTTAAAATCTACTGATCTGACACGAGATACAGAACCAGTATAAAAAGAGGAAACAAAGATTATGCAAGAAAACTGACCAACTGTGTAAAACAAATAAAACAATTTTTCCATTTTGCAACAAATACCTATTAAATACAGCAGGTAAAATACATTAAAAAATTAGATAACTGCTTTCAGTTGTCTCTCAACTGGGATAATGGGGAGTTCATAAATAGCAAGTGCAGGCTTATAAAAGGCTGAGTTTTAAATACACAGTTTTCTTGTATATAACATTAATCTCTTGAGGAAAACAATAATTGCTAGTAACACCAACAACTTACTTTATATCTTAAGGTGCCTCTCAGTAAAGTGCGAGCTGTCTGAATACCATATGGCTCAGCATATTTTGTACTGTCTCTGTTAGGAAAACCTTCCAGGTTTAATCCTGGGAAAAAATCCATTGGAGTAACAGAATCCAGTAACGCTCCTCCAGGTGGAATATTGATAATCTAAAGTTTGTGAAAGAACAGCAAATATTATTTTGTTGCAGTCATATTCAACTTATTTTAGAACAGAAAAGATAAAGTACGTTCAAAAACAGGAAAAACATGTTTGGTGTTCCAAGTGCAAACAAAGGCTCAATCTAAATAAAGCAGTTGCCCAAGCCATTTAATCTCATCTGATGCAGGAAGAGCATGCAATTTGTCAGCCATTACTAATTAAAGGGCTAAAACAAGCCATGTTCTTCTCACACACAGTTAATTTCTGCTGCACTTATATTAAAATGGCAGGCTCCCATTTCACTTTACATTAATATCATTTTGGAGCATGTCCCTAACTGCACCAGTGTGATAGGAGATTCCACCCGTGAGCTCCCTGCTTTTTGGTCAAAGAATTTATAATTTTGTTTAGGGTTTGTTTGGTGTTTTTTATATGTGAGAGAAGGCAGATATAAACAGAATGATGGATGTTTGTTCCTTTTTTCTTTAAAAGATTAAAATAGATCAAGTGATATCACATAGATATAAAATCACTGTTCATGTGTATCTTTACTTGAAGCTACAAAGCACCATGGAAGGAAAACAAAAAAATGTGTGACTAGCTCTCTTATTACCAATTCCAGCCACAGCCTTGAACCCTGCTTCCTTCAAGCACCTAAAATCCAGATGTGCTATGCAGCATCAATACAAACTCATTTTCTGACTTCTGAGCAAAGTGACAAGGTTTACTTATAGAAGAAATACTAAATTAGTGAAGCCTGCAGCAATGCCAAAAGATCTTGTTATGTTTGCCAGGCAAGACAGGTGTGTGAAAGAATCCTACACAATAGTCAAAGACACAAGTATTTAGTAGCAAGAAGGAAAAATTGCAGAATTTATTGACAAGCTCATCTAGTGCTCACATAATGACTCATTCATATGCATGATCTAATTTTTCCTACCAATGGGTGAACCATATCAGAATTAAATTAGAAATATTTCAACATTTTCCAAGAACCCTTTTCATCTGAAACTTATACTTCATTGCTTTTTAAATAATGATCCAAGGTACAATCCCTGAATTTCTCCTTTCTTACTTCAATAAGAACAATAGAGCACCAAAATGTCATAAAACATAAAATATTACATTTCAAAAGATTTCTAACTTTTGCAGATCAAAGGGTTTTAGGTAATTAGCTAAACTTTACAGTGGTTATACAAGGTAGTCTCCTTGACAATTGCAGTATCTACTCCGAGCAAGTGGCAGTGGAAATAGAGCTGGAAAACAGAAATGTGATAATGGCTTGCAATAGCTTTGCACAAATCAATTACAATGTTTACATAAAACAGAAGCACCGACATTTGTGAGGTTAAGTGTAATGACTCCTGCACAAACAGAAAAACAGAGCTTCTATAAAATAGACCAAAAAGCATTTCACAAAACCCACTCAGTGGGTTATTGGTATTACACATTGCACCAAACAAGAGTTCTACTATGCATTGTACAAGTACAAAATGAAGCTGTTTGATTTACGAACACAACTAGGTAGAAAAGCACCCTCACCTTTGCTTCACAGAGCCAAAGACAGGGCAATTAAGTAGCAGAAGCAATACCCAAAAGGAATTGAAAAATCAACTCCAATCCAGTGCTTTAGTCTTTAGAAAAAATTCCTTCCTGGCAATCAGTTTCCACATAGTAAGTAAGAATAAGGCTGGCAGCAGCCAGGTATCATCATGCTCCAAACACAGGACTAAGTGATTTATACAACTGGCTTAGGCAACTGACTGCCACTGGCTTGAAAGTAAACACAGCATCTTACAAGTCCCAATTCCTTCCTTAGCCAAATACCGCGGGTTTTGTCTGGTTTTAAATGAAAATTTTCCCATTACTTCACCTCTCCATCTTTTAAATATGTAGCAGACTGAACTGTATTCAGCAGCACTCCTTGTGGACTCCAGCTGAACTTGTATCTCAGAGGATTGTCAGAGTGCTCTGGAGCTGGTAGGCCACCGCAGAAAGAAGTGTACGATATAACCTGTCAGATTTACCCACAGGAAAGAAACAGTGAAGAGAAGACAGATCAGGATGCATAGAGATCTACCCTGAAGAATCCCCATCAGTTCTTCAACATTTTTGTTTGTGTTATCCCCCAAACAGGCGAGATCAGAAGGATCTACAGTGGGGAGGGGAAAACTGCAGGCACTGCCTGTACAGGAGAGGAACACACTAGGGCAAGGCCATCTTAGTTGATGATCTTGCCAAGTGAATTAATAGCTATGAAATCCAAAGCATCCGAAAAAGTAAAATGTCCAGAGTCTGTTAGGCATCAGTGACATGCTCTAAACCTGCATGGTATTAAAAGAACAACTTCACTAATATAATCTTGGCAGAACTACGCATTACCCGCTAATCTTACCGTAGCACCAACTTCTTTTGCCTTGTCAATACATTCCATCGCCAACATGTGATCAAGACCAGGATCCAAGCCCATTTCACTGATAACTGTAATACCAGCAGCTTCTGCACTAAAAATAACAGAAATACAGAGCCATCAGAATATTCACTATTACTGGCCTTTTATTCTGTAAAGCTGTCCAATCTGCACAGTGAACCTTCTCCAACACAGTAAATTCTGGGCACTGTCTGCAGCTTGTGAGAATAAAGAAACAAAAGCAGATATTAAATCCTGAAAAGTGACAACCATCTAAGAGTCTTCTAATCTTTGTTTCTCTTACTTCTCTGAACATAAGTGCTGGTGGAAAAAGAAAAAGGCCTGCTTTCCAAAATTACAAGTATTTGGGGTTTTTTTTTCCTGAAGTTTCCTACAGTTCCAGAGGAGTTCACTTATCACCACAATCTGAGGATTTATTTTATTTTCAAAATCAGTTTGTCTTTTGACAAATGAGAAGTGCCCTTTTTAATTTTTTTCCTGAGAGCATGCTATATTCTCAATAAGAATGGTAGGAGAGGCCCCTAAATATTGCTCACTTTTTGCAACACTGATTCTCTACCAGTCTAGCTTTTTCTATATTCTTTTTGTAAAGACACAACATGCACAATTCTTCACTTGAATGCACTTCAGATTTTCCAGTACTGTGAATCAGAGGAGCACCTAAATGAAGCTCCCTGCACAGAACAACTTCCAAGCATATAGCAAGTAGGACAACAGAAACACTAGCGTAGTTAGAATCTTGAAAATTTGAAAATTATACAGTAGCCATATCCAAAAGAAGAACATGAAGGAGGAGATTACTGTAGGTACAATAAGTCAAGAAGGAGTTTTTATTAAGGGAAGGCAAAGGATGACAAACAAGTTTTCTGGTAGAATATGACAGAACAGCTACTCAGCTTGAATATCAGCCCAGCTCAAACATCTTAATAGGTCTGAGGGAAGAGGAAAAGGCACATGAAATAGGATGATGCAGGCAGAAAAATATATTCAATTATTTAGAGCATTAGTCGAACCAGGTTGGGGTATGCATCTATTGCTCCACTCTGCAACATGCACCTTTGGGAAAGTTACTTGGTCCTCCGTCACAGAAAGAGAAGCAGAAAGAATTAAGAAAGCAGTAATTCACAATTAGTCCTGCAGGTGTAACAGACTGCAAAATATTCAGATAACACACTAAAGAAGGAAGCAACACCACGGAGATGCTACTTTCACACCTACCCTTCCTGAAGTTCTTTCATGGCTGGTGTTAAGTAGCTGGCTGTTACCAAGTTCACTTTGTTGTCAATACATTTCTTAGCAACGAAAGGATGTGCTGAATAAGGCAGCAAACTACAAAGGAAGGAGAATCATGCAACATCAAAATCCAACTAGTTACTTATCCTGTCACTGGAAAGACATTCAAATGTTTTTAACGCCTACAAAAGAGCTCAAGTAATAGTTCAAAACACAGTCATACCTGCCTTGCCCTGAGCAGTTCCATACCTATGAAAGTGAAACTACCCCATCAGGACAGCATTGCTGTATGCACTCAGAACAGGGCACTGAACAATAGGAGAGTCATCCTTGAGACAGCATCTTTTGTCACACTTCTCAGTAAAACACAAACCACTGACCTCTTTCCAAAGACATGTTCTAAACAAGCATGCTGGAGGTTTAGAAGATGCAAAATTGTCCTTGAGAAAGCTTGCATTACAAAGATCTTGGTGAACTATTTTGTGAAAAGCACACCCTACATGGAATGGAAGCAACACTCATGACAACCACGGCAAAAGAAACAAAATGGACTATGAAGTTCCTTCACTGTATCAATATTTGGAATGAGTTCTTTCTTAATGGGATATTCAGAAGAAATTACCAAGAGGTCATAATTTTGCCTCCTCTTGTGAATGACACATAAGCTGTGGATGCAACTGGCCCTTCACATTAACAAGGGAGTCCACCTAACTGGCGAACACTTCTGAAGAAGTCAAAATCTCTTTTAAAGTTCTGCTGTCCCCCTACATGAGAAGGCAGCAGCCAGTTACAACTACCTACATACACAAATATGACCCCACATCTTGGCCATTTAAAAAAAAAAAGTTTGTGCTGATTTAGGTCAATCAACTAGGAGAAAGAAGCAGCACGACTTAGGGTTGAGCCTATCACGTTTTACACAGAAATCTGACCTGATCACAAGGTCGTGTTTTTTCACCAAAGAGGACAGCTTTTCCTCATGTTTAAGGACATCCATATGAACTGGAGTAACATTTCTGTACTTCTTTGTCAATTGTTCAAGTTGCTCCTTCATGACAGATACTGTTTTAAAAGTAAAACAATAAACTGTTAGCTACAGATGAAGCTAAGTCCAAAGCACACCCATGTATAATTGTGCCATATTTCCCAAAGAGAATCAGTTGCATGCATGTGTTCCTTCACTAATAGTTGAAGAAAAATCAGGCATTTAGTAAACAAACATGTTCAGAAAAACTTACTCAATCCCTCATTCCACATGTTTAAAAAGAAATACTCCTAAACTCTTTCAATACACTTTAGCAGAATTCCTATTTACAGTAAAGAACAGCTAAATAGCTTAAAGAAAAAAACAATTCATATCAATCACCGTTTTTAACATGACAAAGATAGAAACATTAAGCTTTAGCTTAGGTCAAGTGTGAGTAAAAGGTTCAAACTGACTACTTTTAATATTTATATATGGCTTAGTTCTCCCAATCCCAAATAGCGTATTACAACTAAATGGGACAAACCAGTCTCTGCCTGCCTTCACTTAACCACCATTATAAAAAAAGCAGAACTGAAAGAGATCCATAATAACACCACCAGTATTTGCCACCACTGACTGGTTTCCCATCCCAGCTCACCATGTTGCCAGAACAACCCAGAGAGAACAAAAAAGGAGTGGCCAAAGAAGATAGTATGTGGGGCACAGGCTTCTGAGGAATTAAAAGGCATCAGTACTTACCATTGTAAGGAAAGCAGAACTGAAAAAGAGAACCACAGTAACACAACCAGTATTTGTTACATCTGACTAATTTCCTTTCATAGCTCACCATGCTGCCAGCACAAACCAGAGAACACAGGCAGGAAAAGCAACAATCAAAGAAGACAGCAGGCAGAGCACAAGCTTCTGGAGAATTAAAAGCATCTGTACCGCTAAGTTAGGGCCTTATTTCTTTATGGCCCTTTCACAGTAAATGGAAAATAAACATTACCAGAAGGTGATTCTTTATACCCTACAAATCAAATTGTGCTGAGGGAAAAGAGCTAGGCAAAATCATCTACAAATTCAAACTAAAAAAAGTTGATTACATGAAGGTTTCCCAATTAAAGTTTTCATCATGTGGATTTAAAGTGGTGTAGCCCAAAAGTAGGAAACCAAACATGGCACTGTGATGTGCATTTTGTGTTTTCTGCACCTAATTGCCTGCTGTCAAATATTAAACAAGTAATATCTTTGTGTCTCTTTCCTTCCATGCTATTTGTGTGTGTGTGTGCTGTAGAAACTGCATGTTTTTAAGCTACCCAGATAAGAGGCTATGTTTGTTCAGTGCCTGGAAAAACAGATCTTCCAGTTCACCTGGTTTCCCTTCCTGCTACTGCACTGCAGGGAGTGGATGCAACCTCTGCAGTGACAAGGGGGTGGGCACTGCACATTGCTATAATCCTTCCCTCTTCACCATCTCTGGCACTGCCCATAACAAGGGTGCAGCTTTCCTAGATTTCCCGTCTTCTCCTAGTAAATCTTTTCCCAGGGGTTAAAAGTACTATGGTTGTGAACATGAAATGTAGTGAAAGCAGCCAAGTATGAAAATAGCATAAAGAAAAAAAAAATATTAAAACCAGGAACAACATGAAGAGTGATAAAAATAAGTTTTAAGGGAAACCACTTCCCAGAAAAAGTAGCTTTCAGGCAATAAGGCAATAGAGATTGAGTTTTAAATCTGAAGTCCTAAGTCATCATTGAGGGTACAAAAAAGGATTACTGAGATGCTCAGCCTGAAATAAACTAGAGATAAAACCAAAACAGAGGAATAAACAAGCTGGCATTTGGTGCTCATGGGAAAGTTGGGGTCTGAAGTTTTACCACCATGACGCTTGTTATAAGAAAAGCAGATACTTCATTCATACAGATGTCTATAAAAACATTTTCATATTCTTGTTGTGTGAGGCTGAAAACACAGCCAAACACCAACAAAGTGACTGACTATCTGCAAAACCAATCCCAAGCCCAAAGCAGGTTAGAAGAAAAAAATACTTTCCCTACAAACAGTTGACTTTTAACATGGCTATGTCATTTTCAAATCAATTATATAAATTCAAAATGCTCATAAAGCTAAAAAATCCTTTTCTGCTGTGCATAATAACAAAGATTTTCTTTATCTCTTCTCAGAACCACACCAATTTATTATTTATGAGAAGGGTTCTGCCACATGCTTCAGTAAGACATAATACTGAAATGAAAACAAATTCTTACATACCAATTGTGATGTCAACGTTGGAATCTCTAGTGAGATATTCAAGCACAGGGCCAGAAACATAGCCAGATCCAAGCAATAAAACCCTCTTCTCAACACTCATCTTCAGTGACTCAGCCTGTTCCCTAGAAGGTATTACAGGCAAAATTAAAAATTGCACAGAAGGAAACTGTAATCTGCCAGGGTTAACAAAAGAAGTATGTTTTAGTAAGTCTGCAAACCAAGAGCTCTATTCAGACCAAGAGTTAAGGTCCTAGCTATCTGATCCAGGAGTATCTAGTACTGCTTCCATTCTTCTGCTGCATAACTTCTAGTTTCTTTCCTCTAACATAAACATCATCAAATCCATCAACATTCCCACTGCTCCTCCAATTTCTTCTAGCTATTCATCAAAGCTTTCCTCAGTTGTATTTTTCCCAGTGGCCAAGTTATTGTAATCTGAGAACTTGAGGGTCGCTGGTTTCATGTCAGGCTGTCAGAAAGGGAGTCCAAGCTCTAACTTGCTCCCTTTACATCACAGGTAACTGTTAAAGGACACAGAATTATGCTGGTGAAAGCATATTTTGTGTAAATTATACTAGGTTCATATAAGGCCGTTACAGGAACGTGATAATCAATAAAAGTCAAATAAAAGTTAATGCCCAACTAAGAAATCATCATCGCAGAGAAGGACTCAGATTTGAAAACCATCACAGTGTTTCAACCTAACTACTACTAGTCTCATAAATAAATTTAAGTAGATCTGTTGACTTTCAATATAAAATGTATTCACATCAGATTTTGCATTTCTTTCTGTCAAACAGAATAATGCACTCAGCAGTTGTTTAAATAGGCTATCAGAAATGCATAAATCAACACATTTTGGTTGTTTATAATTAGTTTTTTCCTTTTAGCCTAAATTTGCATTAAGTTGCAAAATCGGGACTGTGAAACTGTCTAACATATTACTACATAGACAAAAATTATTTAGCAAAAGAGAAAACTCTTAAAGCACTTCTTATTTTTGAAGAAAGCTGTTCACTGCCCTACTGTTTAATATAATTAATGGATGTTGAAGTTTGGCTTTTCTTATCCCATACCTTGAAAATAAATTTCAATAAATAAGTAGGACTTTCAAAGATACAAAGATTTCTCATGGGAATCTTCATAAGCATATAAGCAAGATCCTCAGTTTCCCCTTTGTCCACTAAGAGTTTATACCAGCATTGCAGATTATGCCTCAGAAAGAATCCTGACCTTTACCTGATGTCCACTCTGCTGTAACCTGCTGACCTTAGAAGAGGACTTACCACATGTCTACTAAATAATATTTGCCTCGGATATTTTTGAGGCTTCTCATAGAAGCCGAAAGTCAATTTGTTGGTTGTATTTCTTCATTTCAAAAGTAGCTGTAACAATGATAGATGATGTAGAAGTCTGCCAGAGCAACACCTAATAGCAAGACAAACAGAGCACTATTGCCCAACCTAAAGCACGGCAGGACGTATCTGAGCACATTTAAGGGCACAAGGCCTCAAATAATACCATTGAAAGACTATTCTAAGTGAAGAGAGTTAATGCCAAATACATCTACATCATATGTCTGAAGCACATTCCAGCCTACCGTATCAGTACTGTAAAGCCTTAATTACTCTCCAAAATTTCAGATGTTCCATCCTCCTTTCCTCCTATTTCAGAGCCTTTTTAAAAAGGCTTTCTTTCATTCTTTTCAGATAATTAAATCTGAATGGTATGTATCAATGTATCAAGTCTCTAATAAAATATTACTGTTGATTACTGTGAATTTTGACCTTCATAAAAGTTTTGCAGATTTGATTTTTTTTTAAAAAAAGTTAAATCATTATTTAATACATTCAGAGATAGTCTCCTAAGCCCATGTCTTTTTATACTGCAAATCCAAGGACTTCCTCCTTCTCCTCCTCCCCCTATCATAACATCTTCCACAGCTGTACCCTTATGGTACAGAGGAGAAGAAGAAAATAATTCCTCTCCATGTTTTACGGAACAGAAATGATAAGTAGCTTGGAGTGTTGATGAAGGAGCAATTCTTATATGAAAGCAAGCTGGATTTTGCAATCCAACTTGTCATATTTACAAAAATTTTTCTAGTGTCTAGAATGAAGTCACACTTGAATCAAACACAGCATGTTTACTCTAGGAGAGGCAAAAACATGACCTGCCAAATGACTCCTCAAGTATAGGAACAGAATCTACACAGCTCCAGATTATGCCTATTCTCTATAAATAAGTTTAAATAATTCAGTCACAAATAACATCTACATTGTTAATGTGATGTGCTTTTGCAGCTGCAGGTGAGAAACCAGTAGGAGTTAAGAAGCAAGTAAGGGTGCAAAGATGTAGATGAGTTTGGTAAATCTTGGCACTCAATAGAGTTCAGCTTATTCAATCTGGCTGCCCTGTATCTGGAATGTCCACAGACTTAAAGGAGTATTAGCAATTAGTCTGAATAGAACCCTCAGAAACTAAACTGGACATAGTATAATACCTTCCTATAGGGTAAAGCCACATAATTTCTATAGGGTCTGACAAGAGCACATCTCTATTTAAACCACCACACCCTAAGCAGTAAACCCCTTCTTTCATTTGCATCACCTCTGAAGTTTGCAAAATAAAGGAGGGTATTGTTAGCAGGTCCTGCTTTTTTGACAGCTAAGTGAACAACACCAATGAACAAATGAGCATCACATATAGCACACAGATTTCCAGAAATATCAAAAATCTACCCACAAAAACACCCTTGGAAATAATTTCCAGATTCTCATGGTAGTTCACACAAGACCATGCAAGTGATTATGGAGGAAGCTAAAAAAATATCAGATCATTGCACTGTGTGAGGAATTAAAAAGTTAGTTATTAAGATAGCCTCTTGAGAGGGTCTATCAAAGAGCACAGAACAAAAATCACTATGAGCTGAAGCGTCTGAGAAGCAAATAGCACATCACTTAGTGTGGAAAATTCACCTATAGTTCATCGTGCACAAGTTCATAACTAGAAGCCCTAAAGTTCCCAAAGGAAATTGAGATGCAGAAGTCAACACACTACTTCTAGTGTGTAGTGCCGGCAGTGCTTATGGTCAGACCAATTGAAATTTTTATAAGAATTACAGTATAACTGCCACTGACCATTAACATGAACCCACTTATGGTGAAATTAACATTTTTCATATGTAAACTATAGATGTTTGTTAATAGTAAGGGAGTAAGGGAGTAAGGGGAATGGAAGGGATGTGCAGGTTCTTTATACTTTTGCTAGCTTAATTCACTCTAGGCTGTCACTGGCACATAACTGCTGTGACGGGGTGTGGATGAAGTGGTAGCTGAAGCTGTAGGTGCATGAATATAACTTGAGTCTGAGACTCTCAGAGTCTCCCCAATACATCCAGTCACAGAACAATGCTACACAGAACAGCACTTGAGCCATACAAGAAGTAACTAGATTCAAGGAATATTCAAGAGCCTTTTGCTTTCAGCCATTCCTTTCAAATGAGTGGATGCTACATCCATTTCAAAAGGGCAAGGAGTAACAGAATGATACTAGCATGTGGCTGCCTTCTGCCTCTGGTAAAACAGTTTTCATAATACAAGAAAGAGAAAAATGACCACTTTCTCAACTTCAATATAAGTTACTAACAACATGCGTTAATGATTTAGGCAATGTCCATGAAGAAATAAGGAAATGATCACCCTAGAAGACACTTAGACACAGTGCAATACAGATGTATTACACCAAGACGCAAGAATAAATGACTGTAAAAGGGGAGACAGAATGCAGAAGGGTGGCTTTTTAAATCCTGAATCGAATAAACCTTAAGAGCCTACATTACCTGCTCTCTCTCAGTTTCTGGATATATTGATACTTAGGTGTCAGCGTGCCATTGGATGCAATCACTGCCTGGAAACACATGAAACAGATTTTGAGGGCTTTATGTGTCTGCATGTTTCAAAGCAGGGGAAGACAAGAGGAGTGCCAAGTTGCAAAACTTACATTTCGAACAACAGGTGAGTAATTCTGTTTCTCAAGAGGTTCTGAGCCTTCTGATAATAGCTGTGGAGATATGTTATTTCAAATCAGTTCATTTTAGCACCAGCTATGTCTCAAAGTAAAATATTAAGATTTTAAGCAAAATTTAAATGCATGCAACAATACCAATACCTTGTACATTTAAAATACTTCCGGCTGCAATCAACATCACTTGACTTTTAGGAAAATACAAGAACTCAAACAGCAGCCTAACTGTGAGGGATTATGGAGTGCCCAAGAAAATCAGATGTTTACATCTGGTGCAAAGTCCAGAAGCAATGAACTGCCAGCGCCTGTTTTCTGCCTACAGAAAGGGTTCTTGACAATCCCTAAGACATCCAGGTCACTCATGTCTCATTCACATGTTTCCTTTTCAAAGGATTGCCTCAAGACTTCAAAAGCTTTTCTTTTTTTTTGAAGAACAGAGTCAGTTATGTTCTACAGCAGATTCCTTTTGAATGTATACAGGAGACCAGAAAAGCAAGAAACAAGCAGACCACGTTCTGAGCCTTTTACCTTCTTGTCGGGTACATAAGATCTTACCATCTCCTCAATATAAGGGAAAAGCATATCCCCAAAGTACTCTGTTGCTTCTATAGGAAGCTGAGCTGGCAGATTGTCAATGGAACACATCAGAATCCCTGAGCCTTCAACACTGAAAGAGAGAAAACGGCTTTTCTAAATTACTTCTTAGTACGTGAAAGGTATTACCTTTCAGAAGTGTTATAAATGCATGATTTTTTCAATATAATGTTTCACTCTACAAGTTACAATGGGAAACGATAAAAAGTAAGGGCTCTCCCACCTGTCATGAGTAATATGCTGGTCAGCATCATACATACAAAATGGGTTGTCAATTGTTGTACACTCAGTCATAAATTCTATAGATCCTCCAGTATCTGCTGAAATGTCACATATGGCCAGAAGTCTAAAGCAATTTAAAAAAACAGAGAGTGGAATAAAGCATTATAGAAATTGCTAAGAAACACAGGTATGTAAAGTCACAAGTGAACAGGAAAATAAAAGAAATGTGAGAAGATCTGTGGGACTTGAAGCCTTCTTCATCTCAACCAATTTAGATGTCAACAAAACACAAATAATGGTATCCAGAAATATAATGGGAAATTGGCCCTACTGTTGTCATTAGGTTTGCATTCATATCAACAGCATCCAATTTCATGGGAAGACTTGCAGAATCCATTCATCCATGATCTTTTCTCTCTATGCCATGTGCTGCCAACACCTCTCATTCCTTTTCCATCTACCAATTCCCTCAAGCCTGCGCAGTCCTGCATGAAATTACCCATCCTAAAGGGAAGCCTAAAGAAGTGGCTGCCTTCTACCAGTTCACAGATAGCAGGTGCAGGTGGAGCATTCATTAGCCTAATGCACAACCTCTGGCTCCACTGAATATCAACTCTTCAACTCTTTGTCATGTGAGAGAAAGAAAGGTGTCAAGAGCTGTTGGATCCCAGAAATTTGGAGTTTTTGAGCTTTCTGTGCTTTCAGGCACAAACCCCCTGCAAAACACTGCTTTTGACCTGAGGCCTTGGAGATGGTTCTAAATATGAGTGGTGAAGTAGAAATCACGAGTGTGCAGTGAATTAGAAATGTGTGCTTTCACAGGGTGATGGCTTTTAAATTTCGGGTTTTTATCGTATAGTAATAGGTATAGGACAAGATGGAGATTTTCGGGCATTGTCTCTTACTTTGTTCATCTTTCTTCTTCCTTCTTCTTCATGGATTTCAGGTAGTAGTTTCTGGTTGGTCAGTTAGTATCACTCTAAGGGTTATGGGAATGTAGTTATTGGGTCAAAAGTATAAATAATATAGGTGTTAATTCTCTATTGGACTGCTTAGCCTTAAAAGACCTTGTAGTAGTTGCCTCTGTAGCCATTTTCCTTACTTCTAGCAAGGAGCTGGAAGTGCTGTCATATTTTCTGTACTTTCTGATAAGATATAATAAACATCCAAGCCCGAACATGAGAAAAACTGTTTCATCCGTGTTTCTGTTAATCCTGGCTCTGAGAAGAAGACAGATGAGACAATTCACTAATTAGGCGGTGCAAAGCCCCTGCACCGCTGCCCACAAAGAGCTGGCAGAGAAGAGACAAAGACCTGACTCTTCACCATGGTGATATTTTTGTGTCCTCTCCAAATCTATGATAGGGCTATTAAAGAAAGGGTAGCTCCCACCCCCATTGAAAGGAGACTAACCCTTGATTTGCACCTCATATTCTATCCCTAAAACTATTCAGGGTTGTGAAGCATTTCCACCATCTGCTGCAGAAATAAGAGGTGCTAAGGAACAGCTATTGAACTTGTACAAGACAAATGACAGGGTAGGAAGAACGTTCCCTAAAACTCTGCTCAGGCATAGAAACTTCAACCAATACCAGTGCAGCAGGTACATTCCCAGATATCAAACTTTTGTTTGTATTGGATTCTGTATGAAGATCAGTGGCAGAATTACCTCTGCAGAAAAACAGCTGATACCTGCTAACCATTTCTACTGTGATGTTTTCAAAAACTTCAAACCATGAAAACAAGACTGCAAAGCACAAAAGAACAAGAGCAAAATCAATGGGGCACTGTAAAATGTGCAAAAGGAACAATGTAAAATAAACAGGATAATTACTAGATACTGTGGTGAAACTGCCCAACATTACAAGTTCATCATCGTGCTGCAAAATTGTTACATGTGAAATGAGTGTCTTACCTGTGTGGTAATTCAGGACAGCCATCCATTCCACCAGCAGCAGATTTAACTGGCACCAGCAGCTTCTGAGTGTCCTGCCGACTCAGCAAGCGAGGACTATTTTGTTCCCAGTATATGCCATTAATTAAACAAGTTGTGTAGGGTGCAATCTGCAAAGAAAGTTACAGATGCCTGATGCTCTCACCTAGTACTTTCAGAAGCTGAAAGCACCTGGTCTAGCATTTTAAGTTAATGCTCTCTCAAATGATGAATAGGTAAAGTGTAGTAAGTACAAACATTCATGGAAAACCTTTCATAAAAGAACAAAAGAGATGCTCACATCAATGTGAAAGCGAGAAATGTAATTTTCTGGATGTTTATCATAGTCTACTGGATCATACTGTCCATCACGTTTCCTTACAAGATGATGGTGACGACTTAATACTGTTCCATAGACTTTCCTAAGGTCTGAAGTTAAAAAAACAATAATTAAAAATTAGTTTTTATACTTGAACAAAAAGGGCTTCAGTGTTTTTAATCACTATTGTCACTGCATACCTCCAGATCTGGAAACTTCCTTTAACTCATGAGGTTCCACAAACTCACATGGGAGAGCACTGAACATTTCTTGAGCACCCTGAAATCATGAAGTAGGATTTAGAATAGAATAAGTAGATCATAAATGTTATGTAACACTGCTCATTTGGTGTTTGAAAAAATATATAAAATGCCACATACAATTTGACAGCCCTCCCAGAGAACATCTCCAGAGATGTACACATTGTTTCACACATACCCCTGCTCACCCAAAACTAAGCTGCCTGGGCATTGTGTGCAAGGAATTTACATCATTCGCCACTACTGCAGAATTCCTAAACCACAATCCAATGCCTGGTTCTTATTTCTAGTGGCTGAGCTGGGAGGCCTCCACTCAGCCACAAGAGGGTTTTGCTGCCACTCTGAGGAGCAGTTTCTCTTTAGGAAAGATCCCTGAAGCCACTCTTCCTCAAACAAGCTGTTCTAAAGCCAGGAACTACAAAATTACTTCCTCAATGAGCTGTAATCACAACCAAAAGATTTTCAGACACACCATCCTTTTGGCTAGAAAGAACACATTTATGCAGACAGTGATTTCACTTTATAGCTGGAGCCTTGTTAACTGATCTTTGTTGCCAAAATCAGGGGTAAGTCTTTTCCCTGTCACAGAAAATAGCCCTGAAGTCAAGCACTTGTAAGCCAAGTCAATGATATGCAGACATAAAAATTCAGCCAGTGTTGGAGAAAAAAAATTCTTTCCCCCAAACTTTAATGGAGTGTTTCATTTATCTTGTGAGCATAGAGTCAACACTGGGGAGAGAAGGGGATAGAAATCATCAGTAAATAAATCAAATTAAATCAGTAAGATTTAATCCATTTTCATTGATAAGAAGTTAGCATGTCAACCTGGTCAAGCATGATCTCATATTAAACATTTTAGTTTATGGTACTTAAAAATTGTTACTGTCAAAGGAAAATGTGAAGTAAAAGCAAACAAAATGAACCCATCAACTCATTTAACCTGATAGAAATCAAATGCCAAGAATTTCTATTAACAACTATATAGCATTTCATCTTGAAGACAATTCTTACCTTGGAAACATTACCAGTGCCTGTAAACACAAACGTTAAGGGCCCCACTGACTTTGGCATCAGTCCCAGTGAAATTTCATACCCAGCATCCCGTACTGCCTGCACAGCCTGACTGCTATTCCTGTAGTTATGTGCCATCCCAATGTGCTGAAATCAAAGGCACAGAACCATCAAGATATTTTCCATATTCAAATACAAATAATTAGCAGATGCCAAAATATTATTTAGCTAAAGAAAAATATATACAAACATACTCTTACCATGAAGGGAGTGTGATGACCCAGAGCTAAAAATCGTAAACCCAATCCATGTAGAATGTTGATCATTCCTGTTGTTAAAAAAAAGAAAATTGGACCATCAGTCTTAATTACAGAAATGCATTGTTAGAAACTGCAGAGACTGACTGAAGCCTCATATCAGCCCAGATATTTTTCCTATGTTTTTACATTAATACTTCACGTCTAAAGAAAGTCTACACAAAACCAGAGAGGGAGCAATTTAATAGCAGTCTGTGACCTTAAACTTGTTCTTGGCCCATTATGCCTTTAGGCACCATTAATATCCTTTTATGAGGTGTATCCACACTACCAGATTCCAAAGAAGGAAATAAAAGAGTGTCCTGAAGAACAGTGTTGAAGTTCAGTAGAAAGAAATGAGAACCATGCCACCCAAAAATCAGATTAAATGCATAACAGTGACAAACAGATGTTGTTCAAGCTCTCGGGAATGACAGCAGCCTTTTTTTTAATCAAAAGCCTAATCAGTTGATCTCTTGATATTTAGTCTGCTCCAGGTAGTTCAATGGACAAACAGGACTTCAAGACAACAGCATAAAATATTAGATTTGTCAGGAATCCACATGACTATTTGACATGTCGTCTCATGTCAAAGTAGGAGGCACGAACCAGAATGGAAAAAGGCTGTTAAAAGCAAGATTTTAAAATGCAGTTAAAAACACATTGCAAGCCTCAACTTTCAGGAAGCACAGACAACCAGAAGTATTACAGGAAGTCACTTGATGCAAGCCTGCCTTTACTTTATACACTATACCTGCTACACCAGCCCACTTTCCAAAGGCCACAACTCGCATTCCTTTATGATCAACCATTTTTTCATAGTCAAACAGTCGAATTTCCTGAAAATACACAGCAAACTGAGTATTAAAATTTTCAGTGAATGCAGTCTGTGGCACGTTGCTCTCCCAGGAACTACCTTTTCACATGCCTTTGTCATTCTTTGTGATAGAGTCTGATGGCTAATATAGGAAAAGCAAATATATCCTAACAAGATTTAAGCATTAAAATAAAAAACATAGCAGTTGCACTGGATTCTTGTTTGAAAGAGTCCCTGCACTTTCTCTGTTCTCTTTGCACAGAGCTTCCCAATGTGCCACTCCAGCTGCTGCAGGCCCATTCACATCCTCTGCCAAGAGGCTGCTCATTTCTGCGTGAACTGGTTGCCTTCCTCTGAAATCGCCAATACGCACTCCAGCTTAGTAACTTACCAACAACTCTTTGCACTCAGAGAGAAAGAGCCTCTCTTGAGCACACTATGCTCACAACTTATCTGCCTTATGCACATAAAGAGAGTAACACTGCAAACACAAAATCCTCTGAGAAATACACAGTTTCAGGAAAGGATACTGAAAACTGTCCTTGTTAGCTATCTACAAGTACATGTGCTGGAAGTAAACATACTAGGCACCAAGCTTTTGATCACACTTAAGCATTAAGTCCAGTGTCCAACCCATGTTAACTGACAACGATCTTCAACATGACATAATTTACCTGTCTTAAAATCTCATCCAAAAGGGGCATGTTTGCCTCTTGGGCTTTAATAGTGTGAGAGAAGAAGGCATAGTTCTTTTTGGGGATTAATTTATCCTCTGGAGGTCTCTTCACACCTATTATCAGAGAAGCCTCAGAAATATCTTCTTGAATAATGGCACCTGCTTTGACATATTCCTATGAAAGAGAAAAATCAAAGAAAATTTTTGTTTTCTTAAATTCATATCTCTGGATATTAGCAACTAGAACAGAGGAAAAATAAATAATTCTACCAAGCAGAAAAAAGTTACTGCATGTGATACATTCACAAAATTTTTTGATAAAGAGGTATCAAGTACCAAATTGAATTCCCATGCTATTATCCTATTATATGATGCCAAATTACAATTATGTATTCGTAAAGTACTTAATCTTAAATTTACAGACTACAAAAGGATATTTTACTAAATTTAAAGTAATCTGTAGTATTGCAATAATGAACAGTCCTTTGTAAGGTGCTCAAATACTTGGAAATAAGTTTAGAGAAATATGAAAAATTCAAAAACATGAAGACTGATAATATATGAGTTTATAAAATTGTATAAGCTCAAGTCCAAGCTGAAGAGCAATATCTAAGGAAATGTGTTTACATAGTGTGATCTGTGCTTTGATGAAAAAAGCACCGTGGCTTAATTAAAAAGTGTGCAAGTAATCACTAATTCCCTACTTTTGTATCAAGTTTCATCTGTTTTCTCAGTTATCTTACAGCGGAGTATTACTGATACTACAAAACTTGTAAAACCTCTCTGTCCTGAAGCTCACAGCTTAAAGAAAAAAACCTCCTCATTTCACATGAGGAATAGGATTGAAGCAAGAATGGAAGTCACCAGATTCATCTTTCTTGATCTTTTAAAAAATACAGGATTTTTTAGAGTTCTTGCCTTCTCACAAACAGAAGACAAAAACACCAATATTAAAGGAATTCCCAAGCTTCTACTTCAAAAGAACCTAGAACTTCTAGGGAGAGTGATGACAGGACACGAAATTCATAAAAACAACTCCAAAAACCCACCATGGCACCAATATTACACTAAAGGCTAAACAAACCAATCCTTTTCCTTTCCACTAGCACATGACTCCTCATTTAGCAACAAAATTTACATGTTTCTGAGGGGTTGATATGTTTTCTCATGAATGGCCATGAATATTATTTTTCCTTTATTATGGTTAACAACTGCACTATGATGTTGTTTGTGTCTTTTGAAATGGGATCTTACCTTTTCATGGATGGCTCTCCGGTTTGATGGCTGCACCAAGACCTTGTATCCCATCTTTGTCAACTCCTTAACATGCTTTGGTGCTAGAGGTGCTCTTCTTTCCCATGCATTGACATCTTCCCTCCTGATTGCCAGCACAGACTTACGATGATGCCAACACTTGGTGTAGTGGAACACACACCTACCATTTGTGTGACTAAAGGCTCGGAGCATGGTAAAGCCTGATGGCAGCAAAGACAAAGTAATAAAACAATACAGGTACGTGTACGATTCAGACATTATTTGTGTGAAAGTTCTGGTCTCCTTTAGCATCTGCTGTAAAACACAAACCAGATACTTCATATTCCAGTTAAATCCTACTTTTGTGAGACATGAATTGAATTTTGTTTCAGTGAATTTTGTTTCCATCTCAGTCTGATAAGGTATCCTTAGAGTCAAATTTCCAATTTGAATAATTGTTTTGATTACTGTAAAGGAAGGCTTTTAATGCCTTCTATACAGCTTATTTTTATCAAGGCTTAAAAAGAATTCTGGAAACTTAGATTTTCCAATCATATTTATTTGCCACCATAAACCATGCAAAGACCATCAATACTTGCATCAAGAACAGTCAGAAGTAACAAACACACAGAAAGAAAGCAGAACACAGGCTGTATGGAAGGCAGTTGACTAAAAAACAGTATTTTTACATAACTAATGCTTATACCTGCCAATAATTCAAGATAAGGTCAAGACCTTAACTACTGAGTAGCAGTCAGCATACATGTGACAAAGTTTTTGCCTTAATTTTCTGCAAAACAGAAAAGCTTCCCTAGAACAGATTCCCACTGCAGAGGAAAACCCCTTTATCTTCTATCCAATCCTCTTCACTCCCAGGGAAGCCTACATTCCACTGCTTATTTGTGCAGGGACACTGCCAGGTCCAGCATCAAGTATCTTGGGAGCCTAGGGCCTTCAGATACTTGTGTGATTAAAAGACGTGAATCTCAGAGATAGGCTTCAAAAATGTGAACTTTGTTTCCAACACAATTTTAACTGATAATATATGAATCTCTCTATCTGAATCATTTGGAAAATCCTGTTTGTCCTCATGCCTCAAACTTGTAAAATCTCTATATACCTGAAGACTTCAGAGGTCCTGTTTAACTCCAGGCTTGCTGAAACAGAGGGACCAGCACACGAAGGACGGCATGAAGGGAAGCACACAGTCATCTACAACAATTCCAGGTGCGGTCTTCCTACCATGGCTACATTTGTCCACCAGCAAAGGTTACTGTACTGAAGTTGGAGGTATTTTGCGACACTTCTCTTCAGCATGCTTAAGAGGGCTCTCAAAGAGCATAATGATCCCTCCCAAAAAACAGGAAGCCTTATCACACCATGTCACTATCTCTACATACTAAAAAATAAAGACGAGAGCAGTTTGTACTAAAACACTGCACCTCATATCCAAACCTGCAGTGAAGCAAATTTCCCTCACACTGAGGACTTGCACAGGGAGAGAAGCGACGCCTTCCAGCGGGAGTGCACTGCCCTGCACCGGGATCGCCGGTGTCCGGGCAGGGAGCAAACAGTCGGGTGACCCCTGGGAGGCCAGGAGTTCGTCTGCATGCCTCCCTGTGTGTGCTCAGCCTCAGTCACAGCGATATCCATATCCCGTTGTAAAAGTGAAACTAACTTCAGCATTCCAAGCCTGCAGAGCTGGGAACCCTCCCCGGCCTCCCCAGCACGTCGAGTGACCGCGGGGCCGCACCGCGCCGCTGCCTCCTCGGCCGTGCTGGGAGCGGGTCACACCACCCCGAGCATCACTGGGGCTGAGGCAGTGCCCAGCAGCACAGCGAGGGGCCTCCCGCCAGCAGGGGCGACGCACGGGAGGGGAAAAAATCCCTGGAGAGCGGCAGAGAAAGGCACAGGGGCGGCGGCGGGCAGAGGGAGAAGCGGTGTGAACGGGCGGCGCCGCGGAGGGAGGGCGGAGGGCACCGGGCAGCGCTCGCTGACACCCGGAGCGCCGGGCAGCGCCGTACCTACCTCGGGCAGCGGGGCAGCGGAGGCACGGCCGTGCGGCCCCGGCCCCTCCTCCGGCCGATGTCCGGCGGCGCCGCCGCCCCACGCCGCAGCCAACCGCGAGGCGGGCGCGGGATACACCTCCCCGGCCGCCAATGGCGCCGCGCGGCCCGCCCGCCCCGCGCCCCCCGCTCCTGCGGGCCGGCGCTTCAAGGAAATGCTCTGGGAACGTGTTTATGGGAACTGAGCAGGAAACATCCCGGCGACTCAGCGGAGCATGCTAGGAGGAGGCACTTGCCTGAACTTAATGCTGACCGGAGAGGAGAGGGCTTCCTTTGCCAAGAGCTGTCAACTGTGAATACTCCTTGAGGTTTGGAATCTTTACCAGGCCGCAAGCCTTTCCAATGGACGTGTTACAGAGATAACATAAGTGTCCCTGTGTCGCCTCCTATATTGCATGTTCTGCTTTGGCCAAGAGCCAAATGCTTAGAGTGTTCTACTCAAAAGTTGAGGGCTGTTTTCAAAGCTGCAGTATAGTTTGAAACACTGACTTAAAAACGTGTCAAAAGCATAAGCATGAGTAAACTGGGGTTTCCAGGGCAAGCCTCCTTCAACTTTTTGCATTGGAAGACACTATCTGCAAATACCTCCTTATAACTGAGGGGTCTCATATCTGAGCTGCCCCTGAATGCCGCAACTACTGTGATGGTGGTTAAACTTTTTTTTAAGTTCCCACTGTCTTTTGTGAGGCCTATGACATGATCTAGACACCTATAGGATCTACTTCTGTACATGAGAAGGTTACGGCAATTTTCCTAATTATAGTGTTGCTTGGATATATGCAGAGTTGAAGCTCTGGTCAGCTCTGCAAACACAGAATTAGCTTTTACAGAACTGGATTTTACAGAACAGTGGCTAAAATATTTTTTTACCACCAAAGCATTCTATTTTCAACATATTTCTGTTTGCAAGAACTTTTCGAGATTCCTTTGTGTGTATATAAAAGAGACTTAACTTATAGCTAAAACTCTATATACACCACTTTGCTTGGGGTCAAAGTATATTTTGTGTCATTTGAAATTATTGAGGTTTGCACATTTTAGTTCACTGATGCTTTTAGAATGTTCTTCTAAGGGAAATTAAGTTCCAGGCTGGGCCAAAACTGTCAACAAACCAAAGATCATCCATCACAGAGATATACTTGGTCACTCTGCATTTACCCATCAGCAAAACTCTAAGTGCAAGCAGGAAGAGCAGAACAAAGAAGGATGTGACTGAGATACTGCCAAATGCCATTTGGAGAGTTGATTTCTGTCACAGATTTTCCATCCCTCCGAATGGAGATTGAGAATTTTATCAACACCATTTGAATCTCTTCCTGCATCCAAAACAGACCAGGAGAACTGTCTTATGTTTGAAGCATAATGGGCACTCCAGAAGTGCCCATTGTTCTTCAAAGAGAAAAAAGCAGCTTAAGCAACCCGCATGATCTCATGCTGTGACAATGTAAAGCCAGGTGACGTGAATCCCACCTGCACTGTACTGTGTTCCAGGTAGGGAAGACTGAATGTCATAAAAGGAATAAAATAAATCTGGAATTCTGACTTTACAAAACATGCTAATATGGAATTAGAGCTGTTTTCTGTAATTAATACCTTCTGGTCTGTGTGGATTGTGATTCCATCTGTCTGAAAAAACCTTAATTATTAGTTCTAATTCTTACTCAGCTGGAATGCTTTTTACTCAGCACTCTGGGGGAAGTGCTGACTTCCATTATGGTAACAATAAACTCCCAGAACACATAGGGAGAGGTGGACTTCATAGATTTTGTTCTTAGACTATCAAGTATAAATCTTGCATCTGTTGAAGTCAATGAAAAACTCACACCAACTTCTGCTGGGGTAGGGTTTCTCCTTAGATATCAAGTGAACAGAGGATTTGGTGTTCTGGAGATATTATTGCAGACTATGTATCTACCTCTTAAACCCTTGTTTCTCCTTTAATTCTGGTTTTAGACTGCAGAGATCAAGAAGTTCCAATAAGCTTTCAGGCTTTCAGTCAGAATGAGGCTATTGAAAAACATGACCTTTTATTCAAAAGCCACTACCTGCAGTGGCTGTTGACTGCCACTGTGAATACTGACCTCACAGCAGAGTACTAGACATCACTGAACAGCACAGTGTTGTGTTCTCTACAATCATGTAGAGAGTATATTTACATTCCTATTGCCCAGTGGGGAAAATTGCCTTCTCAGCATCCCCCAAAAAAGACCTTCTAATTTTAGTAACACCTAAGATGTAGGATGTATCTCTTCACATTCATAAACACTAGAATACACAGTAGCATCATTTATGTCCCTGTTCACTGTAAAACTTTGTCTTTTGCAGTCACAGTGCATACTCAGACTGCTGCATCAAATTGAGATGCTTTTTAAAGTCATTCTCGTAATCCTTAAGACACCGTGTGAGTATTTTTAAATGGCTCTGTAAACAAATCTAAACACAGAAAATTACAGCCTGTGATGTCAGTTTAGTCAGCAATTAGCGAATTGGTTGATTAGAAGACAAGTACCAGTTTCACAGCAAGAAACCACAGCAGCTCAGCTAAAACAACCTGACATACTCTCATAAAAATCTTCATTGAATCTATTAATTAGACTTACTGATGCTCACACCAGTAGGGCATTCAAGTCAAAAACAATCTACCACTAATTATGGATCTGTGGAATGAATAAAATCAAAACTGGGGCCTTGTTTTGAGAGAATCAGGGATTACAGCTTAAAGAGTCTGTTAAAGCAATTATGCCGTAGATGCATTAAAAGTGCAACCCTGCTTCCTAGGCTCTGTCAGCAAATAATGGCTGTCACTGCCCTAGCTTCTGCAAGTGATGTTTGTCAGAAAGAGTTGAACTTCTGAAAAAAAATCACAACAAAACATTTTTTTTCCATTTTGTACCATTATCAATTCAGCTGTAGGAGAATGTGTATTGTTCACATTTTAAAGCTGATAAAAATGGCATAAAACTATGGTCCAGCCCACAATTCACAATCAGACCAGTGCCAGACCAATGTTCAGGACTTCTTCACTAATGTTTTTTTGCAAGAGTTCTTGATTCTTTATGGACTTTTAAAATCAGAAATACAAAAATTATTTGAACAAAACCATGAAAATAGTAGGAAATATGTAACATGTATAGTGACAGGTTCTAGACTAGCAAATGAAATAAACCAGAACTGAGCTACCTAAAAAAAAAAAAAAGAATTAGTTATTTTTTTAATAAGAATACTTCTTGTTCTTCGATACAAGTCAAACAACAGAAGGTGTGTGCAGGCACAAGAAGGAAGTGGTAAAGGAATGGGAAGAGTAAAAGGAGATGCCTGCTTAAGCAACAATTGCTGATTAAAAAAAAAAAAGCATGTTAGACTATTGTCTCAGTATGGTCTGTTTTGACATCCTTTGAGAAATACATGTTGGAGCAGGTCCTGAAACACAGGATGTAAGAAAGATTTTACCCAAGAACAACAACCAGATGTCCCAAAATAGACCGTTAATGTAATCCTGCATGTGATCAGAGTAACAGTATATCCAAGGGCCAGCTGGTTTTCATATCACTTCTAGGTAACTAGAAGTTTCATGTAATTTCTAGGTAACTTTCTGGGTGTTACAGTAAGTGTTCTGACACCATTGTTAACTGCAAACTAATACATATTAGGGTGAGATCCTGAATAGTCATGTAAGTGTGACAAAGCTTGCCTTGCCTTCCCATCAGTGTATCTATACAGATTCCTTTCGCTCCACCATCTGGAAGAGTGCAGTGGAGATGAAAAAACACCTTTCCACAAAGGATATATGAGAGTCATAAACAGGAACTAGACTTAAAAATGTAATGCCATGAAGATTTTCGTATCTTGTTAATCCACCTGTTTTACTATGTGAATTTTATAACCCGGTTCCTTTTCCCTTACAGTCAATTCCATCTGTCCAGGAATCTGCCCAGGACCCTGAGACAAAAACTGTTTATCTTGTGCTACCCTTTAAAAATTACTTTTGTATTACAAAAATGCATCATAAAATATACCATCAACTGAGGTACATTATCTTTCTTTGTAATTTTCAATATTTAGATCTTAAATCAGTTGTGGTTAAAAACACTATAGAAAAAAATTATAGATCCACCACATGACTATATTTGAACACATTTATATGCACATATAACCACATACATAATATATATACACATATATACATAATATATATATACATAATTATACTCAGTGTCTTCATCTTCTTTGGGAAAGCATTTAGACTACTTACAGTGGATACATTTGGAGAATAAAAAGTATACCGAAAGCTACTGTGCCACTTAAGTTGTTTAATGTGAATGAAAGTATTTAAAGCATTATATTGTCCTTATGAAATCAAATCTTTGTGTCTTTGCAGTGTA